CAGCGCCCACGACTCACAGGCAGCATGTCTCACAAATAAAGTTGAGAAGAAGGCTCTGTGACACTCTGCCCAGAGCTTCTGGAGTGATCATCTGTTACTGAGCCAGAATAAAAGTGACATGTTTGAGAAGAAGAAGAGAATATTTGGAGACCACAGGCACTCCAGGGCAAAAGGCAATGGCAGGGTTCAGTCTATTCTCAAAATGCAGCTGACCTCAAGGCCGTATTGTGACTTATTATGTAATTATTATCTCAAAACTGGGGTTACTACAATAAATAATACTCTTAATTGCATTATTGAAAGAACACAAGTACTTTATAGCATACTGACAACACTAACTTTGCATTTTTACAACCCTGAGAAAACTAGTCATGTATGTCGTGCAGATATTAGATCAACATTTGACTTGATATAAAATTTTGACGTCCTCAAAACATTTCATTAAACTTGAGTCATATTTGATCTTATATGACTTTTGTTTTACATAATAAATGCTTCTTTAATACATTTTTTGACATCTTGTTTCTAAATCAGGAGCATCCTACAACAAAGTGACTAAAAAACATTCTGTACACGTTTAGGATTCAATCCTTCTGTTATAGGAGTGAATTACTATATTTTATATTGTTGGGACGGATCAGATTTGGGGATTTCAACATTTATAATTTAAGAACAAACTGTCCCAGAATTTAAAAACTTGCTTCTCACACTAGAAGCTTTTTTAACAACCAATCTGTTGCATTTAACATTTCTAATAGTTATCTTTTCTGAAAACATAGCCAGACTGTTTTTACCAGGGTTTTCAGGAGCAACAGTTAAAGGCAGAGAGATGTAATATTATTTTAGCTAAAACCAGCTGCCATCTAATGCTTTAGTTTTACTTATACAGGGGAGGGCAAAAAATATTTAATCAGCCTCCATCTCTGCAAGTTCACCCACTTAAAAAGATGAGAGCCCTGTAATTTTGCACCATTGGCTCACACAAAATGAGAAAAACTCAAAAATACACTAAATCTCCTCGTCTGATTTTTAAAGAATTTATTTGCACATTTTGGTGGAAAATAACTATTTGATGAATAACAAAAGTCCATCTCAATACTTTTTTACATACCCTTTGTTGGGACTGACAGAGGTCAAACCTCTTTTGTAAGTCTTCGCTATTGCTGGTATTTTGGCCCATTCCTCCGTGCAGATGTCCTCTAGAGCAGTGATGCTTTGGAGCTGTTGCTGGGCAACAGAGACTTAAGCTTCCTCCACATATTTTCTATGGAGTTGAGATCTGGAGACTAGCTAGGCCACTCCAGGGCCTGAAATGTTTCTTACGAAGCCACTCCTTCGTTACCCAGATGGTGTGTTTGTGATGACTGTCATGCTGAAAAGACCCAGCCACGTTTCATCTTGCTGATGGAAGGAGGTTGTCACTCAAAATCTGACGGTGCATGGCCACATTTATTCTTTACTTGGATCAGTCGTCCTGGTGCCTTTGCAGAAAAACAGCCCCAAAACATGATGTTTCCACCCCCATGCTTTATAGTAGGTGTGGTGTTTTTGGGATGCAACTCAACACTCTTTCTCCTCAAAATATGATGAGTAGAGTTTTACCAAAAAGTCCTATGTTAGTTATATGAGATTCTCCCAATCCTCTTCTGGATTATCCAAATGCTCTAGCAAACCTCAAATGAGTCTGCACATGTACTGACTTAAGCAGGGGGACATGTCTGGCACTGCAGGATGAGTCCCTGCGGTGTAGTATTACTTTGTAACTTTGGTCCCAGCTCTCTGTTGGTTATTCACTAGCCTCCCCACCTTCCCCGGTGAAGTTCTGGGATTTTTGCTGCTCACTGTTCTTGTGATCATTTTGACCCCACAGGGTGAGATCTTGCATGGAGTCCCTGACGGAGGGAGATCATCAGTGGTCTTGTATGTCTTCCACTTTCTAATAAATACTCACAGTAGATTTTTTTCACACCAAGCTGCTTACCTATTGCAGATTCAGTCTCCGAAGCCTGCTGCAGGTCTACAGTTTTGTTTCTGGTGTCCTTTGACAGCTCTTTGGTCTTAATTGGCCATAGTAGAGCTTGGAGTGTGACTAATTGAGGTTGTGGACAGGTGTTTTTTATACCAATAACAAGCTCCAACTAGTGCCATTAATACAGGTAACAAATGGAGGACAGAGGAGCCTCTTACAGAAGAAGTTACCGGTCTGAGAGCCAAATATATTGCTTGCTTGTAGAAGACCGAATACTTATTTTTCACCATAATTTACTAATAAATTCTACAAAAATTAGACAGTGTGATTTTCTGTTTTGTTATTTTTTTATTTTGTCTTTCATTGTTGGGGTACACCAATGAAGAAAATTACAGGCCTTTCGTTTTTTTTAGGTGAGAGAACAATTAGAGGCTGACAAAATAATTTCTTACTCACTGAAGCTATCTTATCATTTACTGCAACAGGTAATTTGCTTTAAAAATTATTCTTTAAAGACTGTTTAATTTCATTCAGTTTTTGAATAATTCCTAGCCTAACCCATATAAGCCTGGTTAAAATACATATATATTTTTTTTATAATTTTATAATTGTGTGTCAGTAGTGTTTATCATGTCAGTATATAACAAAAAAAAAGAAACACTCAGTTGTAATATTTATCGGATCCCACCATTTAATGAATCAATGTGGTAAAACGTAGAATTAGCATTACCCAGATAGGGGAAAAATGAGGACAAATAAATAAATACACAAAATAAATTATTCTTAAAAGGCATATTATGACTGTTTTTAAGATTATTGTTAAAGTCTTTAACGAGAAGAATACGTTTAAATTCTTTCTTGTTTTATGGGGAAAGTTCAGAATTTACATTCTGACGCTGTGCATTAAAGCTCCTCGCCAGTAGGGGGCGGTATTGCAGCCTCCCGCCGTTGCCATAAAAGAAGAAAAAGCAGGAGGCTGCGTGATCTAGTTATCCTTAGCAGTTTCTCCTCAGATCATATAGTTAACAGCCAGGTTTACCACGTTTATTTAGAACGAGTAAACGTATTTTATGACGGGTATCCCCGACGAGCAGGTGAGAAGCACGTCGAACATAGTCATGTCGTGGTAAAGTGTTGAACTGTAAACTTCGGGACTTGTTTTTAGCCTAGCCCGAGGTCAGTCTGAGTTAGCCTGTCATCCATTGTTTTCAAAACAAATTGTTTTAGTGGGAAAGCTGTCCACAAACGGGTGGTAGGATGATGTAAAAGCTACTAAACAATTTACCGAAACGTCATGACAATCGGTTAAAATGTGGGATAAAAAAGCTGTTGCAGCCAAACTTTTGCCTGCCATAAAGATGGGGTATTTTCAAGCTGTTCTTCGTTTTTAGAAGGAATAAAGATAACAATAGTCCTTGTTTAACATCATGGTGTTATGGCAACCTGTTGTTTTTAGTCTAGACTAGTTTTGACTTATTAAAAACGGTATTGTAGTTGTAGATTGTCCAGTTAGCTTAAATAAGTTATTTTAACAAAGGACTAGCATCATTTTTATTGTTGTGGTAAAACTCCTGCAATGACTTTAATCGAGCTAAACCCGAATATGTGCCAAAGCCTCATTAATATGTTTACTATAATACAAGTTTGAAGCAGTTGGCGCAGTGACATCTGGTGGTTTGATGTTAGTATAACAGCTGCTAGTTCAGACCAAAGCAGCTCTTTTATTCAGGGTTTGTCCATGAACAGCTTTCTTGTAGCATTTTTATTTTATTCTTTAATTCTTTAGTGAAATCTAAAAACCTAAAGAACATCCATTCACTTTATTGACTTAGAATAATTTTTGACTTAAAATACAAAATACTTGTTGATCACCTCTGCGTTTATCTTCATTATTTTTGCATTTACACTTTCAGATTTTTCCTCCCATTTCACATGACTTTATATTTTCCCACAGGAAGACACCTGGTAACCTATCCACCCCCTCAGCTCTGAAGATGGAGGACCATGTCCACTGTGTGTCCTGTTTCAACCTGAGGTGCACACTCAAACCTCAACCTGGAGTTTCTTGTGATCTTATTTCATGTCCACTGCTCTGTGGGGCTGGGTTTCACTCCTGCAAAGTTGAGGAGCACCAGCTTCTGTGCCCGTTGATGAGGGTTCCGTGCCTTAACAGCGGCTACGGCTGCCCAGCCACCCTGATCCGCAACCAGATGTCTGCACACTTGGACGTGTGCCCGGCTGGAGTTGTCTGCTGCACAATGGAGTGGAACAGATGTCCCGTTAGCTGCTTGGACTATACTTCTTATGAGAGCCTAAGTCGTGTGGTAGAGCAACTGGACATGGCACTTACTCTTCAGGACCAGCGTACACTCGTCAAGTCTCTTGAAGTGTTTGCCATGGCACCTTCTGCACTAGAAGAGCCTCTTGTCTGTCTTAGTAAAGAGAACAATGAGAAACACTCACCTTTGCATCCATCTGATTCAGAGGCATCAACTTCTTTTGGATCATCCTCACCCACACAACCATCAGGACCAACTTCAAGAGACTTGGCAAAAGAAAAAATCCTCAGGGGCATTAATGGCTTGAATGAGGAACACTTCAGTAAACTGTATGAAGCCACAATAGAGACGGCAAGAAGTTTAGCTGCGGCGTTAGACTTTGTTAATGGCAGCAGTGGTGAAAGCTCCTCTGAGTGTTTGGATAGCAGAGATGTTCTTTTAAAGTCAAGTTTGAGCAGCGATGAAGGGATTTACAATGGGCTTGAGGGCACAACACTTGTAGGCAATGAGAGTTTGCACCAAAGAGACATTCAAGAGTTAAATACTTGTTCCAGCTGTTTGAATGAAAATGGAGCTGCAGGAGCTAATCTAACGATTAAAAACACGCCCAGTGCACTGTTGTCAGCAGCAGCTGAGGCCTTTCTGGAGACGGCCTGTAGACCTGAGGTCCAAGAAAACAACACTGATGTTCCTGAAAGTGCTACTCCTCAGATGTTATCCCCAGTCCATGCTAGTCCTGCTGTGGCACAGTTGGCGAGTCACATAGTGCTGGAAGATGGAGAGTTGGTTCCTCTAGAAGAACGGTTCAACACCGACCACCAGGAGTATTCATTATCCAATGGAGGGATCATTCCACACAAGTCACAATATAAACTAGGAGTCACAGTAGAGGACAAGGCAGTAGATACTTCAGATCTGGAGCAGGGGGATGACCCCATGGGTCTTGGAGGGATTGATCTGATCACAGCAGCCCTACTCTTCTGTCTAGCGTCCAGAGAGTGCAGAAGGATCTCTGACACGGTCTACGGCGATGTTTGTCGTGCTGATTTTGGCACGCAGACGTTCACTTTTCCTGCTGCGGTATTGGTTACCAACACAAGAGTGGGCGACATGGCCTCTGCGTCACAGCTGGCTTACCCCAGCCCATTCCGCGCGCTCCTCCTCAACCTGGTCCCTGAGGCTCTGAAGGTCGAGGCGGCCCCTCATATCCCGTTTAACCCCGGCTACCAGCACACATCCCCCTTCATCTGTAGTCAGCCGTTCCGTCGTGACCAGTTTTCTTCCCATTTCAGAAACGTCCATGGCGACATTCACGCTGGCCTTAATGGCTGGATGGAGCACCGCTGCCCCCTCGCGTATTATGGCTGTACGTTCTCCCAGCGAAGGTTTTACCCGACAACCCGTGGAGCCAGAGTGGTTCATCATGACAGGCACCTCAAGTCATTTGGAGTTCAGCCTTGCCCAAAGCTGGATTTCCCAAGTGATTGGGAGTCTGACCAGCTTAGTGGGCTGCCCATTGAGATACTGTGGCACATCGCTGGATTCCTGGATAGTTTTAGCTTGTGCCAGCTGTCACTGGTTTCACGGAGGATGAGGGAGGTGTGTGCCAGCCTCCTTCAGACCAGGGGCATTGTAGAGCTGCAGTGGAAGCCAAGACTATGTCCAGGAGGTCCACGCACTGTGTCATGGCAGATCCAAAACAAAGTACGTTTTTAAACTATCCCTTTTATATTTTAATATAGTCAAAGATTAAATAATCCCACACTACTACGTTTTCTTTGCTACTGTTACAGGTGTGGAGATTCAGCACTGCCTTCAGCCCTGTGACCTCGTGGGGTTTCACTGATATTCCCAGCATGTCCGTTCATCTTAAGAAGTGCCATTTCAACGTAGCAGAGCACAAGACGGTGCCCGTACCCCTTCCGGCCATGTGCTCCGGACGAGACAGACTCTACTTCCGTTGTGTCTTGCGTCACGTCAACACCTGACCAAATGAGACCAAGCTGCACTCGATCCGTCGTGGCGTAGTGTGAATGTTGCTATTAAGAGGTTTGTTTTGGAGTAAATCAACACTACTTGTCACGGCGCTTTAACAAAAGAACACTTGTCAGGTTTGATCTTGTATTTTTCCTATGGGAGGGGGAAGGATTTGGCTTTGCATGGACTTGTGCTGACCTTTTATTCTGGTAAGAAGTATATTTTGACTAAAACAGATGTACACACTAGATTTGTATTATCCTCAAGGATCTATTAAAGTTCAAATGCAATATTTAGCCTTTTACTTGTTAAACAAACAGATTGTTGACTAATCACAATAAATCTGTGGATTAGAAATGACAGCACTTTAAATGGATTTTATTTATTTTCCAAACTGATGAGTGAATCTGACCCAACCAAGGGTTCAGTCCAGTGTAGATCTTGTGTTTAGGTTTATCTGATGTTGGAAAAGGAGTCATAAAGGTTTAAAAATGTATGCAATTTTCCGCAATTAAATAAAGTCCTTATATCTTTTATATATTTTCCTTAAGTGAAAATAACTTTTCTCTAAATCTTTTGTTTTGTTTGCAAATTTTTATTTTATAAAAAGTGTATTTCAGAAATAAAAGCACCTATAACATATAAGGAAGTACTTGGGAGCACGATCGTTTCTGCTCGTCTTTCCCGATTCTCCTAAATCGACGCACTGTTCTCTATCTCATCAGGGCTCAGATACGTGTAGGGAACTTTCAGCCGAGTATTTCTTGCTTTAATTTCTTCTTTCAAGTAGGACAACTCTGCTTGAAATTCCTTAATCATCCGCTTGGGGTCAGGATCATCGAAGAGCTCTTCAGGGTATTCACCCAAAGGAACCTGGGGTCACGGCAAAGACATGAAGTCAAGCTGGTGCAGTGCTTCGTCTCGGCTGCATTTAAAGCTCTTTGTCTTTCTCAACTCACCATGTCTGTATTTGGATGAGAGAACAAAAGCAGAGGCTGCAAAATTGACCATCTCTCCTTCATTTGGGAGAGCCTCCAGAAATGTCCCCATGCTCGACAGGCCCTTTAAGGTCGGAGGAGATGTGTGCAGCAGGAGAGAGCCATTGGGTATTCAGCCGTGGTAGTCGTCATCAAACTGGAATTTAAAATGCAGCAGTAGGTAATTGTAAAGAGCAAGATATTACATAAAAATGTTGAAATCAGCTTCACAAATTAAGACAAATTGACTTCTAATTTAAAGAAAAGACTAAATGTTTATAAAACCTCAAATGTTTGTTAATTTATATTTCAAATCTGGGCTTATTTCGAACAAATCAATCACTTTCGCCCCACCTGTCCGTTGTTGACCGCAGCGCGTTGGACCGACACGATGAAGATCACCATGGTGATGAACTTGATCACTTCAGCCACGGTACCGAAGCTCGCTGGGAAACCTATCAAGAGCAACATCGAGTGAAATCCAAGTATATTTCTATAAGACAATTAAACATGTCAAGTCTAACTTGACTTGTAAAGCACATTTCTACGGCAACAGCAGTTGTCCCGAAGTGCTGCGCAGAACAAAATAAAACATGCTAATATCAAGACATTCTTGAGACTACAAATACAAAAAACAGACCGAAATATAATAAAACTTGTAACCTAATGGATGTCACTAAATGCCAGAGAAAACAAATGTGTTTTCAAAGCCACTTTAAACAGGGCAGTAGTCTCAGCTGTCCTCACCTCTAAAGCAGCTACCCCCCTGCCTGTGTCCAAGATAAGCCAGGACCCCCAACCACATTCGACCCACATTAAAAGTGATTCATTAAAAATGTATGTGGCACTTTGATCATACAATTGGGTGTGTTACTGGTGTTTTATAAATGTAATTATTACAAATACAATCTTGTAAACCTCACAGCCTCAGCACAGACAAAATTGAGGGGACCCTCTTGGGGGGTCACGGACCCCAGGCTGGGAACCACTGCCTAAGGGGAATCTATTTCACAGTGAAGAGAGCCATTACAGAGAAAGCTCTACGTAACTATCAGAGGGCCGTAAAGATTTTTTTTTCATCAGTAGGGACGGGAACAGTTTCTACAGAAAATATTTTTACTATTAAAATAATCAAATGAAAAATAATTTAGCTTATTGTCCCATCTGTTTTCTCCTTTCTTGTATGAAAAAACATTATGCAGAATAGACTGGCGGGACACAGGGCTGTTGCTAGCTATTTTGGTGCCCTAAGCACAAAGGCTTCATGCCCCCCCCCCCCCCCCCCCGCAAAAACAAACAACACAATAACACAGTATGTGCACGCGCTTCGCCTTAAATTCTCTTTAATTCTCTTGTATGCACAAACTGCTTATTATTTCCAAAAAGTAGGATTGATATTTACATAATACAACATACTCAACACAGGAACTCCATGTTGTTATTATCTAGAACTACAGTTGTGGTCAGAAGTTTACATACACTTGTAAAAAATATAATATAATGGCTCTACTGAGTGTCCCGTTATTTCTAAAACTCTGATTTTTCTCTGATAGAGTGATTGGAACAGATACTTCTTTGTCACAAAAAACATTCAAGAAGTTTGGTTCTTTAATGTCTTTATTATGGGTTAACAGAGAAAAGTGATCACATTTGCTGGGTCACAAATATACATACAGCAACACGATCTAGCAATTTTGGTGACTTAGAAACGTGTCAGTGAACTGAGCTTCATAGCATGGCCTCTTAACTTCTTGTGAGGGATTATGAGTGACTACAGCGGGTGACTTCTCTTAGGTCAGGTAAATAGGGCTCATTGGATACAAACGCCCATAAATGCTACAATGGGAAAGTCAAAGGAGCTCAGCATGGATCTGAAAAAGCGAATTATTGACTTGAACAAGTCAGGAAAGTCACTTGGGGCCATTTCAAAGCAGCTGCAGGTCCCAAGAGCAACAGTGCAAACAATTGTTTTTAAGTATAAGGTGCATGGCACTGTTTCATCACTGCCAAGATCAGGAAGAAAATGCAAGCTATCACCTGCTGCTGAGAGAAAATTGGTCAGGAGGGTAAAGAGTGAACCAAGAATCACCAAAAAGCAGATCTGCCAAGAATTAGAAGCTGCTGGAACACAGGTGTCATTGTCCACAGTCAAATGTGTTTTGCATCTCCATGGATTGAGAGGCTGCCGTGCAAGAAGGAAGCCCTTGCTCCAAAAGCGGCACCTTAAGGCTCGACTGACGTTTGCTGCTGATCACATGGACAAAGATAAGACCTTCTGGAGGAAAGTTCTGTGGTCAGACGAAACGAAAATCGAGCTTTTTAGCCACAATGCCCAGCAATATGTTTGGAGGAGAAAAGGTGAGGCCTTTAACCCCAAGAACACCATGCCTACAGTCAAGCATGGTGGTGGGAATATTATGCTGTGGGGCTGCTTTGCTGCCAATGGAACTGGTGCTTTACAGAGAATAAATGGGATAATGAAGAAGGAGGATTACCTTCACAATCTTCAACATAACCTAAAATCATCAGCACGAAGGTTGGGTCTTGGGCGCAGTTGGGTGTTCCAACAGGACAATGACCCCAAACACACATCAAAAGTGGTAAAGGAATGGCTAAATCAGGCTAGAATAAGGGTTTTAGAATGGGCTTCCCAACGTCCTGACTTAAACCCCATTGAAAACATGTGAACAGTGCTGAAGAAACAAGTCCATGTCAGAAAGCCATCACATTTAACTGAACTTCACCAATTCTGTCAAGAGGAGTGGTCAAAGATTCAACCAGAAGCTTGCCAGAAGCTTGTGGATGGCTACCAAAAGCGCCTAATTGAAGTGAAAATGGCTAAGGGACATGTAACCAAAAATTAGCACTGCTGTATGTATATTTGTGACCCAGCAAATGTGATCACTTTTCTCTGTTAACCCATAATAAAGACATTAAAGAACCGAACTTCATGAATGTTTTTTGTGACAAAGAAGTATCTGTTCCAATCACTCTATCTGAGTTTTAGAAATAACGGTACACTCAGTAGAGCCATTATATTATATTTTTTACAAGTGTATGTAAACTTCTGACCACAACTGTATGCAACAGATCCACACGCACCGGTTGTGGCACATATGTTTCTCCAATGCAATTTTCAGATCCAGGACTCACTCTGCCTTCAGAAGTGCTGGCTGTGGGCTGTGCTTGGTCTGTAGGTGTGCTTTACTTTGTAATTCCTGGTCAGGGCTGGGTGATGTAGAAGGTTCAGACGTGACGGCTGACAACTGATCTTGAGCTCTTGAACTGCTGGTGGATGGCTGATCTGAACTTTTGGCATGAGCTCCTCCTTGAATGTACTTGTTCATTGAGCCTGCATTCAAACACAAAAAGATAATTTGTCATATTCATTCTATAATAAGATAAAAGTTTTAAGCCATGGTAAAAAAAATACTGCAATAGATTATTTATAGGTTAATATTGGCTTATAAATCACTGGCATGTGACATGACTAAATTCAAAACTTTTTAACCTTTATCAAGAACTAGAGAGGCACAATATACACATTTTATACACAACTAGAAAATTCTGAATATGAAGGGAGGAGGTTAGCATAATGGACTTTTTTCTTCAAATTATACCATCAGCAGCTGATGTTCCCCTTGGCCCATAAATGTTTATGAAATATATATCAACATGGAGCAAATACCTAATTTGAAAACAGGTTTGTCTAATTTTTCATATTAAATCTCAGTTACATAGCCTATAGGCCACATAGGCTATCATGTCCATAGTTAACTCATGATTAATCACAAACAGCCGCTTATTTAAAAATAAAATTTCTTACTTTACCTTGACGGTGTTTTTTTCCTTCCTGTTTTTGTGATATTTATCTAAGTATTTGGGTGGACAAATATGATTCATTTGGTTATTTCTGTTACAAAACAACACAGCTGGGCCCATCTGACCTCACAGAGGAAACTTTATTTTACTTGAGAAAGATGTTTTAAGATGAACTTATTTATATATATATATATATATATATATATATATATATATATATACAGGTGGCTGTATGATATATGCCGTAATATTATAATGCATAAAATTTTATTATTTTAAAATGCCTTTATTTTGAAACAACATCAGAATGACTTGATATTGATATGGTATCACTGTGGGATTGTGTTGATCTAAAGTGGAATTCCCTGTGGAAACAGCAATTTTCCATTTTAGAGCTTTTTGAAATCGTTAAAAGAGTCGGTCAAATATGTGCAATTTCAAATTGCTGTGGTTTGATAATGTTGATACAAAATGCAACTGCTCTTTGGAAATATGACTTTTGCTTTTAAGAGCATTCTGGGGTCATTGAAAGAGTAGTTCAAAAATGAAAATTCACAGGGCTTTTACTTTGAAATCCAAAATAAGATTGCCTTGATATTGACAGGGCGCTAATAGTGAACAAGCCTAAATCATTTGTTATTATGTTCTTAAAATATCTGATACTTCACTCAAAGTTGAATTTTATTTTGAAATCCGGTTTCCACATCCATTCCCGTAAAAACTTGAATAGACGGGGAACAGAAAACAAACTGGAGGCTGGCTTGACTGCAAGTCTCCAACTGGAGGCTGGCTTGACACCAGTCGTTTGAGTTACGTAGGTGACGACCAAATTATATCCTCAAACTCCTACAGCTCATTCGAGATGATCATGATTAAAATTGGTCGAGTTCAACCAGTTTATGGAATCCTGGTCTATCGCCCACCTAGATCTACTTCATCCTTCCTGTCTGACTTTCAGGATCTCCTATCTTCAACTATTAAACTAGACAGGATAATCATTGTTGGAGATTTTAACATCCACGCTGAGGATCTATCTAACAGCTCCACTAGGGAGTTCCTAAACATGATGAACTCTTTTAACTTCTCTCAACACGTGTCTGGTCCCACTCACAGAGCAGGCCACACCCTGGATCTGGTCTTTTCCTACAGACTTCTTGTTGATAAGCTGCAGATACATGATGTTGTGTTCAGTGACCATAAGTCAGTTTCTTTTCATATCAACCTAAATCCTGAATCTCTTTTACCAGACTCTGCTAAGCAAAGACGTATTATCAACAGTTGTACCATTTTAAATTTCTCCTCCCTCTTTGACTTTGTACCTCCTTCCTCTGATGACGTAGAGCTCCTTACTAACTCATTTAATGATCACTGCCTCAAAATTCTAGATCAGGTCGCCCCTTACAAAACCAGCCGCAGTTCCAGTGCCTCCAGTTCACCCTGGCTGAACAACCAGATTCTTGAACTTAGACGCTCCTATAGAAAAGCGGAACAACGGTGGGAGAGGACAGGTCTGGTTGTTCATCGCGAATATTTTAAAGAACTTCTCGAGACATACAACGAAGCTGTAGAAAATGCCAGGTCTTCTTTCTTCAGCAACCTCATATGCCAAAATAAGAATAATCCTAAGGTTTTGTTTGATACCATCTCCAGCATCGTGTCTTCTCCTCCACAGCAGGCTCAGCTATCTTCAGCTGATGACTGTAACTGATTTCTCCACTTTTTTTGCAAACAAGGTGCTGAATCTGAGATCCAGCATTCCACCAGCCCTCCCCCCTCAGGAGGGGAGGCCCCCCAGTGCTCCGAGTCTTTCACTTCCTTCTCCCCAATTACACTAAATGACTTAACCTCAATAATCAGTCAGATGAAACTCTGATCATGCTCATCAGATATCTTAACTCCCTCTGTTTTAGTCGGGTCCCTTGCCTCTATCAGTCCATCTCTGTTGACTATAATCAACAGCTCACTGAGCAAAGGCTGTGTTCCATCTTACTTTAAAAATGCAGTAGTGACTCCTCTCTTAAAGAAACCCGACCTTGACGCCAGCTCCACCAGTAACTTTAGGCCCATTTCTAAGCTACCTTTCATCAGCAAAGTACTTGAGAAGGTGGTTGAAACCCAACTCAGATCCTGGTTTTCCAAGTCAAAGATCTCTGACCCCTTCCAATCTGGCTTTCTGAAGCAGCACTCAACCGAGACTGCTCTAGTAAGGGTGCATAAGGACCTCCTGATGGCTGCTGATGCAGGGAAATGCTCTGTCATGGTCCTGCTTGACCTCAGTGCAGCTTTTGACACTGTAGACCACAACGTTCTACTAAACAGGTTAAATGCCCTAGCTGGGATTTCAGGTTCTGCTCTAGACTGGCTCTCTTCTTATCTCACCAACAGAACATTCACAGTGAAGTCAGAAACCTTCTCTTCAGATACTGCCTCTCTAACATGCGGGGTCCCACAAGGTTCAGTTCTAGGGCCTCTACTATTCGCATTCTATATTCTTCCCCTAGCTGGCATCATTCAGTCTTTCCCAGACATCTCCTACCACATCTACGCTGATTATATTCAGCTCTATATGTCCTTTATGCCACACCAGTTGGACAGGCTGGCCACACTTGTACTCTGCCTGACCCAGATCAGTAACTGGCTGTCCAGCAACTTTCTTGTCCTCAATGCTAACAAGACAGACCCTGATCGCTGCACCCCCGGAACTTCAGCCAAAAATCGAGCAAGAAATTGCCTCTTTTTGCCCATCAGCCAAGGCCAAGGCCAACATTAGAAACCTAGGAGTTATTTAAGTTTAAGCTTTAAGTTTAGACTCACACGTCAAAACCATCTCCCTCTCTTGTTTCTTTCAACTGAGAAACATTTCAAAAGTCCGTAAACTGGTTTCTACTGCAGATCTGGAAAAAAATCATCCATGCCTTTGTGTCATCACGCTTAGACTACTGTAACGCTCTTTTTACTGGTCTCAGCAAAACCTCCCTCTCACACCTTCAAGCCATCCAAAATGCAGCAGCCAGACTCCTAACCAAATCCAGCAGACGAGCTCACATCACTCCAGTTTTACAGTCCCTCCACTGGCTCACGGTAGAATATAGAATTTAGTTTAAAGTTTTAGTCCAGACCTATAGACAGTGGCCACTGTAGTTCTTTTACCAAGAGTAATTACTAAACCCAAAGAGAGACTTAATAAAAGTTGAGGAATTATTTTTCTTTCAAGATGTTTAAACTTCTAAAACCCTGAAACCAGCCCAAAGGGAGTCTACTTGGTTACAAGTAGCTCCCAGAATGAAAGTTCCTCCAGCCTTTTATCCTTTCCAGATCCAGAGAAAACGATTAGTCCAATTTCTTCCACCTGAAGAACTGTGGAGGGATCCACTGGTGATGAGGCTGCCGGTGCTCATTGTGGTTTCCATGGTTACTGGACAACAGCATGGAGGCAGCCATCTTGTATCTGGGTCTGGTGTTGTCACTCCAAAAGAAAACAAAACAATGGGAAGAAAACTACCAAAACAGGAAAAAATTCTGACTAAACAGTAATAATAATACGACCAACCATTGTAAAACCCAGGTGTCGTAACAGCTCTTAACAACCAGGCTCCAAGCTACCTATCAGAGCGTTTATCCCCCACCTCTCGGAACCTTAGATCCACATCTGAAAACCTCCTGGCTGTTTCTCGAGCCAGACTGAAAACCAAAGGGGACAGGGCCTTTCAGACTATTGCCCCCAGACTTTGGAACAGTCTACCTTCAAACCTCTGTCTCTCTAACACTGTAGAGGTCTTTAAAAATCATCTAAAAACTCACCTTTTCATCCAGGCATTCCCTCCTTAAATGTTCAAAAAGATGGCTTTGTTCGGGTTCACACCTTCCCTTTGTTTATACTCATGATTTTATTTTCTATTTTATCACTGCTATTGTTTTTCTGATGTTTTTATTGGTTAGAGGTATTTGCCCTAATTTTTATCCTGTTGTACAGTGCTTTGAGGGCAGCAGTAGCTCAGGTGGTAGAGCGGGTTGCCTCATGATCGGAGGGTTATGGGTACGATTCCAGCTCCCGCCAGGGGTATCCTGCTGTTGTGTCCTTGGGCAAGACACTTCACCCAACTTGCCTGCATTAGTGGTGGTTAGAGGGGCCGACGGCGCCAAATGGCAGCCTCGCCTTTGTCAGACCTCCCCAGGGCGGCTGTGGCTACAAGTAGCATATCATCACTAGCAGTGTGTGGATGTGAGAGTGTGTGAAAGCGTCTTTGGGTGTCTAGAAAAGCGTTATATAAGTTCAATGCATTATTATTTGTGATTTATATCTGTGAAAGGCGCTGTATAAATAAACTTTTACTTACTTACGTAATTTTCAATAAATATTGGAATTCCGGACATTGTATGGCATGAATAACACATGCAATCGCTCCACCATAGACAGCATATATATTACTAGATGCCCTAACTGGGAGTCGAAGCGTCCTCCTTACACGGCGGCCATCTTACTTCGGACAGCTAACCGTTCTCTAGCTGATGGTGAGTGCACGGATCAAATAAAAATACAAATAACTCGATGAAATATTAACGGATTTACAAACGGTTTGCTTTATTACAAACGGTATGATACATAGGCTTGGCGCGGGATACTTACACATGTTGAAATTACCGCTATTACTTTTGAAACACGACATAATTATGAACAATGTGTCTCAACACCGGCTAAGCTATTTTGCGCGTTAGGTTGAGAGAGACCACAATCAATATTTGTATAGGGTTCGTGTGGTTCAACGAAACTAAGAATTGTACTTAAACCTAATTTTTGTCTAAATGGCTGTCTTGGTGGATGTTTTAGTGTTTATTAGCTGTCTAACTTTAGAGAAGACGAGGCTGCCGTGGCTGCGCCGCTTAGCTACAGTGTTTTACCTCAGTGGAAGCTGAGGGTTAAATTGTCCTTGTTTTCCAGTTTAAAAAATGTAAGAAACTTACACGGAAGTATATTAAAATAGCGGAAATTGCTGGCTTTGTTTTTACAGAAATACACGTGAAACACAACAAGCATGCCTGACTTTTGTGCTGCCTATGGATGCTCTAATAGACGATGTCTTCAAACACGACAACGTGGGATCACCTTTCACTCGTAAGATTTAACAATAACAAACATTCAACTGTGTTAGCCGCTAATAAGTCTCTGTCATCTGCTTTGCTTTTGAACAATTATTAGAAAACTGCTTTTTAGAAATAAGTGATGGCAAAGTTTAAGATCTATCAGCTAACTGTGATTTTAAAAAGTTGAATTGCTTGAATTCAAGATTTCTTGGTTAATCATTGCATGTTTCTGTCTTGACACCTTTTATTTAACTATTGCTGGTCTTGTGTTCATGTTAAAGGAAAAGACTGTAAACTATTTACAATGATTTATAAAGCTGCCAACATTTTGTCACTTGTTTAAGATTTCCCAAAGATGGAGAAAGAAGGAGGCAGTGGGAAGTTGCCCTAAGATGGAAAAACTTTGTTGTCACAAACAGGACGATGATCTGCAGTGAGCATTTCAAGGCGGGGGACTTCGACAGGACTGGTCAGACTGTCCGACTTAAAGCTGGTGTTAAGCCAACAATATTCAGCTTCCCTGCTCATCTTCAGAAGGTTGGATATGTGTATCTTTATTCAACACAAATCCAAGATGTATAAGAATGGAATATGCGTATTGATTTAATGTCACGTAGGGCTGCAGCTGTCTAATATTTTTGTAATCGAGTACTCTATCGAATCTTTTATCGATTAATCGAGTACTCTAATAAATTACTCTTTTGCGTTTAGTAAACCATTTTATCAAATAGCATGTTATAAAATTTGAAAGACCTCTTGAAATGAGCAAGCAATTGCCAGTTATTCTTCAAGTTTTATTCAAAATTAGTTTTCTAAACTTCAACTGTACTTCACAGTAAACAAATGCAAGCGACTGAGGCCCAAACAGAACCAGAACCGTTCACGGCGCATGTGCAAACATGGCTCGCCAGCTGTTTCCCTATTAACACACGTCCATTCTAATTTCTACACTTTTTTTTCACACACTAACAAGGACTGTCGAAAGCATGTTTGCCGTGGTTATGCCAAATTATACAGATCACAAAACATTTATTTACTTCCTTTCGTTTTCCTCCGCCACTCTCATAAATACCTGTGTCCTCCTGCAGCAATCCTGAGGGACAACGGACATCAATAACAACATGTAAAAAGTCCGACGTGTTGTAAAAACTGCTATTTTTAGCACATTTTAAGTCCGACGTGTTGCTACCAGACGTACGGTGTGAGCTGAAACTAAGTGCTACAAATGAAAAAGTCGCACAGTGCCCGCAGAATATATAGAAATACACGCTAAAATGCATTATCTTGTAGAGGCTCCGAGTCCGCTTGCAGAAGTGACATTTACAGGTGGATGTTTCCTGGTCAGGTTGCAGCATCGAGGAATGTGGTGTTGTGGTAGACTAAATTCATTTTACAGTATTTACACTGGAGTACGTTTTCCGTCTTACGACATGAAAAATGGTCCCACACCTTTGACATTTTGTGTCTTTTTCACACTCCACCGGGGTCCACATTGTCCGCCATGGCTTAAGAGAAAGTTAAGTTACATTCGCTAATCGCGTGTGCATTCAGTGCAGTGTGTATGTGCGTCACTTATTTTGGTCTGGGTGAAACATGACCCCGGGTGATTGCAAAGCCGTGAATTAATTAAACATGAATTAAACGAAGCCTCGAGGCAGAGAATTTGACTCAAGAATTTTTTGTACTCGAGGAACCGTTTCAGCCCTAATGTCACTTTTAGGCTTTTCTGGAGGATTGTTTAGGAATAAATAATGTGTTGTGTATTACGGCACATATAAGACAATCCAAAGTCCTTCATTTATGTTTATTTTCCTTCATTTATGTTTATTTTAGGTTATACGAACAAGAACCACAGCCACCTCTAGAAGAGCGGATGACAGCCTGGACGTGTCTGAGCCTAATGTGAGTTTGCGTGTTGAATGTTTCTAACAAATCAGGTCATTCTAAGGTCTCTAACATTAAATCCTTTATCTTGGTGGTACCATCGGCATATATACAGGACAATTCGTTTCCATAGGCTCCAATAATACGTTTTTAAGCCAAAATGGGAGGTGGCCACCACTGCCATTTTGACCGTGTCACAGGTTCCGTCAAACCTAGACAATTCCGCAAAAGGGGAAAACCGGGTGGAACACAGAGGTCTCCTGAAAACTCCAGCAGCCGCGCAGCAGACAGGCGCAGCTGTGATCAGAGATGCGCCGAGCTGTCGCTGAAGGGAGGGAGTCCATATCGATAGTCAGAACCCAGCTCCACCAACATGTAATATTTCAACCCATTTTCAAAAATGCAGTGTTATGTTAAATGCACTGGGTTTTACCCTATTACATTTCAATTTCTTGGTTAAACAGTACATGTTAAAATCTAAGCTCAGCTAGTGCAAAAGCGGCAGTGACCTAAAATACATAAATATAATTTTACTTACTGAAAAAAATGAAGTGGAGACTCCTTGGATGCTCTATTAGTGCAATTAATACCACAGCAAGTCATTTTGTCCAACAATTGCACAAATAATATCCAAAAAGAACGCACAAACTCCACAACTAATGGTCTAAGTTGAGAGACTAAAAATGGTGGAACAGTTTTCAGGCGAGGCCGAGGCTCAGGCTGAGGCCTTTCCCTGGAGCTAGCTCTGCAGTCACGTGGGTCTGATGCTCATTAATTATTCAGAATTTTAGGCATTTAATACACTTAAACAGAAGAGTGACTAAAACATTCACCCCCCTCAGAGTTGTCATGAGTGTAAACTAGATCTACTAAACCCAAAACATGTTTTGGAACCAGGCTGTAAACATGTTTATTTCTGCTGTGAAATTGTTTTTTTTTTTAACATGGGAGTCAATGAGAATTTGCTCGCTTCTGCGGGCTTGGGTGTTACCCAGAAAGGTCTATGATGGTGTTGGAACAGTTATATTGTTTTGAGGAGGCACTCCGTGTAAATGGGAACATCAGTCTTTCACAAGGTGTAAAAACTAGGGCTGTCAGTCGATTTAAAAAAATTAGTTAATCACACAATTTTCTGTAATTAATTGTGATTAATCTCAATTTATCTGATCATTAGTCTGGCTGCTCTTACACTTTTTTCCAACTTTATGTTTCTCAATGAAAAAAGTTGTCACACACTCCATGGAAACTTTCAGAGAATCCACAAATTGTGGCTTTCAAATGGTTTTGTTACTTTTTGCAAGTTTAGAAATGAAAAAGAAGCAGATGAGGCAGCATGTCTGATAATTTAGTTTTTCATCCAATAATAGAACATGTCAGTAATGTCTGAGGGGCTTTTACAAACACTGTATTACGAATACTCCTGGAGAGGGTATGGATTACACAGGCTTCTGGGGAGCCCAGTTATAGGGGTGGGGTTTTTTATATTTTGCCTTGGCCCCCAGAATGCCTTGAAACGGCCCTGGGTGTGTGTGACCGAGTTTAGAAGGTGGTCTCAATTGTATCAAATGTATAAATATTACATGTGTATAACTTATTGTTTTAAACAGGTAAAACGTGTGGTGGAGATAAATCCACCTACATTTTACTTTTCAACACTTTGTTTTGTTTTTTTGTTTTTATTAAACTATTTTCCTGTCCTGTCTGTCTCTCATCTTCCTGCATCTCCTCTAAACTCTCCAGAAAATCTGCTGCCTGGATTCTTACTTTTTCACCTCACCAGTTACTTTTGAGCAGATCAAAGGGATCTCCTGACCGCAAAGCGGAGAGCGCATTTCGATGCTGCACCAGTGAGGTGAAATCACTGCAGCACAGGTGATGAGCTCCGCAGCAGCAGAGCGCTTCAGGCTCAAATAAGACATAAAGTAGAGAACATGTGCGGACATGAACGATTGTGTGTTAATTATAGTTTTTTGGTTGCGCCACTTTGAGAATGGACCGTGCGCTGGACGCAGCAGCCTGGAGCGTTGCGCACCAACGATGTGACCTGAGATTGAGAATAATCCCTCACAAGGGAAAGGCACTGTGGTTGCAGGGGTTGACATGTACTTGCATGCAACAGGTGCCAGTCTGGAATTTGCTTCTTCTCTCTTCAACCACCACTGTAATGGACAGTGTCCAATATCCATTTTGGGCTCTGCTTTGTACTGATCTAGACTGCGCTCCATGGACAGCATTGTCCATGCTAGCAAGCTTTTCCTCTCCTTCTCTTTATCTGCTGCTGCTTCTAATAATTTCCAGCAGGTCAGACACCAGTATAGTGCAATACTGCCCCCTACTTCAGAGCCGCTCACGAGTTTGAGGTGTCGGATTATGTAAAATTTTAAAAACTGCATTAATTCCGTTAATTTTTTTAATGCATGAAATATTTCACATAACTAAATTAACGCGTTATTTTTCACAGCACTAGTAAAAACTTTACTTTTCTTTCTATTTGCACCATTAAAACTTCACACACACAACTGAATGCTCCAGCTCTTCTCTTTTTTTTTCATTCTGAATGTCCTCCAGCTGTTGAGCATCAACCTGAGCAGATGACGTGCAGAGAGCTTCATCTCAACGTTTTAAAAGTAACTTGTGTTAATTTGCAGTTCACCATGTTTGTTTATTTTGATGAAGGAACCGGGAACGGCTGGAGAAAGGCGCAAGGAACAAAAGAGTCAGGCTACTGACCATGCATATGGATTACCCGCTTGCCCCAAATACATTAAAGCCAAGCTTGATGCAGCCTCTGCAAGAATTAGGAAATTGGAGCGTGAGAAGAGCGATGCCATGAAAAGAGAAATGAGGGCCAAGGAATGCATACAGTCTCTTCTTAAGGAGCTTAAGGACAAAAACCTCATCACCGAAGAGCTGAATGACCACCTTGAATGCTACTCAGGTAAAATACAAATGTTACATTAGTTATTTTTAGATTAAATATTGTGTATTTGAAGATATTTGTTAACAGTTAAACTACCCATTTACTTTAAGAAAAGGAAACCTGTGAAATTGGTGCTAATTGAATTTCAGACCTTCCGGTTCACCTCTTGTCAAGGCCAAGCTGACGCTCAGTGGCATCAGCTCTGAGGAAGATCGCAGACACGATCAAAACTGTCAGCAAGGTAACAAACTTTCCCTGTGTTTCAAAAAGAACCTAAAAATGCAGTCAGAAGAAAAACAGAAGACTACACAAAAGATGTTTGTAGTCTTTTGAAAAACTGCTGGCTCATCAAATCCCCCTGATAAATAAATACAGTGAATAAATTCCACACGTATTCATCATGATTACTTGTTTGCCTTTAGGTAGTCAAACTATAGTTCTTGCTGATTTCTCACCTGACATCATGTTGTTCTAAAGGTGTATGTAAAGTATAAAGGCAACCACACTGTCCAGTTACATTGGTAATTGTAATTTCAGGATTTGCTGTGCAGCGAGCCATGACCAAGCTGTCCTGTGATGTCTGCCGTGCCAGCCTGGTGATGGATGCTGCGTCTGCCTGTGATGACCAGAGCTACCATTTGCTGACTCTTAAGAACAACGGGGGTTTTGTGGTCCCATCTGAAGGTACTGTGAGGGTCATCAGAGAAGCAGAGAGGGCAATTCGCCAGGCATCAGTGGGCAGACGATCACAGCCCATCAAACCACTGGAGGTCATCTACATTGTGCGTAAGCGGATCAGGTCAAAGGATGTCTTTATGCTTGGGGAGCACATCAGTGAGACACAGTACGGAACTGAGTCTCACTCCCATACACTGTTGACATCTATTGTCTCCTTGTTTTTTAAGCTGAGGGTGCACCACATTGCAAGACTAGCAACTCTTAGCTTTCAGTCTGACAGCTGTAATAGTTTAATTTACATGTTATTTAATGAGCCATAAGACATAATATTCCATAGTAAATATGAAATCACCCTTATGGATCTGTGGGTACTGTTTAACCAGAAGATTGGAATTTTTTATTGCAGGGATTAGGTAACAGCTTCATATTAACTCAGACAACAGAAGAGAGAGTCAAGTTTAAAAGTTTAAAGATTTATTACTAAACAAGTTAAACTAGACTAACTTTAACACTAAATGTATGGTGTAACTAAGGTGAATGAGACGGAGAATGGTGTAGTGTGGAATGTTGCTCAGAACCAGCAAATCCAAAGAAACGATTAGTTCTGGTGGGAATGAAGGTGATGTCTTTGAGCTAAGCTTTGGTTAGGAGATTCATAAACACATTCAACGCCATTCTGTCGCCTACATACCCTTTTGGAAGTCCCCGTTAGATCAGGAATGTCGAGGTCCAGCTGGACCCTTTCTGGAACCGAAGCCGGTAGGAAAAGCAGCGGTTGCCGACCAGACCAGTCTTTGAGATACTTCCGGGTCACGACAGTTTTGTTGGCATCTAGCGAGACCCAAAACTGGGTCTCGATGGTTCAGCTTTTATTCTGAAAGGAACCGTTGCAGCAGGTGGAACAGCAACAGATTTGATCAAGCTTGTCATTGGTTCTTTTGGCTGAAGAGGAAAGTTACGGATTGGCCACTCCGACAACTTCTCTAGAACGTTTTGAACTGGCGTTAAAGATGACGTGGGCATAGTTTTATATTTCGGATGTTTTGGTTTATGGTCGAATGAAAAGATGACAGATTTATCAAGCACCTCCAAAACCACGCCTCCGTCAGATCTGGCAGATTCTGATAGGATCAGTAAAAGCAATGTGTCGTCTCTTAACGCTACGTGAGATCAGTCCTAGTGGAAACATTAAAAGTCATATTACTTATTATATTCTATAGGATTATAATAAAGTAATTAATATTTTGATTTCACAGATTGGTCACATCTTATTATTGACTAACACTTTGTTTGATTAGCTTTATTAAAAATAGAGTTCTTTGATTTATTAAAAGGAGAGAGTCCTTTTCTTCATTCTTCTCTTGAGCTGGTAAGAAAGCAGTTTATAGCAAATGCATGAGACCTTGAGGCAATGTCTCATGTAAACTAGTTCTGTGTCAGAGGAGAGGGGGCAAATGACTTTTGGTGGAAAACAGTCATTTCATTTCGTTACACAGCGTGAGACAGAAGCTCACAAAAGCTGTCCTTTTCAAAGGTCGGTAGGAAATCACAATGCTTTAGCATCTGTCTGTAGATCTGTTATTTTTATAATCAAAATATGTATAATCTGTAATAAACAAGTTTTTCATAACTCAGTCTGTCATTTATTTACTCTTTAATTTTTGAAGTGTTTAGCCCTTTAACTCACAATTATCCCAGTTTTCTCATACTTTCTTTTTAAATGGGTTGCAGGCTGAAAGTGGAAATGAATATTAATTATTATAACTTGCCAAAGCAAGTAGGTTCATATTACTTGCAAATATTAAAGTCAAAGTAAATAAAATATATTCTGTATATCTTTTGTCTTTTTATAAAATATTTTCTCAGTCATTGAGGATCTAGAGTTGTTTTGTTTTTTTGGACTGGGTGTTTTGACTTTAAATTTTGTTTGCTGCTTCTGTGTATTATTTTTTTAGTTTTATTATTTTCAGTAAATTAAATCAGGTATTTGAGTTTTTATTGATAAGTTGGTATGGTAAGTTATAAGGTATCTTAAAACTTATATAAGTTGACCTCAGTTTACAAACTACAGCTAGTTCATCGGAAGCAGATCTTGTTGACATTAAAACGGTAAGTCTGGGAAATTGACAGGATAGGGGAAAACGGCTGGAAAGTGAATTGAAATAAGGTGAGTTTCCTGCCAAAACTGATATTTCATAGCCACGTCTCTACAGTTCCTAAAAAAAAATAAAACCGTATGAAAATCGGTTGAAATTTAAATAGTGTATGCACCACTAAACAACAGTGTTAGATGGCGGCAGCTAACCAAAGTTGACCGAAGTAAGATGTCCTCCGCGTACGGACGTCAGGGTCGCGTCATTTGGAATTCTAGGATGTCCAAGGAAGGTCCCACCTTTCTCGTCTCTGATTGGCTAGAAATGATCTACGCGTGGCTATTTTGTATTTAGGAAACAGTTTTCCCTCGCTGCAGGTTTTTATGTTTACAGCCAGATCTTGAGGATTTTTTGAATAAAATGTGAACTCATCGCTATAATAAACATCCTTTCCTGTTTAGCAACAAACCAAGTTCCGTTTCTTTCATAAAAGAACCTGAAAAACATCAAATGTGAACTTCTAATAATTCTTGTAGCATTTTATCACACTGTAGACTGACTATATCTATTTGGCTCTGTTTGGGGTTATCTTGTTACTTCATTATTAGGCTATCCTGCTTTAATAAGTTACGGCTGTTTACAAGTTAGAGCACATCTGTCATCAGATTAAATGTATATCATTTAATCAAAAATCAAGTTAAAGCTGCTGATTATGATTTAGACCTATTTTTCACCAGTTTTCATTATTCTAGAGAAGAAACAGACCTGATGCACATAGCGTGGCAGAATAGGGCAGTTTTATTATATGTACCCAGGTAAGGCACATATGTTTATCCTAGTATGTACTCTAATACTTCAGAGCCATGAGATATAAAGTAAGTCCAACAGTTTGATAAATGTAACGAGATTTAAAATTCACATTTTACGTTGTACATTTTTATGCAACATAAAATATTGTGCAAACCAGGACAGAATGTTTACTGTAGCGCTAAGTCCACAATTTCGTTACTAAACTCCCCAAAACATCTTTCTGCTGGTGGCAGAAGGACAAAGCGAGGACAGCCAGTTTGCTGTAAAATGAAATAGCCAATCGTAGTAGAGCTTTTCTAGCCAATCAGGGACGAGAAAGATGGGACCTTCCTTGGACATCCTAGAATTCCAAATGACGTGCGCGGGCGAGGCATCTAGTAATATATATGATATCTTCCACCAACAAGTCAAATGACCGATTAGAATTAACTACATTAATGTTTATTTAGACACAACGAAACAGTTAAAATCACTGCATTTCAATTAGTTAATGGTTATTTTATGTATAGTATGTTTAATTTTTATTTCTTTAGTTTACACATTTATTGTAAAATCAAAACACATTCATTCTTTAAGGAGAGCACATGAATAAAAATTCTTAATGGGTTCACATTAACAGTTATAATATATTGTTTGACCTAACTTTAAAACACGAGAGCAATAGTTTTTGTTTAGCATATCTACATTTATGAATATACCATTTGGCTGTTTTCCTTTAATCTGTCTTTGTTTTTAAAGTATGCAAAAACTTATATATTTTTTAAGTTTAGAAAAAATGTCTTTTCAGAACATAGGGACATAAACTTTGGGTATATTTTATTTAAAATATTAATAAAAAATGCATCAAACAAACATAAAAAGCCACACAGGTATCAGTGAAGTGCTGGAAAATTCTGACATCAGCACCTCTTACAAAATCAGTTAAAGCTACAACTACCTGCTTTGGCAATATTGCATAATTAAATAACAAATGTACAACATTTACACAAATATAAACATATTATTTTGTAAAATAAGTTCCAGTGGAATGTTTTTGTTTCTTGATTTAGAAAAATAATTATATATACATAACTTAAAGCTCGTTTGAGAACCTTGGAGCTCCTGCATGTTGCCCAGTGATAGTGCAGTAAATAAAATAATATTAGAGCTACATAATTTGTAACACACTCTCTTGTCTTCTCTTAAATGTTACATAATAAATACACAACTGAATCCGTCACAGTCTACCATCTGATCGAGCACTTCCTGTCATTTGTTGCTTCATTCTGTACTCTCTAGGCGAAACTCAGGCTGGGATTGTAAGCTTTTATTATCCCTCTGATAGCGATCTGGTGTTTGCACACGTCCAGACGAGCACCAGGCTTTTGTTTTGTTTCATGACCATCTCTGCTGAGTCGTCATGGGACCAAGGCCTCGGGCCCCAAAGTCTGATCCTGTCCAGTGTGTTGAAATTCCAGAGAGCGGCTGAATCATTCCAGTCTCACCGTCGTACTCCCAAATGTTGTCATAGTCCATTTCCTGGTCATCTGGATCTGTGGGTTCCAGGTATGAGTGGCGATCTGCGGGAGTGAGAGAAGATTTAGTTGTAAACTTAAACTTTGCCCAGATTCTTCGAACTTGGACGCAGAGCTTTACTGTAAAACCTGTAGAGTAGCATGCCACTGCTGCTACACTTTCATCGTTTAACATTCCTAACAGCGTCGGAGGATAAAAGCTGAGGAATGAAACCACATAGCGGGAGCATGTTCAAGTCTTTCTCTGCAGTGAGCCGTCCTGTGTTGAGCTGTCAGTCACAATAGAGGCGTGTTTCCTTTCTGACTCGTGTTTTCTTACAGTAATTTATTTCCTGTAACAACTCTGAGCTGCTCTAAGCAGCATTTCAGCAGCCAACTTCACGCACCTTTACCTGCCGACAGATTCAAATGCTTAAGCAATCTAATCCAAGTGCACTGAGTGTTAAATGTAATGTTTACTAGAGTAATGTTCTGTGTCGTTGGTGGACAAGCAGGCTTCAATACTTAAAGCTTGTTGTGAATTATGACACATCGCTGTTATAGATTTGAACAAAAGACAATTAATTGTCACTTTAACTGTTGATTTAAACTTATTTCACAGCGACATCCTTGAGTTCCCGCTGAAGCACCTGAAGGAATCAGATCAGTGTTTGTGTCTTCAGCACTTACCAGGGGAGTAACTATAAGGCATCTGAGAGGCGCTCCTTGCGCAGCTCGACGGGAGAGGGATCTGTCGGCAGATGAGAAAACAGAGAGTCACTTCCTGCGATGAGCTACAACAAACATTCTACTCTCCCTAAAGTATGTATTTCATCTGCGGCATCTGTTTAAATATCGCCTTCAGTGTGAGTACACACACTTACTTCACTACTTGACTTTGTTCTGCAGCATTCCAGAAACTGGAGTGCCCTGGGAGAGGTGGATCTCGGTGCTTCTCACCTGCTCTTGAACTTGGCCGGGTACAGGTAGCAGTTTCAGCCTGGACACGGCCTCGGCTCTCTGCCCCGGTTGGCTCTGAGAGGATTCCGGGTCGGGACCCGGGGCCTTTGCGTGGGAGTTGGTCAGGACCAGGCTTCTCCTGCAGCGTCTGCCCAGCGGCGGGGTCTGCAGTTTGAAGGAGGAAGGAAGGAGCTGCGTGTCCTGGTGGTGGGGTCGGTGCTGCATTGGTTCGTTCCAGCTCTGGTGCTAAAAAACAAAATACTTTATGTTTTAGTCACCTGTTTTCTAAACACTTCAAAGTTTCACCTACTTTTAATACACGTTGAACTTCAGTTAGCATTTCCAAAAGGGTTAAAATCCTCAGAGAACCCAATTCCATCATAAATAATGTGTGTGTGTGTGTGTGTGTGTTTGTGTGTGTGTGTGTGTTTGTGTGTGTGTGTGTGTGTGTGTGTGTGTGTGTGTGTGTGTGTGTGTGTGTGTGTGTGTGTGTGTGTGTGTGTGTGTGTGTGTGTGTGTACTCTTGTTTGATATCAGGAGAGCTGTGCAGCTGTAAACTGAAACACTGGATCCAGTATCTTTGACCCACTTACCAGTGGCCTGGCCTCATCCAGGGAGTAGACTTCTGGGCTGCAGGGCTCGTCATACAGAGGTGACAGCGGCTGCCGCGGGGCGCACATGTCTGAGTGACGCTGCGTGGCGTTCAGAGGGTAGTTTAGGGATGTCTGTGGCGTGCTCCAGCTGTTAGACTGAAAGTAAAGGATTGAGACAAGATCAAGAGTTTGTCTTATTAGAATTAGTCCAGAAGTGGAATAAACAAAGGTTTACTGTTATCAGGAACAGGAGAGTAATACACTCTGATCAGAATACTTCTCTCAGACTGGGTTACACTTTGTTTATGAATCATAATAAACATTTATTTCTATGCACCATTAAGTAAATTGATCTCTCAACTCCTGTTTGCACAAATGCCGACCTTTCCCCATCTGTTGGCACCATAAAGAAGAGCAGCCCTCTTAGCCTGCTGCTCGGTGTTTCTATTTCAGTTACTGCACACATGGCATATAGTCTCACAGGGAATATTTGGTTATCAAGTTATATGCCAGACTGAATTACCTTGATGAGTGGGGCTTTCTCTGGGCGCTGAGAACTGGCGTGTTGCGGTCCGGAGTATGGTTTGCTGTAGATCTGAGAGCTCTCTGCAGGTTGGAGGTAGGAGGAGCTGTGCAGAGGCGAGGAGTAGCGCAGCGACAAAGGCCTGAGGTCACGCTCGGGCCTGGTGTGGGAGGACACGCTGCTGGTTCTGCTGTCCAGCCGAGCGGTCTCAGTCGAGGAGGGACGGCTGGAATTGTACTGCAGGTGCAAAAAAATCACAAACTAAAGTCAGCCGAGCAGCAATTACACACTGGACTCTTCATCTTTGGGTTTTAAGCACCTCCTCTGTTTTCAGTAAACAAAGTCATCTGGAAGTGAGAGAAAAGGATCTCCATCAGATTAAGTGGGAGGGTCACAAGTTTCCCACCAGCATCGTTTTATCTGGGCACTCAGCTCTCTCTTTAAGCTAATTGGATGGCAGCTTCAGCGCTCCTCTCCTGGAGGAGTTCAGCAAAAACTCCTGATAATGACGAGTGCTTCATAAAGAGATCCAACCCTGCATCACATCCAGACTTATCTTGTTTGTTTTGTGTATTCGTTCACCACCTGAGCACGTAACAGGAGCACTTTGTTCTCCAGTCCTTGCTTAATAATTAACACTTAGAGAGAGGTGTTGCTGATTTCCATTAAAACGATCTCCGTGCAGAAACCAGAAGGTATTTAAATGCTGTGGAAAGATTTCACCGACTGTTTCGTTAACCTTATCGAGTCAGGATTATTAAACAGAAGCTCACGGCTGACTCACACAGAGAGGTTCAGCGTATCCCGGGGACAAAATGTTTCCTTCATGGGCAGGCAGCTGAAGGTTTTGGGACCCGTGTCCACTTGATGACTGGCTGTACTTAAGAGACTCCACTCGCCCTTGGCTGTTTCCACTCCACCTGTCGAACTTTGGTGCCTGGAAACGGAATAACACAATAGAATATTCAGTTTTTTGGAAAGAGGCTTTAAAATGCCGGCAGAACTTTTCCAAGTTTGTCTTTTGGGGGTTTTGATGAAATTCTGACAAACGAGGAAAGGCCAGAAAAGTTCAACTGAGATCCTTGGTGCCTCGGATTAAATATGACCCAGACTGGATTTAGGTTCACAGATGACACATACCTTTGGGTATACGATTCATTTACTCCTATACGACATAATTGGCACGCGCATGTAAAGCATATCTATAGTTCATTTCACACAAGACACCCAAGAGACGGAAACACCTTCTTCTCATTTCAGTGCTGTGTGTCAAATGTCTGCAGAAAGAAGGGGTGCTGTTTAGGCTCTAAACCAGTAAAGGTGGTAGTCACAGAGCTGAGTTGGAGTGTAGGTGTGAAGTGTGACGGGCTGCACGTTCAGGGATTCATTCTAACAAACACCGGCTTCATGTACATGAGCAGACTGTTGCAGGGCGTCGTGCAGGCTAAGATCAAAGGGGGGGGGGGGGCGGGACCATCCTTTTGTAAATCATCAGCAGCTGTGAACAGTGACATCATCACGCTTACGCTGTGAAAGTAAAAGGGAACAGCCCTCACCTCTGTGTTCGTAGGGGTGTAGATGATGTCATACACTGGGGGCGGGGGGCTGACAACAGGCACGTCAGCAGCTTTGAAATGCTGGATCCAGTCACAGAACTCGGTCCTATCCAGACAGGACACCACTATGGGGTTGATCATTTTGCCTGGGGGGTGGGGAGTAACAAAGGGTGTCATTTGGTCTGCTTGCTCGCTGGAATGTGCTTTAGTAAGGATAAAACCCTCCCATTCATAGAGGGGCTTCGTTCTATGACGGCAGCAGTTCCAAGAGGGAGGTCACTCAAAGGCACTTGGGAGTGTGTGCTTCTTATTGAGTGTTTTCAGAAGAAAACGTGATTCACTGTTCTTACCTTCAATCTTAAAGGTGTTGGGCTTGACGTCTTGACAGGGAGTGGTGACGGTAATCATGTTGAGTGGAAGTTTGCCCTGTAATCAGAGTAAATCTTTAATACTACTCACATAATCCAGGTTTGACAGTAAAAGACGGTCTGCTGCACCTTATAGAAGAGCCCGTCGCTTTCCTCTGATAGGATGATCAGGGTGGATGGGTACATCACCAGCAATCTGTCACTCTTCTCCTGAACATGTAAGATGATGACAGCATGTACACGTTTTAGATAACACACCATTCTGTGATTTTTTTTATTCTTATTATCAAGTATAAAACTCTAAAGTACATGTAATTCCAGTTTTCTAAAAGTGTTTCTCAACCTGAACACTGTTATCAGTTGTTTTTACTCTGAGGCCAACTCCAAAGATAAACGGGTACCTAAGTACCTTTCATGGAAAAGAAAGTGAGCCCTGATAACTTCAGGGAAAGATAAAACCACAAGACAAGGCACAGAGTGAACCATGAGACCCGGAGCGAGTTTTTAAAAAAGCACAGGATTTATCTTTTAATTCTGCGTTGAGAGGCACGCTTTAAACCCCGCAGAGGTCGAACCAGTTTGTGAGACTTTTGAAGGTGCAGCAGATCCAGAGTTTATGTTTCTTCTCTCTTGTGGGGTGTGTCTGAACAGACAGCTGACATTCCAGCCGTGAGGTGAGTTGAGTCGCTGTGTGAGCCGAGCGAATGCCTCTCACACGCCCAAGGCACTAAATCACATCAATAGATATGCCGCTGCTTCTCATAAAGAATTAACAGATATCCCTGCAAAGGCATGTCATGACTACAGTGTTGATTAACGGCTACGTGAAGTTGCTTTGGCATCATTCACAGGGATCTTGCTTGATTTCATTCGATGGGGTTGAATATTTCACTCAGTTGGTTTATGCGTCTCTGACTCTGTGGTGCAACGTGAGAATAAAACACGCTGTATAGATAAACAACCGGAAGAGAGTAATTTGCTAAAACATGGGCACCACCCTTTTCTCTCCTTGCACTGCGTTGAGGTAATGCATTGCACAATGTGAAAAACCATGTGAGTCACCTGGATTTAGAGCACTGATATTATCCTGCTTTTTATTTATCGTGAGAAAAAGTTCCCACGGCTTTGAAAACACATTAGCATTATGAGTGACAGCCTGTTACGCTGTGGGTTTCCAAAGTTTGGTTAGAGGTCTGGGGGTGGTGAGAGAAGCAGCTGTGACGTCATACCTGACAGGGCAGGTGCTGCAGTCGGACTTTGGTGACGTAGGTGATGGGGCCCAAGCTGTCCCGCTGAGAGCCCTCCCACTCATAGATGGGCTCTCTGTTGATAGACTTCCTCAGGTCCACTCTTCCACTGTGACCTTTGCTCTGGTTCATCTGTAGATACACATCAGATCACAGAAGTTAGACAGTATCACCACCAGATGAACAGAAATATGTGTTATGATGTGGTCCAGATCTCTCCCTAGCATTCAGGCAGAAGCACGCAGTGATCATTACTCACTGTATTTACACAGTCACACATCCTGTTTTATCAGGAGCGGCTGGAAATGAGGCTAATGTGCCAGGCGGAATCAAACATGCGATCGAGTTTTGAAATAAGATGTTTGAATTGATCCCGGTGTGGCAAACACAAAAAGAAATTAGACAGCTCTCATTAGACTTACTCTCACTCTGGTGCAGGTTTCAGGCGTGGTAGCAGAACCTCCGTTCACCTCGATGTTTTCTGTGAGCAGGCTGAACCACAGGTCCATCTCCTCCTGGCTGCCGTAGTAGACAATGATGGGATTCAAGCTGACACCTGCAGGGTTCAAAGGTTACAAAGGCATGCAGAGAAAGAGTCGTTATCTGTCTTTTTAAAAAATCTTTTCTGTTATGTTAGCACAGAGTTTATTTGTTTACACCATGTTACGCAACAAGTGCAATAAATGCTAACACATGTTCAGAACAGTAAACCAGATGTGGATCCCTCACTGACCTGCGGCCTCATAGCAAACAGATCAGAGGGAATAGACGGAGTCGGGATGATGAGAGCTGCAATCTCCCTCCACCCATCAGTCCCACACATACCAAAGATAACCAGCATTTGATTTCATTCCAGTTTATGGCTTTGTACTCTAATAATCTACCGAAGCCCAAATGTTGACTTCTCCGTTTTTCAGGCCAGATCCTCATTAGGGACTGTGCCCGTAACCATTCCTATAAATTCTTTCACTCCTTAAAAAGTTTAGTTTTCTCAGTAGAAATCCAGCCAATGAAAACTCATTTAAACCTCCAGTTAGTTCACAGGGGCCACAAGCTATTGTTAAAAGCAATTATTCATTATTAACCTACGTTTACAACCACGTTTATCTAGATTATGTGGGAGCTTCCGGGAATTCTCGAACATCCTCTTGAATCGTGTGTGCTTCGTCACCATCTAACTCACCACCACTCATCTCAGAGGGGAAACATCCACTACATATCTTCCATTTGACTCAGATTTTTATTCAACTTCCTGTCAGTGATGCCTCCCAAAAGGCAAATGAGACTTCGTATTTGAATAGGAAAAGAGGAAACGTGAAGCCAAAAACTAACAAAGTAGAGCTGGGAACCTCGCAAACACAAATCCCAACAAAGGAACACCAATGAGGGCCAACGTTGTGACAGCAGGGACTTCAGCGGGAATGTAAAGATAAACAGGAGTTATTTGTACACAGTTCTGGATTCAGTTTAAAGCTTTTAATATTTAATAAAGAAATATGGGGATTTGTTCAATTAAGTTAAAGATCAAAAACTTTTTTTCATTCATAAAGGACACAGACCAGATCTGTTGAATGTGCCATGGATTATACTCTTTGACGAGACGAAGAGCGATAGCCGGGCTTTTCTATGTGACAGCTGGGTTCGCAGAGATGCACCTGTTGTCTAACAAGCTTTTAAAAGCTAGTTTACCCCCCGACCGGAGGGGACGGAGGCCCGGCTTTAGTCGGTCTTGGGTCAGACGGGAGGTGAAAAGGTGAAGAGGGTCGTTGAAACGTGATAACACAAGCAGGAAATGCCAAAATCGTGAAATAGTGTGGCATTTTTAATAGATTTTTTTTTTTACTTTAACTAATGACAGATTAGACACACCATCAATGGCTACAAAACAATGACACTTATACTTAAGGAGAATTCAGCCTCCGCGCCCACAGTCATCCAGCTTTGGCTGTTTAAATCAGACCCCGACATAGACACTCTGGATTTTTATTCGGAAAGACTGATTATACAAACTCAGCAGAGCCAATAAAACAAAACTGACAATTATAAAATACCAGCGCTGTGCGCCAACACCCACACAGTTTTTGTGTGCATGATTTATTTTTTCTCACCGTTTATTTGGAAGGCATATTCCTGAGGTTGGCTGTGGTTGCAGTTCTGCTGCAGGTTGGAGATGGTGAGCTCTTTCAGTGGAAGAGTCCCCTGTGGGGAAAAAAAATCAATTTACACTTTTTAAGATGGGAATATTTACAAATTTAGAACTTATTCGCATCAATCCTCTCTCTTAGGGTTTAAAATGAAGATTGAACTCTAGAGTTGTGTTCACCAAAAACAAAACAAGCGAGTTTGACAAGGACTCATAAATCAGTGATGTATCCCTGTCTGTCTTAGTTTTGAGGTAATCTGAAGTCTGACTAACACACAGGTGCTTCGTTGTCTCTTTTTAACATGAAGCTGAGCTCTGGAGAGCAGTGAAATGATGATTAACGGCACTTCTAAAAGGTTACGAGACAGCTGACGAAACTTAATCATACTTTCTGTGCACCAAATAAAAGTTCTGGTAGGCGGGATGCGAGTCAAAAATTAGGATTACAAAAGATTACATGATACGAAACCTATAAAACTCATGAAAGAGCTCCTAAAATAGCGTGGATCGGAGGGATGGAAAGTACCTGGTATGTTAGTCCAGTGGTGTTGTTTGAGACAAAATGAAGGTGTGTTTGGAAGAGATCCAGGTAGCAGTCATGAATATCCTGTAGAGAAATTAAGAAAAAACGTGTCCTGGTTTAATGGGAATTAATATTTAACGAGTACTGATCAGGATTCTCCCCAACAGGAATCAGATTTATCAGTTAATCTGATGATTCATAGAAATGTTCCTCCCTAAAAGACCAAACACCTTCTATGCAGTTTATTTTATGTTAAAAACACAGTGTTCTCTCTCGCCATCATGACGTTATTCCTTTCATCAATCTTTTCTCCCTGCTCTCTGACAGAGCTGTTGTGCCGCAGCTCTGAAACACTGCAACTCCCCACCACAAGCAGCCGGCATGTCCTGTATCAGCCCGTGGGATCAGAGCAACTCTCTCTCTCCCCCGAGGTTCTCTGCTGGGAGATGTTTCACAACCGCAGCAGGAGGAAGCGTGCCCAAACACAGGCTGCTCAGCTTTTTATAGGAAACTGCTTGGATTATTCACAGCCAGCCACTGTGTCAAAATGAACATGGGTTGCAGCATGTTTTCAAAAGCTGCACAGCAACATCCTGTTACTTCTCAATGTTTTTTTAAGATTTGTACCTATCGGGGTATGCACAGATCATGAGGTGTCACCCTGACCTCAGTCGTTGTTAGAAACCGCAGTGACGACCTTACAGCTTTGTGTTTGTTTTTCTTTTACAGTTGCTTTCCTGATATTTCATCATGCACACAGGAGCGTGCTCATCCTTTTGTGTTCCTCTCACCTGGCAGTGGAGGAAACGGAAACGGACTTTGGAGCTGTGAATCATCCGCCCAAAGTTCTTCACGTTGATGCTGCTCTTCTTCCAACCGCTGGTCGGGTCGTAAAGAAAGGGAGGGTCCCATTTGGTGTTCTCTATGGTCTGGAGGTCTTTAGGAGACATTTCCTGCAACAGGTCACAGAGTTAGTTAAATCATACGGATTGATTGTCCTGTTTTCTCCATTTTCTAAGAGAAAGTACCTTACCTTCCTGGGGGTGACCGTGCATAAGATGTTGATGATGCTGTTGGACTTCTCCTGTCCTTCCTGGGGATTCTTCCTCCGAAATAAGCGACTGCTGCTCATCAGAGAAAAATGTCATATGTTACCACTGATCCAATTTCTTCTTATAGACGTGTAAATAAAAGCTTTTCCAGTGCTTTGTAAATTGTCTTAAATCAATCCGTTTCTTCCTTTGTCTTCTGTTGTTGACACCCATTGAAATGATAGAATCAGGCCTCTGATAGTGAGGATATGCATAAAGAAATCAGCATTCAATTGCCTCTTTGTTTTGTCTCTCCCTCATCTGTTACTACCACTGTCACATTTTCATGAGGAAGCACCCCTCTCTGCAGAGATAAGGCGAGAAGCGTTGCTTTTTACAGTCACAGCCTGTAGTTTATCTGCTTATCTGTGCATGTGTGTGCCAGCGTGCTCAGTGTGCAACAACGCAGGCTTTTGTTTGTGCTGGGAATCAAGGTCTGTGTTTTCAGGAAGTCCAGCTGTAATCATTCATGTGTGTTGAACCGATGGTGCCATTTTTAAATTCATTTCAAGCACAAAAGAAAAAAGTATGAAAGCCACATACGGTCATGTAATCTGCAGCTGTGTGAAAGACGCGTGTGTTGGAAGATAATAGGCAGGTTGTCGGTTTGCACGCCCAACATTCTCCAAGCCATCGCTGTGGCATTCAGGTCCATTCTTGGGGAGTACCTGAGCCTCACCTCATACAAAGACAGGCAACAGGAACACCGGCTGTGCTGAAACACTGATCCAACTTGGAACCTGAAGTTTGAGCCGTTTACTTAATTCATTTATTTCATTTATTTATTTTTTTATGTGAACTTTTAAATTTCAGGACATGAGTGCTCTAGAGCTGGATGGGGCAAATCAGACTCAGGTGTGACAGTCCAGATGGGCACCAACATGTCCAGGCGTATAACCCTGGGTGGTAAAATTATATCAGACAGAATGTTTCAAAAATATCAGCTTGTGTTTATAATTTCCTTTGTATGAGTTACAGTGTTAGACATGTATTTAGAAAAAAAGCTACGACTTTTATCTTTTAATAATGTCCCATGAGTTAACATGATAACAAATGGGGTGAAGTTTTACCTTTTGTTTTAGATTAACTATATTTACTGACAGTTGGACGAGGAGTAAAACAGGAGATAACAGTAGAACTGATCAATGATGGCTGTCTGTTGGGTCCAGCACAAACCAAGGGCGATCCTGATTAGGATCCCTTTCATAAAATCCTCAGAAATACCAGGAATTCCTTCCAGCTGAAATACAAGAGTCTAAAATAACAAAGAGCAGCCAAGGACATGACATGTGCTCTGAGTACACACTGACACAAACTTAGATTAGATCAACTTTTCCTACCTGTTTCTGCGGATGAAACTCTTGCTGGAGAGTGCAAAGTTGTGCTGGGGGACACATGAGTTGCTGCTCCCCATGTTGCTCTGGTCTCTCCACTCTAGGAAAAACTGTAATCCGGCTCTGTGATGGATGAGTTTGTGCCCTGTGCTCCCTGCAGAAGTCAGACGTGTACTGAGGACGGGGTTGGGTGAGTGGTGCAAAGGAGTCTGAGTTTGTCTGCGTAAAAGGGGGGCGGAGTCCAGGACAGCGTCACAGTCTGTCTGTGTGGTGAATAAAGCTGTGGGATTCACACTCACCAAGAGCTGCTCCTGTGTGCTAAATCAATCCACACAACAAAGGTGGGACAGGGCTGGGGAGAAGTGTACCACTTCACACCTCTCAGGGGCCAAATGGAGCTCTATTAGGGGTCGCTGTGGTGGACGCCAATCACTGGGAGGACAGGGACTTACCACTGGCATGTCCAGACATGAAAATACATCCACACTTGGGTTTTCTATTTATTACTGGCCTTCATCACAGACGTGTCATTTTGAAACTCAGTATCTGGGGAGTTTAATGTTTCATCATGCCTCCCTATTGTTTATCTTTCAATAGGTTAATTACAGCACATATATACAAAAATAAACACATTATTGTTATATTTAATCACAGGATGCAAATGGATCAGATTACATCTGGTTCTAACAGATTATGACATATAGATTAGATAGTTTTGTTAAATATTAAAAGAAGACACTGCTGATGTGTCAACATTGTCTTAGTGTGTGCAAACTTGCCTTATTTAAATGACAGGAGGTTGTTTCTGAGTAAAATACACACAACCTAAAGGTTTTAAAGCCAAATAATTTAAAAACAAGGTTTTTAGTAAGATGTTTTCTTTATAAATCAGACTGTTGTTCTCTACTTTTGGAAGCAGTTTAGATTAATTCACCACTGAGCTTAAAATCTGCCTTTTTACTTCCCTAAAAACAGATCTAACTTTTCTAAATTGACTCACTTTAGAAAATATGTCATTTTCCTGAGCTGATCATTTTAAACAGATACTGACACATGGTGGTATCAGTCAAGTCCAACACTCATGTTTGCTTTGCTCATTTATGAGGTCATTGTCTTGTAGTGAGCTGCTCTCCTGTCATAACATGAAATGTGTGCTGCGGTTTTTCAGTTGATCCAACCTGCTCGACCTGTTGGCTGCTGAAATTGATGCACCTGAGGCATCAACAGTCATCACCTTGTGGAGCTGTTTTAGTCAAGTAGGTGACATTTGAGACCTTATTTGACAAATTGAGGTATTTTTTATTCAATGTCAAAAAACCTGTTTCCCTTATTAAAATTGGGGGGGGGGGGGGGGGGGGGGGGGGGGGAAATCATACTGCTGTTTTATGTGAAACTATTTGAAATAGACTAATGTTTCATTTTCTCACATCTTAGACACTTTTTTCAGAGAAGATTTTATTAATACAGTCTGTAAAGACTGTGCTCCCTGGCCCTGCCTCCCGCATGCCTCCATCCTAGTTATCTCTTTAGTTGTGCTGCTATAGGCTAAACAGCTGGAAAAGAAGAGGAGGAAGAAGAAACAATATTTTATGTAGCACCTCTAAAGATAAAAATCATGAGACAATTCACAAAAAAAAATTAAATTTTTTTTAAATGATTAAAAATTTAATAAAATTGGGAAAATAAAAATTGTGATGTAAAAAAAATCTACATTCTACATTCTGCTACTTTCTTCTACCACTACTCTCTATTTGTATTATTTCCTGTTACTTCAGCTGTTACCTTTCTCTATTATTTTCTCTCTAAGTGTTTTTCTCCCCAGAAGAAGCTACACTGGCGTTCTGCTGAGCTGTGGTGGCGGATGGTTGCTTATACGAGACAGGATCCTCTGGAGGTTTCTTCCTGTTAAAAGGGAGTTTTCCTCTCCACTGTCGCTAAATGCTTGCTTAGTATGAGGATTGCTGTAAAGTCACTGACACTAGTCAGTGACTTGATGCAATTTGCTGGGTTCCTTACATAGGAAACTTTTTACTGATTGGCTTAATGAATTGACCTGTGGTGGAATGTTTACTATGTGAAGTGCCTAGAGACGACTCTTGTCGTGATTTGGCGCGACATAAATAAACTGAATTAAATTTAATATTACACGATTAAGAAGATGTGGTAAGTTAAAGGGAAAAAATTAAAAAGTAACAGAAGACAGAATATACTGAAAGTTTGCAAAGCCTCAGACTGACTACCTAAAGGTACCAAAGTCCAGCTCTGTTGAGCTGCCGTTCCAGATATAGAGCAGGAGGATGCAAAAATTAGCATCCACAATTATTGTATTGTGTAATAAATCTTATTTGGACACTTTTTTAACTTAATTTACAAAAATGTAGGATTCAGTGTTTTATGCAGTCATTTAAAACACATTCATCAGCCAGAAAAGAGACATACTTTTCTGACTATGAAATATAAAATGATTTTTATTTTAGCTTTATAACTAAGTTTTAAGCTTTTTCAGAAACCATTTTTTGTTGATAAAGAAATTATTTGGAAATTCATGAAAATTGTTGAAGCTACAAAAAGCACCTATCATTCCCGTAGAAAACAAATGTCTGGAAAAGTGACTCACTCTCTGTCAGCTTGCTGTAAAAACACCTCAGAGGTCGACCCAGTTTCAGGTTTCCACTTTTCCATCTTAATTAACTTTATTTCCTTCTGAGATATGCACCATCTATTGCACAGGAGACGTCTCAAGGTGCAACGATGCTAAAACAAAAATACACCATGAATCAGAGTTAGGCAAAGACGTTAGTTTACTCCAGAAACATTTTTTCTTTAGTGTTTTAAAATTTGTATAAATATATTTTATTCAAGACTAATTACCAATTTTAATCACAAGAAGCTAAACTTGTATAATGATGGTGGTGGGTTATTGCAAACATATATGCTAACGTGTTTTTTATGATTTAAACATATTTTCATATAACTGATAATATACCAACTTTTCACATTAAAGACAAAAAGGACAAAATCAAACTTCACAGTCCCTCAATGTGTGTGTGTGTGTGTGTGTGTGTGTGTGTGTGTGTGTGTGTGTGTGTGTGTGTGTGTGGTTGAACTTTGGATCTCCAAAAAAAAAAAAATCACTCATTTGTGTTTTTCCAGACTCAGCGGGTGACTGCACCGGTGCTAAAGTGACACCTCGGGCCACTAAAGTGGTGTTTGGGTATGAGGTCCTAAACATCAGGTGTCCAACTGAGAACCTGATGTGCTAGAGTTCTCACGGAGAACAACCATAAAGAAACTTTAATTAGACCACGGCCCTCCTTTGAAAGCAAGATCAGTCAGTATTAGAATCAGTTTATAATCTCAGCTTCTCTCACTGGTAGATCATTATAAACAAAGAAACACCAGTCTTTAAAAAAAGAGGTGAAAAACGATAGACATAAACATACAAGGTCTTTAATGGAAAATTGTATTTGATCTAAGGAAATGATTTTGTTGTGTACATCTATGGAAATCAGAACATCAGATGAACATAAAACCTCAGCAAAGAAAACTACACGAAAAAACAACACAAATAAAACTTGGCACACAGATGCATCCCATCACTCCAGACCTTTTTATATTAGGGTTGAAGGTGTTTCAAAACTAAAAATCCTCAAAACATCTAAAAATGCTAAAATAATTGTCAAAAAAACTTCACAAACACATAATGTATGGAAATAAGAATAAATAATTCTCATTTAACATTGATCAGGAAATACTTGCAGCAAGATGGAAAAAACAACATAACTGACAAGGAAACAAACTTACGGACATAAAAGAGGAATTTTGGCAAAAGCAAGAAGTATGAGGAAACTAAGACCGTATCTGACTTTAAATACAAGCACCAGGAAAGTATTAACAAGCCCAAAGTTACAATGAAAAAGGGACAGGAACAAGTTTAATTACAGTAATTACTTTTTCTAAGTTTTAATATATTTATGATTTTTGCTCGATTTGTTACTGTAAAAGAAGTTAATTTACATCTAATTAAGGATCCGTGAGACATAAGATTCCATAGTAAATATGAAATCAATCTTACGGACCATTGGGTTATATTAATCATAACATTGTCGTTTCACAGATCGGTCAACATTGTATTATTGACTAACACTTTGTTTGATTAGCTTAATTAAAAAAAGAGTTCTTTGATTTATTAAAAGGAAAAAGTTCTTTCTTCAATCTTCCCTTGAACTGGAAAGAAAACAGTTTTAGAAGGGAACGCATGACCTTGAGGCAGTCTCATGCAGCCTAGTACTGTGTCAGAGGCATCTGTGGAGAGAGGTTAAATAACCTTCGGAGGAATAGCTCCTTCATCACGTTACATTACATTTCAGACTATTAAGATTTGGTCATTAACCCTCCCGCTGTCCTAATGGGTATGACCCCACAAGGAAAGTTGACTACTGAGCAGGGTTGATGGTTTATCCCCTTGGGTCCATGTGGCAAGGGTGAGGAGTGAGCACCACCTCACCCCTGCCACGTGGACCTCAAACCATCAATCCTGCTCAATGGTCAACTTTCCTTGCGGGGTCATACCCATTAGGACAGCGGGAGGGTTAAACAGATAGATACAACATAAATTAAGGTGAAAATACTTTTTATATATTAGAGCATGATCAATCCTTGATAATCACATTCCAAACATAAGTTCACCATCAGCATCACCATAACGTGAACTAGTGGGTTACGTGAATTTAAAGTACAGCACCTTTTGGATTGTGGTCACCAGTCAAAAATACTTGACTGCACTCGTTTTCTTGCCCGTGAACTATAGTCTGCTAAAGAAGAAGTGAGGGTGGGGCAGCAGGTAGAGACACGCCTACCTTGTCCTTAACAGACTCAGACTCTGCAAAACGCAACATAATAAATTAACATTTCAGTCTTATTTTGAAATGACAACCCATGTTGTTTCTTGTGAGATGGAAACAGAAAGGAAGTTTGCTCTGCCTTTGCAACATGATCTGATTTTTCAAGTTTACACACTAGGAGCAGTTGTGGAGATGATAAAAGGAGCATAGCTCATTAGCTCCCTTTTTGCTGCATTTCATGATTGAAAATATGCAAAAAATTTGCAAGTGGGGAAGCATTTAGCACCTGAACCTTGAACTTAAACGTATTCTAATTTTACTAATGATTTTTGCCATTACTGGAACGTACTAGTAGATTATTTTCACCAGTTCAAATTTGCTAGTTTTTTGCAAACATATGTGCAGTTGTACATTTATTTTTATTTATTCAATCTTGAAGGCATACATTGTGCATTTTGTTTGAGATCAGTAGTGTGTGTGTGTGTGTGTGTGTGTGTGTGTGTGTAGGGCCAACCACAGGTGTGAATGCCATGTGTCTGAGGTCAACAAGAGTAAAGTGAGAGTGTTCAGCTGTCAGTTTAAATCACTGTGAAACAGGAGCACACTGAAGAGGTACGGAAGAAATGTGTAGAGAGCCTAGCAACGACGTGTTTGCAACACAACTTTTAGTGTGCGTGTGTGTGTGTGTGTGTGTGTGTGTGTGTGTGTCCCTTTTCCAGTGCACGTAAGAAATGCACGGATAAAAAACGGCTGCTTTCACTTTCATCATGTTCCTTCAGATTATTGCCTCCAACCTTCATGTTTATTCAAGCACACGGAGAGAAGAGTCACACCTGAAAACATCTTTATTTCATTTTAAAGTGGAAGGTATTGCTCCATTCTGCAATAGTGCAAAATTCAACATTTCACATCTGCTGTAAATAAACATAAATAAACACATATCACAACATCAACCACAAACTGAAAATGGCTACAACAACCACATCAAAATTGCACAAATTAAATTAAGCAAAACTGAGCTATATGTACAATTCATTCTGTTGCATGAACTTGTGCATCTTTGCCGTAAAATCTATCCCTCACCCACTTAACTTTACAGAATATTAGATTTTCTATAAGGCCATCAGACACACCCCTCTTTGCACATAAATGTAACATAAGGTAGTTTCATTTTTAAAAAAAATCCTTCAAAATAAGGGAAAAAACACAACTTCTTAGAAGTTTGGAATGGTATCACTGCACTACACATGAACTGAACTCACAATACGGACTTAACTGGATCAAATGATCCAAAATGATGGTTTATTTTAGACAAAGCAAGTTCACTGGCGACTTCGTCGAATCACAGAATGCCATTATAACTACGGTTAATTACACGAGCTATAGGTCATCTTAGCTTTTCAATAATGTGAAAAAACCTGAGCAGTATGGCATGGCCCAGGGTCGGTTATACAACTCGTTAGTATCGGGGGTTAGTTATTTGAAATGAAACTACTTCTGCAGCCATCCTTCAAAAACATTACATGGATTTCATTTTATTTCTGACCATAATTTTGATGAAAGTTTTAAGACAGTTTTTTTTCATTGAATGGCCAACAGGTTTACAGGTGACTAAAGAGGTTTTTTTTACAGATACAAGACCTACTTTTAGGTACAGTGTCATGTGATCATGCTCACGGCAGTGAAGAAACAATGAGAAATGCAAATGAAATGCTGCATATAACTATGCAGCATGCAGTCTTCCTAAACTCCAAATGCACACAAATGTCTCACAAGCTAAAACATTCTTTTTGTCCTTTCCACTAACGAGATGCACGCCACGCTTCTAAATAAATATATCAAAACACTCTTAAATAGGCATTGCTGGGATTCTGTTCTTTTCAATAAGCATCTTTAAAACAGAATATATTAGATTTTATAAATACATATAGATCTTAATTCTTTGTTTCATATAAAAAGCTTAACTTATGTACAGCTCTAAGAGCTCATCTCGTTGGTGTCCATGCTTTTCTGCTGTGAGGAGCGTGAATCGCTACTGCCACCTACTGCAGCATAGCAGCACTACAACATGTCTCGTCTTGTTTAGGGAGCCAGCGCTGATGTGTAAACATGCATGGGAAAGTCACTAAAACTCTACACTCCAAACATTAAATCATTCATGGTTTTGTTCTTTTAAACAAATTATTGCAAAAAATAAACACCTGATTATAAAGTAAAGCCTTGCAGAGAACTACAACATCTGACCAAAAACAATTACAACACATTACAGAATTACCCGATGCCTGCAACAGTTCACCACGTGTGTGTCAAACACTTATCGTGGTGGGCACAAAATGTTCACAGAACTATTTCCATAAGCAAGTATAGAAGGGAATGGAAGTTGGTGTACAGTGGACCCATCTGGACCAGAACCAGTTCAGTTCAGAATTAACCAGAATGAGACCAAAAGATAACTCTTTAAATAAATGTTGTGCAAATAACTGACTTTTAGTTTGTTGATTTTATAACTTTATGATCGTTTGTGAAGGTAATTTATTTATTTCTTCTTCTAGTGAATTTTTAAAGAATCGTCTTCCCGGTTAGCTGATAAAATAAAATACGATAAAACAGTAAATCTGCAAATGAAGATCTTAAAATATTTAAATAAACTTTTAAAAAACACTCAGATCCAGCAATGTTTTTTTTATTCCTAACTCTGAAGTGCACTATCGAGGCCACTCTCAGCCTTCCCGTTTCCCTCCCTTCTGTACATTTACCTGCCTACTCCGCGGGGTTCGTCCTCCTCCACACCTCAAACCGAGCAGTTGCGCCTCTTCCCAGAGCTGGTCTGGGCTGTAGCAGCAGAGGCTGAGCTCAGGTAAACGGTGACCCCGTGTCAAAGGCTGGTGGAGGAAACCGAGAGGGTGGGTGAGGAAGGTGGTGGGAAGTTCAGGAGCTCCAGCACCGCTACGCCCACGCTGCTGCGCCGTGTGAACATGCAGGAGGCCGCCACCCATTTGTTGCTGCGTGGGCTGTACTTTTCAATGGAGTTAAGACTGGAGCTGCCATCGTTGCCTCCCACAGCATACAACCACCCATCCATAGCCACCAAATCATGAGTGCTCCTGGAGAGAGGAGAAGAAAAATAACACAACATTATTTACAGTCCACATGAACTGTCTGGATCCTTAATTTTATTAAACTTTAACAGGGTTCATGTGTAATGTAATACACATTATCTGCATATTTTATTTGGTATCTACACTCATGAACATCACTATGTTGAGGCTATCTCTGTAATATTTATTGCTGGCACATGTGACCTAAGTACAGAGACAGATCTGTAATCAATTTGATGTTGTGGATGCTGTAAATGAAGCCTTTCAGCAGCTGAATAAGAAAAGCCCTCAAAGCCACCCATGAGTTATTTATGGAGCTGCACAGTCAAGCGTTATCAGGTTTTCCTGCTCCTACGTTATACTGACTCGCTCTCCTCAAAAGCGACTGTGTGAGCCTCCGTGTTTGTGTGGGGAAAGAATTCACCGATGTGACTGCAAAGACTGCTATTAGACCGTCGTGTCTCCAAATCTCCTTCCATGATGCAAATGCTGCACAACACAATCCTGTAACTGTCTGCATGCATGTCTGTCCTGTCACCCGTAAGGCGGGTTTCAGCTTTCGTCTGATATGAAGACATTTGATGTTTATGCATTTAGATTGTTTTGAGAGTTAAAAAATACACTGAAAAGCCTCAACTCCTTCACTTCAGTCTGGCACAGAGCAAAATAATTGCAGCAAGGTCTATCTTTGAAAAGTTTCATCCAGACAACCTTCCAAAGAGATCAAGTTCTTTCACAGACTTTAAAATAGGACCCTAAAAAAGCATTTATTTCTCAACAAAAAAAACAAATAATCACTATGTCCTTTTATTAGCATAGAAAAATCTTTCTCACTGTTTTCTCACACTTAACAAGTGATGCAGTACATGTTTTACTAAGCTAGTGATAAAGGAGAAGTTTGCAGTGATATAAATTTATTTAATTAACAGGATGAAAAATTAGTGCAACTGGCCGTCTGCAAGGTGCCACAATTTTCAGGAAACACCAAAATAAAGATTAAAGCAGGATATTTTACAAGCCAACACTTTTTCAGCATGCCTTTGCTGCCAGTGGAAGTTCTGCTAATGCAGGAGCAGAACTGGGTCATCCTGATGGTGCAGCTGGCTGAGGTGTGTCTCGTGTAATTAAAGTCTCTGCTGGCATCTCAAGTTATTTGTCATCTCCTCTCTCATATTTTCTCTTTTTGTCTCTCGGGTCTCAGTGTCTATCTTAAAAAAAAGAAAGGATTAACCTTTTTCAAAATCTCCTCCATTGTAATGACAAAAACTACCAACAGGTAGGAGTCACTTCTCCTCCAATCATGTGTGCTTTTAAAGGTGTCGAACACTCATGTAATCAGTGCATTTGCAGTGGTCTAGTAGGAATGAATGCCTTAGTAAGTCGCACTCTGGGGAAAGAAAACACTGGTGCACTCTTTTCAGGAACTAGAAGTGAGCCACATAACAGCTGAGCTTCATACAGAAGGATTTGGAGAGTTATTTCCTGATATTTGGACATCTCACCTCAAATTGGATAACAGCAACGCGACTCTGCCACTGACTTGCAACGGTGATGTTTTTATCTCCCAAAACAACACAAACCTGGAGTTCTGCTGTGTGGTGGAATTCAATTCAAAGATACTTTATTAATCCCAGAGGGAAATTAGAGTTTCAGTACACACAATTCTGAGATCAGACATACATACATAGGCATAGACACATGACAAGAATTGGTGACTGTGGTCATTCGCAACCCGAGTCGCGCTACCTTAATAGAGATCAGAGGGTTTACATGAGGATTGGGTCAGGTGGAGGAAAAAAAGGCACTAGAGTTACCCTCCACAGGGAGGGCAGCTTTGATATGCAAAAATCACCTCAGACAGAAATGCAACAGACTTCAGACATTACACAACCCAAGTGTCCACTAGGTGGGGAGGTAGGGTTGGGGACTCTCCTCACATCAGTGCATGCAGCTGCGATAAGCAGTGCTCCTCACCTCCGTTTGGACAGGGGAAGGAGGTATTTGGGTTTAGAGAGCACAGTGACTCCTGGAAACGATTCAACGGCCTTCACCGGTCGCAGTCCCGCCCAGGCTGGGATAGGGAGAAAGTTACCATGGCGACGGCAGCATTCCACAAGGGGGAGTAATCTCTTCAGCCTCACGGGCTCAAGGGCACCAGATTCAGATAAGAACTTGTTTTGATCTGAATTGCTAATGCTAACAGTTAGCTTCTTCTAGTCGAGACATTCTCTGCCGTTTCCTGGATGCTAAACCAACAACAGCCTTCCCCGTTGCGAGTCAAGATGGGTGAGCCTATGAATGTTAGGTGTCAGTGTGACGTAGAGCGGTCAAGCTTTTTAAATCCTAGAGTCTCACCGTCTATTTTCTACCAGAAGCTAATGCAAGAGATAGGTGTAGGAGAGAAGTTTGTGTTCAATCAGCGTGTCAATCTCAGAGTGACATATTATAATCAGAAATAATTATTTAAAAATGCTTTTTCAGTGTTCCACACCTTTAAAGTCACCTGACCTGAAGTTGCCACTCGCGTTTGTGCTAATAGGAGCTCTGGCTGCTGGCTGACCTGCGTATGTTCATGGGGGCGACTCCTTCCCAGGTGTTGGTCTTTGGGTTGAATCGCTCCACTGAGTTCAGACAGCTGGTGCCATCATTACCTCCTGCAACATACAGCATGCCGTCCAGTACTGCTACCCCCGCGCTGCTGCGTCGGCTCAGCATGTTGGCAATGGCTGTCCACGTGTTACTCTGTACATCAAATCAAATACCACACATTACTGACGTGCTTATTCTGCAGGATTCTGCTCTTGATATAGGACTTCTTTTCAGGAAGATTAAATGGAAAAACAAACATAACACTTTAATGATGATTTCAGTAGAAATTTACCTGAGGGTCATATTTCTCTACGGTTGCCAGGTGTGAGGAGCTGTCATAACCTCCCACCGCGTACAAGCTGCCATCTGGAGGGAAAGAGGAGTGAACACAGAGAATATAAAAACCAGACACATACCAAGGTGGAAACTCCCACTCAAATTCTAATAAAGTACAAATGGTGAAGCGGGAAAAAAATGCAAACATGCATCAATAATATTTATTCTAGGCAAATTCCTACCTAGAGTTGCTACTCGTACATATCGCCTTCGGGTGCTCATGGCAGCAATGGATGTCCACGTGCTGGTCAGAGGGTCGTAACGCTCCGCACTGAAAGATGAATAAAAAAAGAGGCAAATCCGTCTTTTAAGGGGCCCAGTAACCATCGCCAACTGTAGGTTCGTGTGTACCTGTTGAGGCAGGAAGCACCATCATAACCTCCAGCAGCATACAGCAGCCCATGCAGAACAGCTACACCCAAACAGCTCCGTCTTGTTCCCATGGAAACCTCTGGTTGCCAGGCATTAGTGATAGGATCATAAGACTCCACGGTTGCAAGGTCAGAAGTGCCATCGTATCTTAAGTGAAATGTGGAAAAAGAAATGTTTGGACGGAGGAGTCGTGATGGTTGAATTCTCTCTGCATCAGCGGCAGTTGTGATAAAGTAAAACTTTAAATCTATGAGGGAAGCTGTTAACTGGTTAGGAATTAGACGGCATAACAAAAATTGTTAGCATGTTCACTTACCCTCCAACAGCATAGAGTCTGTTTCCAATGGCCGCCACGCCAACCCTAGCGCGCCTTGTAGACATGGATGCTACCATGTGCCAGCGATCTGTCCGGGTGTCGTACGCCTCACAGTCCCCATGGATGGCAAACAGGCTTCCACCGCCTAAAGCAAACGATTAACATTGCACAAACTTTACAAACTTACATACAAAGTTCAAATGTTTACATTCAGTTAGACACATGATGCGTGTTTCAAGTGTACCCTAATGGGTACCTTCAGGGGCACACTGACCAACGGCAAAGAGCACAGGGCTGGCACCCTCACAGCGTCGTGGGCGCGTGCGGCTGTTGCTCAGGACTCCCCTCTGCTCAGGCATAAGGTGGTACTTGAGGGCCTCAATCAGCAGATCCTTGCACTCGGAGTGGTGACGAACCAGCAGCTCTGTATCAACATTGCTCATCAGAAAGTCTCGCCTCAGCAGCGGCAGCCGGACGCACTTCATCAGCTGATTGGTTGGAGTGGAGAAAGTAAGGGTGATTTAGGGTCAGTTTTACACTGTTAAACAGATAATAATGATGCAAAACGAGAAATCCTGACAAGTGAGAAGAGAATTACCCAAGGTACATGTTGTCTGCGTCCATCTATGTCATGTTTCACCCAGCTCAACACAGCTCGGTACACTTCCTCTTCAGACGGCACGTTCAGATTATCACTGGAGATCAAGTCTAGGACCTGGATGGACACATTTACATCATGATTTAGCAGAAAAACATCTATAGTATAAATGTGGAAAAACAGTTAAAAATTTCCTTCCCAAATATGTCACGATATGATGCAGCTCATTTCTGCTGAGCTCTTGCATCTCAGTACTCTGATTCAATCAGTCCAGTCTTAATAAAGTCAAACTTGCACACACATAAGAGCCTGTGTTTTATATCTATGAGTACTTGTGTTTATCTGTGGCAAAACAAGAGCAGCAGCCTGAGTGGCTGTCTGGCACTGATCCCAGATCAACCCTAAGCTGGCGAGGCTGGAATGGAACTGAGCTGCCACCTGCTGCCGCGGTCATCTTGTCTGGCCACATCAAGGCAACACTTAGCATCCTCAGAGGACCACAGCCTCCACTAATCCTCCATCACACAGACAGACGCTGCTGCTGCCCCACCCTGCAGTCACAGTTACGTCTGCATCAAATGAATTAAGAGTTCATTTGTGCTTACAGGAACCATGAAGGAGATCTGATTGTGGTTTGAGAACGATCCTTCAGCTGTAGGATGCATGTGTGATTAAACCTTCACACGTCCATGTCTTTATACGCTACACAGTAACTGAGATGCAGCCATCGTGCTTCAAAATGCCACGCGTGTCAAACCGAATCAGTGAAACATCCACCAAGCTGACTAGTCACAATCCCGTCACGCCTCTCCACTTCCCTCATACAAGATGAAGAGGAATACGGGGCATATTTCACAGCGCTGTGAGCTTTTCCAAAGCAGCCAGTACATAAATTCAGATCTGGTGCAGATTTATGACGGACTCAGAACAGCTGCTAAAACAATGGGGTAGAATGCTGAACAGAATTGAAGGAAAATGTATATTTTTAACCTGTCTAAATAAGTTATTGCTGCCGTTTTAAGGGACGTAACCCAGACACTCACAAAGCTGCTCCATGAAAACAATAGTTGAGAAAATAAAAATGGAAACGGCAGCTGGTTTTTGTTACTTTTTTACTTGTGTTCATCTGTAAAAATAAAAAACTCAAATATTTATTTAAAAAAAACAGTTTTTGTTCCTTTTTTATTCACAGATAAAAGGAAAGCCAAGCCTAAGACAAAACAGGAAATTATTTCTGTAATTTTATATAAAATAATGCTACTAAAAAAATATTTAAAAAGCATCAATGGACAAAGTAACATACAAATATAACTGGGGGCAAACATACATTATTATTATTGCATTTTCCGTTTCCACTCGAGTCAAAATTCAAAGAAATTAAATCATAATTTTTTTCCTTAAAATAAAAATGCACAATATGAGCTTAATATGAAATGGAAAGAAAAAGATGATTAAAAAGATTCTCAAGGCTAAATTATCTTGAATTTCTACTGAAGATAAAATGCAACTAGGCTCCATTAGGTGTTTGTGCAGCATGAACTGTTCGTCTGTTCTGACGGCTGTTGCTAATTTGACAGACAAATTAGCAACAAGAATTTTAAACTGGTGAGCTTCAGGCACTCTAGGAATGAATACACAGATCCAACAAATGTAAGATAAATCTAAGCTCAATTCCCTCAAAACCCCTAGATGAAACGGATAACAGCAACGTGTTTGAGCCAAAACTGAAACCCTAGTTGATATGTTAGAGGATAAATGCTGTTGTTTGCTCTATAAACAGCAGAGCAGCTGGGAAAATGTTACCGGCTTTGCTTAATTACTACTTACAGCACTGGAACAGCAGCGGCTGCAGCCACCGGGCCCAAAAATGAGGGGGGACACTTTGGTTTAGATGGCGTTTGAGATAAAATAGACAATAGTTATTGCTGAATGATTTAAACGTGGAGGAAAATATAGCAAACATCAAGTTTTTAAAATGGGTTTAGTAATTCCATCTCACACACAAGATCAACTGCAAACCAAGTAAAAGAAGCGCCTGAACAGTTACTCTCAAGCTGATGGTAAGCAAAAACCAGTGAGACAGACCCAGATTTATCACTATTGTTATGTCTCACTGTCACACAGCATCACTCCTACCTGTTTCAGTGGCAGCAGCATGAACTCCTCCGTCTTGGAAACCTCCACAAAGTGCTGCAGCACATACTTGTGTGCCGACTTGAGCAGATCGCTGCAGGAGTGTGTGTCTGCAAAGCCCCGAATGCCCAGGCAGTTGGAAGGGTCCAGCTGACTGAGGAGGAACTTGCAACATGCATCCCTCACACCATTGAGCTGCAGTAAACTCGCTGCTGGAAGCAATGTCTGGAAAAAGCAATCATAGGCAGAGATGCATTAAGTCTGTTTTTGTATTTGCCTGAATGCTAATTAATAAATGCAAAATATTCCACCCTACCTGCACATTACCTTCCCCAACTACAATCTCTGCTGTGTAGGCGTATTGGACCAACTGCTCCAAAGCCTGAGGGTCAATGTCGTGCAGGGTCACGTGGGTCTGCCGACTCTCAGACATCTCATCTGCGTAACCAAACAAAATAAAAGTCACACACACAACATCTGCAAATATCGACAGCTATCAACAAAGCTCATCTATTTAATGAGTTGTTTAATCAGAGTTTAGAATTCTAATTCTTACATTTAAACTATCTCCCCATCCTGGTTCTAACAGAATTGTGCAAGGGAGTTCTGCATCAACAACGCTAATCTACTACCAGGAACGTGAAAACATCTGTTGAGACTTTTCTGGCAAATCAGTGGTGGGTCAGATGGGAGGAAGTCTAATAGTCAATTCTCTAGGTAAACAACTGTCTGGTAACACCCTTTCTTCCCACAGGCTGTTGTCAGGGAGAAATCAAAGACACGCACAACGTGTCTGCCCACCTGTACTTCAGACAGTACTACGGAGTGAAGAAGTGAGGAGGTTAAAAGGGGAAAGTGCACATGCCACATCTTAATCTGAGCCACAAATCCTATTGATCTTCATCACATTTATATATGAGCTGGGTGACTTACTAGTAAACATAGCATGAAAGTAGGGGCTGCAGGAGGCCAGCACCACTTTGTGAGCCTTGATTTCTTTGTTGGAGACATGAAGCACAATGTCACACAACAGGCCGCGCTGTCGCATCCTGTTCATGGAGACAAAAGAATCGTGGTAGTGGCGCTTGGAGTTGTGTGAGATGCTGTGACCATCGCGGTTGAGTAGCTGCATGCCGCCCTCATTCATGATGCCTGATGTTGCGGTCGCGGGCTTGTGTCCGGCCCCCACACTGGGCAACTGGAACGGGAAGACAACGATGAATTAGAACGCTTCATTCTAATAAAATATTATCGTGTTATTAATTAAGCATCGTTGGCACAAATGCAGCTGATTTGACAGAAGTCCTGACCCATCATCATACCTTTGGTCATAGTCAGAGTACTCATCGTGTCAGCTCTGACAGGAGGGCTGACCAGCATGGTAGGTCTGACTACAATGCAAAATGCTGACAACAGTATTTCAGTGTCTGATGTGATTAAATCTGGCTTTGACAGTTAAGAGTCCAAAAGTGTAAATTTAATCAATGCTGGTTATTCATCTACTCAAATGTTAAATACAAATTATTACAACCGACTTACAGCAGAATTACTATACATGGGATCGGTATTGTGAAGCATCTTAGAAGGTCTTCTGCAAACACTTGGATTAAGAAATAAAGAAAATAAACTCACTACTGTATTTTTAATGAAACATAACGAATGTAATGCTGCTGCAGAAACAAACTTTAGAAAAACATCAGAGTTTGGTGTCTTACCTAAGAGTATTCCTTAACCCTCCCACTGTCTTTATGGGTGACCCCGCGAGGAAAGTTGACCATTGAGCGGGGTTGATGGTTTATCCCTTGAGGTCCACGTGGCAGGGGTGAGGTGGTGCTCACTCTTCATCCCTGCCACGTGGACCCAAGGGATAAACCATCAACCCTGCTCAATGGTCAACTTTCCTCATGGGGTCACACCCATTAGGACAGTGGGAGGTTTAAACAAACACAACTGTATCACAAATACAGAGGTGCAACCCATCACTGATAGGAACCCGAAAGCAGATAAACCACTTCCTGCCTACATCCCCCATTTGTTCATTGTATCTCCAATGATGATGAGCTGGAAAAAGTCCAGTCAAGTCATTTGACAAACAAATACACAGATATGATCAAATGTAAACACCAGGTTATCACAAATGCACCTGACAACATGTGGCTTGTCATTCGAGTGAGTACAACTATGTTATGGCATCACATTCTTATCTGTTAAATTGGTGCATATCCAACAACACACTAAAGGTTTAGATTAATGTAAAGTTTACATCAATGATCTGGTTGGCCTGTTTAACCATACACTGTCCTACTGAACATCTCAAATGTCATCACAGCTGCCTAGCGACCAGCTCCAGGTCCTGTTTTCCAAAACACACAAAAGATCACTAAACACCCCAACCGTAAGAGAGCAATCTCCTCTTATGCCTCATAGAATAATGCAGCAAGATGACACTGGCATAAAAGAGATTGAGACATTGTGACAGCATGATTACTATAAATTAAAACAAATCAAATGTCTCTTTTCTTGTCTCTGCTTCAAAAACCTGGCTGGCATCTTCTCACGGGCTCTTAGTATTTAAGCAATCAAGCGGATGTTTTGTTATACAGAATTGCTAATATGTGGAAATCACATCCCTTGCATGTTGTGATGAAACCCCAGTACCCCTTTAAATAACAGCACCTATCAGCTGCAGCAGCAAAGAATTAATTTACCGGCTGGCTCTGTTGCGGTTATCCTTGGACACTGTGTTCTCCTCGAAATGATAGAAAAGAAATCAAAAGCTGTCTCATTCAGAGCGTCTTAAAATCGGCACCATCGGCAGACTGCTTGTTCATATTCTGACTACAGCAAAGGAATAATGAAGGGAGCTTCTGTTTTGTGCTGCATGTATTGACGTCAATGAAAAAAAGCATAAAACCTGACATCGATTTTGTTAAGGTGGAGCTAAATTTGGACGAAGATACAAATACGTACGATGACCAGATAGCTAAAATCTGATGCCGCAGAAAGAAAAAGAAGTAATAAGTTTAATTCAATATTCACACGTTGCTTTTTTCATTATGAGAAAAGTTTGCTTAATGACCAACATGACACAAACGGCCTTAAAAGCCACCTTTTGTTTGGTCAGAATACGGAAGTGTGTTTGATAAGGACTTCCATGCACCCGTGAAAGGCGGGGTTTGTTATAATTTTTCCAACTAAATGTGTTTCGGTTTACCCAGACAAGAAAATCAAACATACGCCAAGCAACTTATCAACAGCGTTGAAATAAAAATATGTTTTCAAAATATGTAGCTGGTAAATAAATTAATTCATGTACATACATCTAATGTTGAAGCGTTAAATTTTACCACATGGTTGTTTAAGTATATTTTTGTGCGTAAGCTAGCAAGCTTAGGTAATGTTAGCTAGGTTTGACAAGAAGCAGCCTGGCCGGCCGGAGAACAGCCCTCACCCGCGGCCTGCGTCGCTGTCGATGTAACTGCAGAGATTTCTTCCGGTTTGTAAGCTTTCCCAGGATTGTGGTTGTGTAAAATGACTGATAAAGGAGGAAAATCAAAACGGTTCCTCTTCGGTTTCTCAGTTTTTGCGCCTCGTGAACGCATCTAATTATTGAGTTTAAATCTCACGTGCGGCATCAAAACACTGTTCACTGTTGTATGCGGATCTTTGGCTGTAAAAATTTTAGGTTGGTGTGAACGCTTTTGGTAAATGTGTATAGTATAATTTACATCTCAGATGTCATCACAGCAAGATAAGCTAATGTATGGGTTATTGTTGTCTTACAAAATAATATGTCCCGTGGCTAGTTCGGGTACTTTTGAATTACAAGTTTACCTACCCATGATGGAAGTAAAGCATTGAAACATAAAACCAATTCTTACAGTCTGCACCAGAGGATTGTGGGTATTGTTGTTTAGCGGCACGTCGTGGTTACAGCATGGCAGCGAAACAGAAAAGGTATGTTTAAAGTTTTTCGTATTGTGTACCATATGTTAATGTAATTAGTATTTTCCCACGTTGTTGTTATGGTTTTTCAACACAAGTAATGAGATTTGTGTGTTTAGAATAAAGGTTACCCCGCGGTGAATTTGTAGTTAGCTTCCTACAACGTTAGCAGAGAGAGAGAGAGCATGCTAACTTTGCCAGTGTTTAAGTCAAAGTTTCGTTCTTGTGTGTTGTCCAAGATACGTTCAGCTAATTGACCACTGGACGTATAGATAGCTTTGCAATAGCAGTGTTTCAACACACTTTCAAACACGTTGCTTACACATGTTGCTTACACACGTGTACCAGTAAGTAGCCCTCTTGATTCACTTTCCATCTTACAGAAAGCTGGAGGACCTCAGCATGGACGAGTTCCTGTTGTCAGGTTTTGAGTCTCCTAATGATGATGTTTCTGAAGAAGACACTCCTAAAAAGATAAAAAAGAAAGACGTCAACTCTAAAATGTGAGCCTCTTGTGACGAGAAAATTGTGAACTCTGTATTTAGCAAATCCTCCAAAAGTTGATTTGTGTCTCATATCATCATGTCGTGTAGAAATGAGAAGGGCAAAGCCTCACAGCACAAGGAGCAACTGTCCCGCTTAAAGAACAAAGATCCAGAGTTCTACAAGTTTCTGCAAGAGAACGACCAGTCGCTGCTGAATTTTGATGACACTGACAGTTCTGAGGATGAGGAGGAGAAAAAGTACCATAAGCTACCATCTGCATTGGAGGTGGGTCAGAGATGAATGAAAGTAGCTATGATGAGGCCTGTTTAAAAAGATGTTCACACTGGTATATTTTTCTTGTAAGGATGCCAACTCAGGTGATGATGACGACGAAGAAGATGAGGAGGGCCAGAAAGGGTCAAATAAGTCCAAGAAAGCAGCAGACACTATCAAAGTCACAGAAAAGATGATTGAGGCCTGGAAGGCTGCGATGAAGAAAGAACCCTCGCCTCGTCTCTTTAGAGATGTCACACAGGCCTTTAAGGCTGCTGTCGCCACAACGAAGGGTGAGGGCGGGGGTCAGTGTCGGTATAAAGTGGCTGACAGTTCAGGTAGGTCTTCACCTAGCTTTTTGAATAACTTACATCATTTCAGTTGCTGTAAAATTACATTTAAAGTGAATAGTTCTTGGTTTATTTTATAATTTTAGTGATGTTTAATCATTCTGGATTTTGACCCAAAGCAAGCTAGTACAGCTAGTGGCCTGTTTCCATTCTGCTAACATGGGTAAAGATGTTTGTGTTCCATTTGTGACTCAGGAATTTGTAGCAGTGAATCAATATCAGCCATCAGTAATTGGAGCAATTTGCAGATGAGTTTCGGTATAACAGTAATCACAGCAAGGGTGAAAAAAAGCTGAGCTCACTCCTGGTGTGTTTGGCAGAGCTGAGCTTCTCTTCAGAGATGAGGCATTGTAACTGTTGGCAGCTAAACTTGGAAAAAGAAATGCTTGAAAGATCAACCGCACAAACCGAACATACATTTCTCTTTTTTTCTGCCACGTGTGACCTTTTGCATATTAGGAAATAATGTCCATTTCACGGTTGTTTGCACAAAGTTTGCCTGCTCATTGCTACACTATATTAAAAATGAAACACCTGGCTCATTTTGTGTCAGCTGATGTTTTAGATGTTATAAATTATGTTAAGCCTCTATAATATTTCTGTCCTTTTTCCACAGTGTTCAATGCATTGGTCCTGTTCTGTATCAAAGATATTTATGTGGCCCTGCAGAGGATGCTCAACCTGAAGTCAGACAAAGATCAGAAAAAGTATGGAAGCAACAGCTCTCTCTGCTGATCTCATGTCCTGCTGGTGGCTTCAGAGCAGCTCTGGACAAGCTGTTCAGCCCATAAATTAAAAGTTTTATCTGTTTTGTCCTCAGAGTGGTGTTCCCTTCCTCTAGCCCAAAATGGCAGAGGAATCAGAATGATGTTAAGATGTATCTCGGTGGAGTAGTTCAGGTTGGTTTTTATGTTTTTTACATGGCGCTTTGCTTTCGTCAAGCTCTGCAGCATCTCTGACTAGAAATGTTTCTTATCTAAGAGACTAGAGAGTAACAAGTTTATTGATATTCCTTCATCAGATTTGTGAAATGAAAAAAATGTAATCAGTTTTCTGTCTGCAATCTCTTTTATTTTTATTTTTTTGTAGCTTTTATCCTGTCTAACAGAAACAACAGTCATCACAGCGGTCCTGCGGCACGTCAACCAGCTCATCCCTTATTACCTCTGTCTGCCCAAACAGTGTCGTCACCTTCTCAAGGTAAGACGTGAATTCTGAGTCAGGAAAAAAAATCCGATATTCATTCAAAAAGCTGAATGAGTTCGTTATAAACAACTAATTACTTTTTTAAAACTTCATATGTTTGCGTTTAGCAACTACTGAAGCAGTGGAGCACAGGGGAGGAAACCGGTCGGGTTCTTGCCTTTTTGGCCCTCAGCAAAATCTGCAGACACAAACAGGAAACTTATCTCAACTCTGTTTTAAAAGTAAGCAGAGGGAAATAAGAAGTTACTCAATAACTTGAAATGTATATGCCAATTTAACATCTTGCTTTTTTTTTTCCTTTGCAGCAAATGTACATTTCCTATGTGCAAAACTGCAAGTTCACATCTCCCAACGCCCTTCCCATGATTAACTTCATGCAGAGAACTCTAACAGAGGTGTACTCCTTGGACACACAGGCCACCTATCAACACGCCTTCATCTACATCCGGCAGCTGGCCATTCACCTCAGAAACGCCATGACCATGAAGAAGAAGGTTGGTTGACTGGATGAGTTTTCACAGAACTGCAGTTCAATCAAGCTGAGCATAACCACTAAATTCACCTACCATTAAAAGAGCTCGTCTCTAATATTTAAAAATATTTAACCACTCAAATGTAAATGTTTTTGACTTGTTTTTGTCATTGGTACATTTTTTTACTTTAGGAAACCTACCAGTCGGTGTATAACTGGCAGTATATTCACTGTCTGTATCTGTGGTGTCGAGTCCTCAGCACGCTGTACCCCAGTGATGTTCTCCAGCCTCTCATCTATCCACTCTGCCAAGTCATAATCGGCACCATCAAGTGAGATACTTATCTATTTAATATTGCTTTGTTCAAATTTGCTGAAAATTTGTTCAAATTGATAATAATTGGTCATTTTTTTAGGCATCCAGATAATCCTGTCTTGCCGTATTAAGTGTTGTTTGTCTGGTATGGAAAAGTCTGGTTTTAAATCTCATTTCACAAACTTAATTCTTAACTGTACAAAAGTGAAAAAGGAGCAGGAAGAAGAAAAGTCTAATGAAGGTCCTCATCTTTCTCAATGAATACAAAATAAATTTCATGGTCGTAAACATTAAATTTACTTAGTCTAAGAGGCAAACCATATCAACCTTTTGTTTTAAACTCAGAAAACATAAGAATTTATTATTTTTTCTGTCCAAAATGTTTTACAGTTGAGCTTTTTTTTTCTCCTCCTTTAAATTGTTCCACAGTTTTACTCCAAACCCTGAGATACACATTTACTTTAAGGTGGTATGTAGAATGGTACTTTGGAAATTGTAGTTCTTCCTATTATTTTTATTGTTTGGTCTTAAAATACTAAACTTTTGTAAACTAGCTGGCAGTGATTTCTTTTTAGTTTTAAATATAACTAAGTGACCAATTTCCTACATTTCAGAATAGAATTATAACACATGATGTTAACGAGTCCAGCCCAAGTTTTTGTGCTTTAGTTGTTAAATAGCCCGTGCATTTCCCTCCACTTATCAGGCTCCAGATTGTGGGGGTGGCAGACCCAGCATAGAGGATCAAACCTCCCTCAACAACTTCCACTAGCTTCCCCTGTAGATCCCCAAGGTGTTTTCTGTCCAGCCTGGAGACATAATCTGTCCAGCATGTCCTGGGTTGACCCCAGAGATGACCTGCTGCAGGACATGCCCAAAACACCTCCCCTAATTTTACTGAATGTTGATTAAATTGGCTGCAGTTTACTGATGTTTGGTTTTATAACAGCAGACAGATTTTATGACTGTTGGTGTGTTCAGTGACAAATGGGAAATTAGAATTTCCAGTGTTCAACTATTAGGAAAAATGGAAAGAAATCAAAACAGACAACACAGAGGTCTGATTTCCTGCAGAAAGTGTAAAATGTTGGATCGTTCTTTAATGAACGAATTAGAATTCGTGAATAATGAGCAAAACTGTAACTTCCATCATGCGGGGCACTGCGAATGCAGCACAATTTTAATTCAGGTGCAAATAAGGTTGGAGAAGCTGGATAAAAGTTCTCTGAGCTGAGTCTGGTAACCCGGTGCTCTACGAACCGTAATGACTTACTGAATGTGGTATTTTCAGACAAATATGGCATCAATAGTTTTGTTTTGTTTTGTTATTGAAAGTTCTATTTTTAATTTATAATTTAATTCTGCTGTTATTTAATCTGTTGCTTCTTCTCAGACTTTGCTGTTTTTAATCAACATACTAGTTATGTTGCTGTGTGTTTTACCAACACTAGAGGGAGACATTTCCCGCTGTTTGTGCTTGCAGACTGGTGCCTACAGCCAGGTATTACCCTCTGAGGATGCACTGTTGCAGAGCCCTCACCCTGCTCTCTAGCAGCACCAACACCTTTGTGCCTGTTCTGCCTTTCCTCTTGGAGGTAAGACCCCACGTCATCTCCAGAAAACACCACCCAGGTCTTATGGGATTGCAGAGAGTCAACAGAGTTGAGTCAAGTTTCCAGAAGCCTAAACTGAAGTTGTTTACATCAGAACACAAGCAGAAGCCCCAAAGAGTTTTAAAAGAGAATCAGTTTGTTGGCTGTCTTTGCCCCGAGTGGAAACAATGAAGAGGTTGATGTGATGAAATGTTCCGCTGGTGGTTTGCTGTGGAAAGACATCAGTGGCGTGTGAAATGCATTTTGGTCTCAACGGCTACAACCGAAGGAGCTGAGGAGGAAACATATCGAGGAGTAGCTCTGCGAGAGAGCCCCCTTTTGTTATCAGACCAATCCCAGGTCACCAACTGACAACATCTTCGCTAGGTCAGGTGTTAATCACGTGGTTATGTTTGCTTGTGTGTCTTGTGGATGAGTGTGTGCGAGGGTGTGCACATGCCGTGAGGCTTTGTTGTGGTTTTCTGGAGGAGGGCGGCTCTTGACAGCAATGAGCTTGGCACACAGGGAGTGGTCAGTGGTGTGTGTGTGTGTGTGTGTGTGTGTGTGTGTGTGTGTGTGTGTGTGTGTGTGTGTGTGTGTGTGTGTGTGTGTGTGTGTGTGTGTGTGTGTGTGTGTGTGTGTGTGTGTGTGTGTGTGTGTGTGTGTGTGTGTGTGTGTGTGTGTGTGTGTGTACACGCGCGTGCAGCAGTTTGACCAAAGCAACAAAGGCACGGTTGTGGTTTGTACTCTGGTCCTAACACGTTGTGCAGACCACATCCTTTCTGCCTATGGCCCTCTCCCCCTCCGACACATGCACTCTCAAAGCACCCCCAGCAGCAAGCTGTGTTTATTTGTGACGCACATCACTTCCTGTTTTTTCTCCCTTACTGTTCCTCTCTTGTTAAAGGCAGGCTGAGGTGCACTGCTACTGTTTTAATTAGAGCAGCAGAAGCACCCCTCCTTTTCCTCCCGCATGTGTGTGCCCATGTGTGTTCTCGTATCTCCGAGGGGGGTTTATGATTCGGAGCTTCCTGCTTCAGTAGCTCTCTCTCTCTGGGTGTGTGTGTGTGTGTTGCTCTCTGTGTGTGTGCTATCGCACCAGGGTTGGCCCATTCCTTCCCACTTCCCCCTGGCTCCCCCGCAGACCGCCACCACATCCTATGTTTGTACAGACAGCACCGGCCAGGAGCGTTGCTCTGCTGTGCGCGCACAGAACATTAGCGACCACACACACACACACACACACACACACACACACACACACACACACACACAGATACAAGGAGGCAGAAATAGCTTGATACGCAAATACAGAACAGAATTTCACTTGCACACTGTGGGCAGATGTGAAAGCTTGAAGCTTGTGGACAAATAGCCCACACATCGACTAGAATGTACTTTCACGGAGATAAAAATGTGTTGTCTCAAGAACGCCACAGTTTTCAGACGAGACGTGTTGAATGTCAATTGTCACATTTTTAATATGATTAAAACACAATTTCACACAAAGATTCACAAACATTTTGTTGTAGTTAATAAGCTAAAGCAACTTCTTGTTCATTGCTTCAACTGGACATTTATTTACCATCAGATCGACCTTTGTTATCATTATTTCTTTATTAAAAGACCAAATAGCTCATTTCTTTCAAACAGTAATTAAAATATTAATAATGAGCAATGTTTGGTTCTCTATTAATTTCTTTGAACCATAAAGATTACAGTTAGTATTTTCACTTTTATTTTTGTTTATCTTTCTTTATCTTTTTCTTTTTTTTTTTCTTTTTTTTTTCAGATTTTCCAGCAAGTGGATTTCAACAAGAAACCAGGCAGAATGAGTAAGAAACCAATCAACTTTGCAGTCATCCTGAAGCTGAACAAAGTCAATCTGATGGAAAAAGCCTACAAGGTAAAGCATGACCAGCTGAGAAGGTGTTTGTGCCTTTGTTGCTCAGAGATGGAGCGGCCGATTAGATGACCGCTTCGCTTAGCTTGCGTGTGGGAGTAAGGGGATTGAGGGCAGCGTTGACAGACCCTCGTCAGGGCTCTAAAACTGCTCCTGAGTCGCCAAGCTCTGTGCAGCAGCCAAGAGGATTGCAGCGCGGCTCTCTGGGATTATCCCCCGTTTCACTCGTTGGGACCGTTCGCTCTGTCATCACCTTAGCAGCTGCCATTAAAACTCCAAACAGCCCTGGCTGACTGGACCTGAAAACAGGACAGTCCATGTGTGCTAGAGACATTTGTATCTGCACTAAACACCAGCTGGACTCACATTGGTTTCAACCTGTGGGACCTCATAAGTGAGCTTTGGTATTTTAACTATGTAACTTATCTTTTTAGTAACTTTTTGTTCCTCTTTACTAGCTGATATTATATAATCTGTACTTGATCTATGAGCAGAGATGCTGCGGTTACGAACAAATTTATAGAAACGATTCAAAGCCTAAATCCTGTATTTCATAACTGTCTAGTCCAGATGTTCATAATTTGTTTCAGTCTTTAAACCTGAGTTTACTTGAACAATAGAGAATTTATGGTATTCTGATGTTAATTGTAAATATTGCTGCTTTGTTTCACTTCAGGATGGTCTGATTGACCAGCTGTACGACTTGATGCTGGAGTACTTTCACACTCAGGCCTGCTCCATCGGCTTCCCGGAGCTCGCGCTGCCCACCGTTATTCAGGTAAAGCTGGCTTATATTTGCGCCTGTGCAGCACAATTCAGGACAAACATGGAAAAGCTGTGAAAGTAAACATGACTAACATAGTTTATGTCCTGGATAGTTAAGGATCTGTGAGCCACTCGGTCTATTTAGTTCATGCCACTTCTGCATGTCCCTGCAGCTGAAAGCTTTCCTGAAGGAATGCAAAGTGGGCAATTACTCCAAGCCGATGCGCCAGCTGTTGGAGAAGGTACAGGAGAACAGCAGCTTCATCACAGGACGAAGACAGAAGGCCGCCTTCGGAGTGGCTGATGCTGCTGCTGTGGTGAGTGTGGGAGGGGCTGGAATGGTCTGACTCTAGGATTAATTCAAACAGAAATCAACATATAATTATCACAGTCTAAGTAGACACAGACAAACCAGAGCTCCTGGAAAACTCCTTGTAGACTAGCATTGCATTTTATTAATCAGGTATCAGCTGAGTCAGACATGACCTTTGTCAGAAAGACCCAGTCACACGTATATATCTCTCACATCACACAGTGTGAATCTAAACTGTAACAATGACTTTCAGGGGAGTAAATGATCAAAAGTCACTTTTTGATGCTCGTTGAGCTGCTCTGTCTTCTCGATCCCCAGTGAGTCATGGAGGATGGCTGCTTATACTGAGCCAGGATTCTCTGGAGGTTTCTTCCTGTTAAAAGGGAGTTTTCCTCTCCACTGTTGCTATATGCTTGCTTAGTATGAGGATTGCTGTAAAGTCACTGACACTAGTCAGTGACTTGATGCAATTTGCTGGGTTCCTTATATAGGAAACATTTTTTCAGATTGGCTTAATGAACTGACCTGAATTGGAATGTTTACTATGTGAAGTGCCTTGAGATGACTCTTGTCGTGATTTGGTGCTATATAAATAAACTTGAATTGAATTGAGAAATCTGAGTCTGAATCTACTAATAACTTAAAAAAATCCTAAAAACCTAAACTGGAGCATTTTGCTTTGGACTTCTTAGCGCTGGAGAATTTTTACCCAATCAGTTTGGATGGAGAAATTGTGTCACACTTCCAGTTCAAAGAAAAAGAAAAAAACTAAAATGTTTATCTCCATCAAACATCAACTCTGAGTTATACGGCAAGCACAGACCCCAAAATCTTTAATTCGTCTTGCTTTGATGTCTTCTTCAAATTCTCACCTGGAGTACGCTTAGTACGTTTGACCCCAAACGGAAGATTTTGTACATAAATATCTGTCCTTTTTTATGACAGAGAATGAACTTTTTACTTTGTTTTTTCTTTCATGTTTTTTCCAGACAGAAGTGGTAAACGTCATTCTGGGAACCCTCCTCACATTTATGATAACCGACACAACGAAAAAAGAAGTTATCATGTTTTAGCTTAGCTTAAGAAAGCAGAGGTTTAGTGATTTATACACTTGAATTTGTGTCCGATCACATGCAAAATGTATCAAAATAATTGATGTCCCGTAGCTTAATGATGGAAAGTTGATTCGTGTTTCCAACAGATTGATGACACCTGAATGGTTTGTACCTCGTATCTGAAGAGTTTTAATTTCTTGCAAATATTAGATGAACCTATCTAAAAGCTGATGATGGCAGATGCTTTTATGGTGTCGGCTCAAATGCACCAGAGTTCTGTTCCAGTGTGGGTTATGTAACAGTCATTGTTTTTGTCAATCATAACGCAGTTATTCAAGTGTCTTGGTTACACCAAGGTTAGTAAATGCACTCGAATTTTCTGCATTGCGTCTTATTGGTTTACTTTAACTGCTTGCCACCTGTTCTACTCATTTGGCACATTCGGCAAGTGTTCAGAATAAAACACAAGATTAATTATCTGAAGAGGTTCAAACAGAACTCGGATAATCTCACATCAGAAGATCACTTTACTGTATGTGGAAATATTGTGGCAGATTTTATGTTTTGATGTAACTCAGCTACACAAATCTGATGATTTTATCCTTGTTTTGAGGTCAAAGTCACCACACTCCAGAGGTTTTAGTGACTTGTTTTAGATGTGATACAACAGGAATGTGGTTTGACTTTGCCAACGCTGAGTAAAGTACATATTCTACTGCCATTTTAACCTGTCAGTAATCTACCATGAAAATACTAGATTTAACCTTCAAATGGCTTTATTTCACATGTGGAGTTGCTTCAGAGGCTGAAAATGAGGCTATTTAATTTGAGAGTTCTCCAAAAGCGCAACAGAGAGGTCAAGCTACAGGGTCCTAAAAATATTTGACTGTTATGTTTTATTTGTTTTTCTTTTGGAGCCAACCCTGAGCCAGGCTCCTCTCAGGGTTTTGTTACGTTTAAGCCAGTTTGAGTTTAAGTTGGATCAGTTGGTCAAAGTCCATGGGTGCGTGAATCGTTGCTTGAATTTAGATTTGCGGTTTTCAAAGTTTGTGAAAGTGCTTGAATTTTTACTGACGTGCGTAAAGATGTAATTTAAATGGGTCATGGCACAATAGCATTCACTTTTAAAGACAGGGTAGTGAAAGAATCGTTTTAGGCATGCGTGCTCGTACTTGTGGAAGTGTGTACAGACTCGCCGCAGTAAGACTGGCACCACGCCAGCACCTATCGCCTCAGCTCACTTCTCAGTGGAGGCTGTCGCCATGGCATCGACTCCCTGGTGTCATGGTAGCGGTAGAGGTGTCACTACAGGCGGAGGAGAGTGGACAGTCCTGTGGAAAGGCCACCCCCCCCCCCCCCCCCTCTGGCCTCCAGAGCTCCACTCATGTGTCACCCAAACTGCCTGAATAATTAAGCCCTGGTTCCATTTTCATCTCAGTGAAAACAGTTGCATTTGTTTGACCCAACACTGAACACGTTGATGCCACTCATCTCAACAGCTGCACAGCAAATTGTGGTAAATGTGTGACGCCAGCAGGTGCAGAAAGCTCCATTCTGTTAGTTTTATTGAATTTGTTGGTCAGATAATGTGATTTGTCCTGATCAATAATACCCACGCAGACCTTTAAGAGATGGAGAAGATCTCCTCTTTCAGGCTTCCTCTGACTCTCATCACTTTGTTTCTGGTTTATGTGGAGACGTGATTGAAAGCAGCAATGATTTAGATTATTTTTGGATCTGCTGAACCTGCTCAAAGGTTTAAGACTCGAGATAACTCTTCGATATGCAGTCATGTTGGTGATTGTCTACACTTTCTCCATCTGTGTTTTCTGTCAGGCGGCCTGGGAGAAGCAGCTCCAGCAGGAGGGGACTCCCCTTACCAGATACTACAGCCAGTGGAAGAAGCTGCGGGAGAAGGAGATCCAGCTGGAGATCTCTGGCAAAGAAAGGGTAATTATCTAACTAAAACGCCTCAGTCATCATGGCTCGCTTCTGGCGTTCTCCATGAATGGTACTGCTACTCACAACAATTAGAGTTGCATTAATCACTCATGCTGCATAGAGGGGCATTTTACTGGCAGGATTATTATATTATGATCTTCACAGAGGCCATTAAAGATCGTTTGTGTTGTTGTTTTTCTGTCAAGATGGAAGATTTGGACCTCCCTGAGATCAAACGGAGGAAGATCCAAGAGAAGAAGGAGCAGGACAAGAAGGAATTCAAGGGTCTGTTTCAGTCTGACAGCGATTCAGATGAAGAGGACACAGGACTCAAAATCAAAAGTAAGATACCTCGCATAAAGTTTTTAGTCAGACTTGGAAAGTTACCCAAAAATAAGGCAGTTTGTGGATGAGCTCTGTAAGACAATACACATCTTGGCCTCTAGGGGGCTGTATGTTGCCACAACAAGACCAAAGTCAAGTGAAAAGGTGAAGATAGTTGACTAATTTTTCTCACTGCAGTGAAGATTAGGCTCCATGTGGCAGATCACCTGTAGCATGGCTACTAAAAACATCCACCCTGCTTCTGTGGAAATTAGAACAAAATCCTTCGTTCATCAGTTTGGTTTGCTCCCCACCAAAAGAGACGGCTCATCATTTTAACCCTCGTGTGATTTGTCCAGTCGAGGTCGTCCGCAGGTCACAAACAGCTGTTACCTCTCCTTCACAGCTTTCCACTCGGACGTGCTCCGAGCAGAAAAAACCCTCCGCAAGGTCACAGAAGGAAAGAGTAAACAGCGGGAATTTTTATTTGTAATGCAGCTGGACTTCATTGTAGGGAGAGTCCCCACAAACGGATGGGCCGCTGCCGGCAAGCGGCTCCCCCAACCTCCTCCTCTTTCGTTTGTCTTTCCGCCACCACTAGTGCGCACACACACACACACACTCTGAACCCCATCGCCAAACAGGAAGTACAGGCTTGGATCCCAGCGGGGGTTCCTAATTCAAACCAGCCCACTGGAACAGCCAGAGGTGGCCGCTCCCACTCCTCTCTGCCATGTTTTTTTCTCTTTCTGGTTTTGTGAGCTTCAACTAGTTGCCCCCACGTGTCCTCACACACACGCAAACACATTTCAGTGCACATCTACCATCTCGTCATCCAATCTCAAAGAGCCAAAAGCTTTTGGGCAGCTCACCAGAGCTGTTTGTGGTCTCACACACTCCCGGAAAGAGGGGGAATAGGAGGAGGGGGCTGATGATTTAGACTGGTGTGTGTGTCAGAGTGTGCATGTGTCGGTGTGTGGTGGTAATAACTCATCCAGGTCATTTGGGGGCAACCTCAGAGGCACTACTGAAATCTGCTTTCACCATATGAGCTACAAAGAGTGAAAGATGGCAAGAGCGTGTTGTTTTAAATTCAGATGGGAGAAGTACCTGATGCTTTAATAGGTGGTGTGTGTGTTACACGCTGAGGAAGTAGCTTTGCTTTGCCTCTCTCCATCACGCCGTCAGCCTCTCATCACGTCTCAACTTCAAAGCCCGTGGACCCCAGTTGTCCCTTTGGCTATACAACACACACATACACACTCTTCTCTGAGGATAGCACAACACAAGTTCAGACAAACTCCAAACTTCTCTACACACACACACACTGATCAGAGTAGCTCTGGAACCTGTCTGCTATCTTCATTTGCTATATTTAGGCCGTGAGCAGAAGATGTCTGAAATTGCCGGTAGTAAACTGTCATGGGTGTTTGTGCAGCAGCAGCGGCGCCTGTAATCGACTCTCAGTTCCATCTCAGGAGGAAATAGACACTTCCAGCAGCCTCTGATACCTGGCCCACATATCTGTGTCTCCAAAGTCCTCAGACGTCACCGACACAAACTTGGAAACATCTGAGGAGAGAAACGCTAGACAAAAATCTGTGGTTTGATGTTTTTCACTGTTTTCCTCTCAGGTAAGAAGAGCAATGAAGCATCAGATGATGATGATGATCTGGAAGATCTGTCTGACCTGAGCAATGACGAAGAGGAGGAGGGAGGAGACTCAGGTCAGAATTAGAATGATCTAAGCTTCCTTTGATTTTCTTGTTTTTATTCACTTTGTGTAAGGATGAGAAGTAGTCATGGAGTCATTAATGTGAGTGAATATCGATGGTTAAGTAACTTATTAAAAGTAAAATCAAATTGTAACTATTTTAAAGAGGATTTAAGCACAAGGAAGATCTTTTTGATGGGTTCTAAAATCTTTGTTTTCCTCATATCTGTTCTGTAAAAGCACATCTTTGTTTTCACCTTAATTTTAAAGCATTTAAAAATAAGCAGCAATAAGATTATCCTACTCGGTATTCTGGAGCAACAGTGACATGAATGTTAGTTTTCTAACTGTAAGAAACAATACAGCATTAACAAAAATTAAGAAATCATGTGACTTAAGTGCTTTTTAAAATTAAGATTTGAAAAAAAAAATCACAATTCTAGCACATTTTTTTGCTTTAATCCCTTGAACTCATTCAGATTAATCCCGTTGTTATAAACGGCTAAAGGAGAATAATCTGCTGCAGCTTCATGATTTAGAATATAATCAAAAATTAAATATTGTGTCATTTCAGTTTGTTGTTTCAAAATTTGAATAGTATATTTATGTCATTAAAATAATCAAATATATGTCAAACATTGTCAATAATCTAAGTATGCATTAATTGAGTTAATAGCTTATATAAAACCTCAGTGTGATGCTCAGGTGCCTTTTCTGTTTGTGTTCCAGGTGATGATGATAATGGTGGTGAGGATGAAGAGGCCTCCAAGACCCCTCAGCCTCTTTCCTCTGCTGCTCTGATAAAGTTGGCAGAGGGAGAAGAGGATGTGGTCGAAGACCTTCAGCTGTCTGATGAAGACTAGGGTTCCTAGTTTGTGTGTCATCCTTTTTTAACATTTAAATTTTCAGTATTTTGGACTTTCATTCTGTGATTTATAACTTTGTATTGCTCCATGTGCACAGTACAAATAAGATTCAAGAACCTACAGTGTTGTCTTGATTTTTTTAAAGACTCTTGAATTATGGATGTGGACCAGAAAATAAAGGTGTTTGATTATGTGCACACCTGTAGTTTCAATTTCAATTTCAGATTAATCCCATTGTTATAAACGCTGTTATAAGCGCCAAATCACGACAAGAGTCGTCTCAAGGCACTTCACACAGGTCAGTTCATTAAGCCAATCAGAAAAAAGTTTCCTATGTAAGGAACCCAGCAAATTGTATCTAGTCACTGACTAGTGTCAGTGACTTTACAGCAATCCTCATACTAAGCAAGCATACAGCGACAGTGGAGAGGAAAACTCCCTGTTTAACAGGAAGAAACCTCCAGAGGATCCTGGCTCAGTATAAGCAGCCGTCCGCCACGACTCACTGGAGATGGAGAAGACAGAGCAGACACACGCGTCTACACAACATATATACCATGTAGTGTTTCTATGGTTACATTGTGATTTCTTGGTAAATATTCTATTCAGTAAGAGATACACTTTATTGTATTTATCTTAGTGAATCTATATTTAATTCAACAGGTAAAGTAGTAGTTACCAATTGGTTTTAAAAGAGAACTATGTGGAATCTATGAGCCTGGGTGAGTTGGGCCGAGCCGGGCCAGAGGATGGGCACAGAGAGGCGAGTTGTTGAGCCCCGAGGCAGCAGGGCTGTGCCAGCCTGGCAGGGTGGCGTCTGATGCCTTGCCAAGACTGCCCAGGTGGTAGAGCTCCAACACAGGCTGGTCTGTTTCTGAGCCAACTCCTCACCCACCCTCCACTCACACCACTGTCTGTTCACTCTCTCTCTCTCTCTCTCTCTCACACACACACACATACACACACACACACCCAACTTTCCTACAGTAATTAGCTTTTCTTTCTAGACTTATCAGAGTTCACTACTGAAATGAAGAAGTCTTCAACAAGGCGACCGGTCTCCGATTCAATATTCTCAGTCTGACTTAAATCATGACTGTAGTTTGTTGCAAACGTAATCAGAGTAGATGCACTTTATTTTGTGTGTTTTGTTTTTGCCTTAAAAGTTAGAATTTCAAACAGTTTGAGTTCAGCCGCCTGCTTTAAAAAAGTACCGGTAGGTGTAACACTGATTTTGTTTATGATGAAGCTTTGAGTATCTGTTTTAAACCACCCAGTGATTGGTTAAAGTAGTAAAATGTGTAAAAAGACAACAGTTTTAAAACTGATTTTTCATTAAAACGACTCATATTTAAAATCAGAGGATATACTGAATCAGCCAATAATCGGTTTCTATTCCCTTTTTTGTCCATGAATGCACGATTGCCAGGTAACAATAAAAATCCAACATTTTTCCTGATTTGAACTCACCATCAGTACATGCTAATTTACACTAGCAGTAACAGATCTGTGGAGGTTATTGCTTCCAGAATTTAATTTTACTTTAAGATGAAACAATCAGTACAAATCAGTTTTCAGCTACTGGTGTCGGTCCTCAAAACCAGAATCTGTGCATCCCTTAATTTGTGTTTTATGCACATTTTTAATCACCAAATAAAAAATGTGATAACTGATTTTACACAGTAATCATACATTTTCACACTTTCATCCCTGGTTGTGTTACAGTTTCAAAAGCCACAAATGAGGATTGGATTCTAGTTGCTTCATCATCCGGTCACACTTCCTCTGTTGCAGTTTTCATTGAATTCAGAACATTCTGATGCAGAAGCTGCCTAAAGCTAAGGAAAGTCCCATCAGGGTTTGCTTTGAAGAGGGAAGCGTGAGGGCTGAAACGTGTGTACGCAGGGAGGGTCAGGTTTGCCCCCACAGGAGGCAGGAAGGCCCTTGGCCTTCGGCTGAACCTCGCGCTCCCAACAGCTGGAATTGAACTGAACTGTGCTCCTCATGGGTCACCTCCTCTTCCTCATCTTACACACCAGGAGACCACAGACCTCCTGCTCCAGGCTTACAGAAGAACCACAAACACCTGAGAAGAAAACAAAAGGCATCTGTGTGTTGTCTGAAGAAAACAGAAAAGAAGAGCGCTCTGTTTCTTTAGGATTTATTTCACCTGTGTGGTGAATAGAAAAATAGGATGAAAACAAAACTTTTGAAGGGAAATCTAGAGAGCATTTTGAATTCATTGCTTGCGTTGTTTTAAAAAAATCCATAAGAAATTCAATACATTTGCATTAAGAGCGTTGTGCCTTTTCTTTTCCCTGCAACCAAGAGAAAACAAACTAAAAGTATCTTTGGATCCATTTTAAGGGCTAATTTTTATACATATCATAATCTGCTTTATCTACTACATCAGAAGTCCTATAAATAATTCTGTCCTCATATTTGTATGCTGGAGTAGCATTTGAGATTTCCGCCTCGTTTTTTTTTATATTACACTATTTTCTTTATTTTTTTTAGTTTTTTTTTTGTAGAAAATTAGGAACAAAAGTACCACCAAAGTTGAGCATGTCACATTTTTCAGTTAAGAAATTCTTATTCGTGCAACTACATTTAACAAAAAAAGTACCATGTAAGTAACCAGAATATTTTCATCTTAAGCGTGATTCTGTACAATTTTGCATGTTCATCCTGCCTTTGACAGTAGTCGACACAAGTGTACAATAAACAAGCTGCACACAACAATGAGACCTCTCCGTTTATGATAGCTTTAAGTGCCAGTCTACCTACGTCACCTTGAAAAGAGTCAAGGCCCTATTTCAGCATTTCCCGTTCTCTGGACCTGACCAAAAACAAAAAACAATCAGACTCGATGTGAAACTTTTCTTATTCCATCCATCCGGTATCATCTTTGGTATCAGGACAGTGGAATGCATAGTTGCAGTGATACAAGAGGGAGCTGGTCAGATCCAGTGCTATTCAGCATGTGTTTCAACTCCAGCCTCTATAACGAAAGTGCCATGCTGTCGTTTTGGCCTCGGGGAAATAGTCGAGATAAAGAGAAGGGAGAGAGGATAAAAGGGAGATGCGTCACTTTTTAATTCCCGGGCTCTGGTGGGCTTGGGCTAAGTGCAGTCAGAGATAGAAAGTCAGTGAGGAGAGCTTCCTCCTGCCCAGGAAGGAAGGAAGGGTTTCCGCTAGCGTCTGTCTGATTTGCAAGAATGTCGCATTTGTGGCGGGGCTCTGCTTCATTTTCTTGGCAGGCTGTCTGTGACCAGCTGTCCCCTTTTCCTTCTCTTTCTCTGTTCCTCTGTCACTTCTCTCCCTTCCAGCCCGGATTCTTTGGATTTCACTCATCTCCAGCCACTGCAGAGGTTGTTCAATAGTCTGTTATTCCAGTCAAATCGTTTCCTGCAAACTTAAGTTAAAATTTCTGAGAATAAAGAGGAGTCTGGTGAATGGGGTCTGACTGTGACCCCACTCGGTCTCCCTGCAACACGAATCCTGTGTTCCTATGAGGGAGTCTTAGCCTCGTATCTTCCCACCATCGCAGAGCTGGTTCCGTTCTCCTTTCTGGGGGAGGAGCACCCTGGGGTGGGGCCGCTGTATGCAGAAGAGCTGCTGCTGGTGGAGGTGGGTTGGTGTGGCAGGGACAGCGGGACGGACAGGGGGGCGTCAGATGGTGTCGTCAGGGGGTCTCGATCCCGATCAGACGGACGTAAGATGGCAGAAGGTGGAAATGGGAATGCTAGCGGGAATCCGGTCATGTAGAAGAGCCTGCCAACACGGCGTGCTACCTGAGGAGGTAAGAGAAGACCACATGACTGTCAGAGCTGCCTGCTGAGCTTCATCTGGTGGATTAAATTATGTTTTGAAACAATAATTCAGAGAGAGAAGAAGAGAGGCGGCAGGGGCAGGCTAGTTTAGGGAAGTTTAGCTATGCTACTCTAGGCTAACAAATTTCTCTGTGTCCTAAAGACAGAAACACACATTCAAACACACACAAACCTCCACTCCAACACACAAACACACACACACGGGTCTGTGATGTGTGTACCTGTGAGCGGATCTTGAGTGCAGGCCCCAGCTTTAGTCCCATGGTGTTGAGCAGATGCTCCTCAGTGAGCAGCGGCAATGTCTCTCCATCAATGGCCTGCTCCCGAAACACCTGGCAGAGACACAGCCGCTTCAGCCACAGCCCCGACATGCACACACAAACTACACACACACACACACACACACACACACAAGCTAAACAGGGACTCTGTTCCAAAACCGGACACACCCCAGAAAGTGATCTGATGGGGTTCAAGCAACACATCTCCCATCAAAGCCTTTTTGTCTCCATATTGTGTAGACGAGTTCACATTGGCTGGTTTCTTAGAAATCTAATGCCAGAATGACTAACAGCAGGGATGAAACATCGTTCCACCACCTTGTTGTCTTCAGATTATGTTTTCCAGATTATTTAAAGGTAACAAAATAGTTTACCAAACAAAGGTTCTTTTTTTAAGTCAAAGACTTTCATGGTTTAACAATTGCTCAACTTTGGTGTCAACGATTGACTAGCCTCAAGATTTCAAAATAAAAGTCACAATAGTGTACACAATGTATGGAGAAAAAAGGAAAGGGGATTTTAGTTTGGAAAACTTTCCATCTTGATTTTATTCTTACAATATTTGAAATTGTGTTTGTGTACTTTTCAGCTTTATTCTCAACATTTTGGTTTTATTCTGAAAACATTTTAAATTTATCCTCAAAACTGGGAAACTCTTGAAATTGTGTTTGTTTGTTTTTTCTTCAGCATTGCACTACGTCTAAAGAGCAGCAGTGTCGTTATGAATAAATAACTTTTCTTTATAAAAACTGTTAGATTTAAACAATTTTATCGTGAAAAAAATGGGTAGCTGATTTTGGAACAGCGTGTATCAACACATTCAATTCAAAAACACTTTATTAATCCCAGAGGGAAAATGATTGCCGTAGTAGCTTAGACTCGCACAAGATGTTCACACTTACATGCACTTTAAACCAACTCTCATTCATACAAAGCCCACAAATGTGACAAAACTAAACTTGACCATCCATGCAGCTGCACACATCCACATTAAACTCAAAAAACAAAACTAACAGCTGCTGAAGTGCCTCTATATGGACAAAACAATGTCTTTGTCACCTTTCCTCTGTGGTTAATAAGCCTGCCTCTTGCCTCTCTCTCTCTTTTCTCTCTCCCTGTCCTCTTACCTGTGCATATTCTGCACATCCAGCCAGGCTGCTTATAAAGCCACACACATCCTCCACACTCCACTTGCTGATGTCCTCCACAGGGTTGGATGTGGCCGAGTCTTCCCCTTCCACGAAAAGACCTCCCAAAGAGCCTGAAAAAGCAGCAGTATTTGAAAATTATGTGTCATTTTATATATATATATATATATATATATATACTGGCTGGATACAAAACTGTGTCATATGTCACAAACTGCCATTAAGCAATGACGGGTTTGAAAAGGAGACGATAACGAGAGGAGCGGATGGACTTTAAGTCAATGTGGACGGATTGTGTTAATCGATGGAGGTGAATCAAAGAGATCAATGAGTCTGAGTGTTTTTAGTGATCGATTTTTCTGAAGGACGTTAAATGCCTGTCACCAAACAAGTGAGAGGAAGTTTCAAACCACTCCATGGTTGGATATTTTGCTTCCATGAAGCAAGACTTTCTTGAAAATTTTTAAGATAATCTTAAAAGTTTTTCAGGCTTCCTGAATGGTCTTCTAATGTGTTGAGGTTACCAAGATTATAACTGCATTACTTGGTTCTTTTTCCAACACAGCAAAAGAGTTCTGCCTTGTTTCTGCTGATGTTTTGGCTGTAGCCTTCCTCAGAGCTCACCGCTGTTGTCGGCGTCACTTCCTTCTTCATTTACCCGCGGGCAGCAGAGGGTGACACCGTCCTCTGCTGCCCGCGCTCTCCTCGTCGATGACACAGTCCCATGCGTGATCCAATGTGTAGACCCCATCGTCCCTGTTCATGGTTGTATCCACGTCTCCTTATTTCTATAGCTTCCCAAATCCATCTTTTGTGTTTTGGTTGTTCGGTGTTTATGATTCTTGTTCTGTCCCAGTCCATTATAGGATTTTCTCTTGTGCAGTGCTCTGTTACGGCTGATTTCTTTACCGTCCTTAGCTGCCCGCGGATAAACGGAGAAGGAAGGGACGCCAACAAAAGTGAGTTTTGAGGAAGGCTCCAGCGTCACAAAGTCCGAAAAAACAAAGTAAAACAACTCGTTTGCTGTGTTGGAAAAAGAACCACGTAGAATGAACCTACAAAAGATGTTGCCAAGATTATATTTGTAAAATTTTAATTTATAAAATCCAGATAACACACCCATTAGTGCAATCAAATCCCTGTGTAAGAGGCATAGTGCTGTGTCTGTATAAAGTTTGTAATTGTTCACTTTTAATTGTGTGCATGCAGGTAGGAGTTTGGGTTGGGGCGCTGGCTTGTCCTTGTTCCTCTCAGGTACTTTTTACATAATCAAAAAGCAAAGACTCTTCGAAAACAGTCAGGTGGTGGAGTGGAAGAAGCATGATGTTTTTGCCCCCTAAATTGTTAAAACTCGCTAAATTCTTGTAATATTTTAAGTCAAAACTGATTTTTAATTTTTATGTATAATCTTTGAACTGCTGCTGTAAATCCACGTGTCTGTAAACAACCCCCATCCCCTTTCTGCCCTCGTGACTCTGGTGTTGCTGGTGTGCCTGTAGGTCACGCTGAGGTCAGAGGCAGGACCCCTAACAAGTAAAGGTCTCCACGTTAGAGACACACACACACTGAGCGACGCTAATGGGTTTCACATGTCACATGTGTGTGTTTGAGTTGCTCACCAGCGTGAAAGTAAGGGTTGGTGTAGGGGAATCCGAATGGCAGCGACTGTGCATGAAGAGCATGCAGCGGCGGCATGAAACCTGGTGGCAGGTGGTATTTTAGATCAGTCTTGCCCAGTCCGGGGGTGAAAATGTGCCGACTAGGTGAGTCAGTGTCTGCTGAACTACAAGGAGCGCTCAGCCTGTCTGAGCTCTCTCCAGCTTCTTTGGCACTTTCACAGCCTCCCTTACAGCCAGTCTCTTTCCCCCTGTTTCGTTCTCTGTCTCTGGACTTATTGCTGGACCGGGCACCCTCTTGCCTCTCCTCACACATCTCTGTCTCGCTGTCTGAGTCCTTCATCTCTTCATCATGCACATCCATGTCTCTGTCTTCTCTTCCTCCTCTGTGATCTCCAACACAAAGCTGTGCTTGGGCTTCCCTGCGATTACCTCTCCTGGATTCAGGATCGGGCCCAGCCGTGGAGCTTTGTGCCTGGTTATCTTTGGGTGTGGAGGACGCTCCTGGTTGCTGCTGCTGGTTGACAGTTAGGAGGGGTGTGGCAGCACCGTGGCGAAGCACCAGCATTGCATTAGAGCGTCGAGCCAGCTCCTCACGAAGGGGATGCCCCTCTGGGATGTCATGGAGACTCCGCAGGGCAGGATGGTCGGGGGGCAAGCCAGGAGGCAGAGCTCCCAACAGGTCTGAGCCCAGCAGACGCTGCTGCTGCTGCTGCTGGTGGAGACTCTCCAACTCCTTCTGTCTCAGCAGCTCCGCTGACATCTCAAGTCTGAAGCAGTGAAACACACAAAGACTTTCATGTTCTGGTAAAACTAAAGTTCAGTCACACATTAAATCCACATCACAACTCCTAAAGACATTTTTTAAATACAAAACATATAAACACACCTGGCTAGGTTCTGCTTCCTTAAAAGTTCTTGTTGCCGTGCAAGAATCTCAGCTTGAGCTGGCTGGAGAAACCCATAACCTGGTAAAAATCAGAGCAGAAGAGCAAAGAAAATGTCAGTTAAAGAAACACCCAAATGAATGATAACATCTCACAATTAAATTGGTTTAAAAGTGGTGGAAAGAAAATGTTTAATCAAGAAGTTGCAGCTTGTTTTAGTATTTCCATTCTGTGCTTTTTTAAACGTCCATTTAAAAACGTTAGAAAAAAAAGCACACTTACATTCTACAGCAGAAAATTCACATGATGACTTTGTTTATTTTTATTTTCCTGCATCAGACCTTTTTTCTTCTCTATTATTTAATGACAACTTTTAGGATAGATTTGCTTTTATGAAAACCCTTTGCATTAAGTAGAGGAAAATGCTAATGAAACAGAGCGGTGACATGTTTTATTTCAGCTGGAAGAGAAGCTTTACTGGAGATTTACCGGGGGCCTGGCAGAGAGCGGAGGGCATGCCCAGGAATGGAGGCCGCAGGTGAGGTCCTAAGGCGATGTGAGGAGCAGTCGGGGGGGACAGGAGGGGTGGAGGATGGGACAAATCTCTGAGGAAGAGAAGATTTAAACTTGGGTTTAGTCATAAAGTAAAATAGTTCCCTTCTCGCAATGAGTTTCTGTTCTCAGCACATCACTCTTTCTCTCTCTCTGTGTGTGTGTGTGTGTTTTCTACCACACCAGTGCATGTGGTATATTTTTATCAGTAGCACTCCAGAGGCCCCGATGTCGCCTCAGTGCCTCATCAGTCTTGTCACGCCGCAGCAAGTGCCGCCGGCCATTGCTGTACCCTGGACTAGAGCCTTTCCTTCCCCTGCAGCCTCTCTCTCTCTCTCTCTCTCTCTCTCTCTCTCACACACACACACACACACACACACACACACACACACACACACACACACACACACACACACACAAATCTAGACTCACACACATAATGAGGGCTGAATGCACAATGCCAGTGTGTCATGCTCCGACAGCTGGGACGGCCCCTGCATCTTGACCGGGGCCACGGGCTGAAGGACCTCCTAATTAACACTCATCCCTCCTCTCCTCGCTCCTTTTCTAGCGCCCCTCTCTGTCTTTCTCCCTCTCACTCCCTGAAAAGATGGAGCATCCTGCAACTTGTGCTTCTGAAAAGGCCTCTCCATTATTGGCTTGGTCTTTTGTCCTCTTTGAGGGAGAAAGGTGCCTCTCACCTTTCCCCTTTAGTTTCAGTCTTAACCATCTTTTTTTCCAGTCTTCACTTTCATCCATTTACTTCTGTGACCTGTTCACTGATTTAATTTTTGTCCCAATTCCATGTAATGTCTTTGACCTTTACCATATTTTCTTACAGTTTTTATCCTTCTGTTTACCCTCTTCTCTTCCTCCTGCTTCTCAGCTTCATGCACGTCTTTAAGGGGATGTGGTGATATACAGATGCACACAAAGTTGTCACAAAGTGAAGCATTTGCACTGGGACCCTCTGCAGATCTCAACGCGTGTGACGTTTTGAGCCAGGATTGCATGCTGATGCTGTCCACAGCTGTCTTCGGAGCCTTTTCTGGACTTGATCTACAGCTCCCTACAAACACTTCTCCGCTTCACATTCCTGCTTTTTGTCCTCCGGAGCTTCAGCTGCTATCACACCAATCAGTGCTCAGTTGTGTGCGCCTGCCACTGAACAAACGCATACATGGGAAAAAAGCTGAGGAAAACAACAAAGTCAAACCCAACACTGGGAAGCGTGAAACCACAAGTATTGTTTTGAAACTGTTCAAATTAGCCAGCGCCTGTGTGTCTCCCGCCTCTCTAAACCGTGAGGAAAGGGAAGAGGGCACAGGAGCAACAGAAGGGAGACGGGATTTAGGGGAGAGGGTGGAGTTTGGTGTGTGTGTGTGTGTGTGTGTGTGTGTGTGTGTGTGTGTGTGTGTGTGTGTGTGTGTGTGCGTGTGTGTGTGTGTGTGTGTGTGTGTGTGTGTGTGTGTGTGTGCGTGCGTGCATCGATTGCCTCTGAAATGTTAATACTAATCGTATAACCGCTCTCTCCGGCGGTGCCTCGCACTCCAGTGGCAGCTCCAATTAATCTTAGGTGAGGGCTGTGGTGCGTGACCCCGGAGCTGCTAGCCTGGACCCCGTTAGCCGTTGCTTATGTAATTACACCGCCCAGTGTGTAATCACCTGGCCTAATCCCTCAGGGCTAGCAATTAGCCCTGAGACACACAGTTCCAACAGGCTACGTGACGGCGTCCGCAAAAACTCCCATCCACCCCCGTCACAGCTCCTGCACGCCAACCCCCCTCCATCTCTTTCTGATATTCCCTCTTTTTTCCCTCTCTTTGGACCGCCATGCTTAGCGTTAGCCCACAGATGAATAACGGTCAATTAAAGCTGCATGACTGGGGCTGCCAGGCGTCTGCGCCACCATAATTAGGCCTAATCACGGGGAGTAAGAGAGCGAGGGAAAGAGTGTGTCTGACACTCCTCTCCTCTCCCTCCCTTCCTCCATCTCTCCCTCTCTCCCTTCTTTCATGCAAGGCAATTTTGAGGAAGAAGTGGCAGACATTTTGCTCTGAGAATGTGTGTTTGTTTGCAACATGTCTTGTCTCTTTCAGAGTGTGTGGTTTTCTTTTTTGCACTACCTGTGCATTTTGTTGGCAAACCACTGACATGCTATAAAAAGATGAGAGACAAACATCCACCTAGTTTTTGTGAGAGTGGGGGGAAAAAGAAGACAGATTCACAAATGTGAGGTGGACTCATAATCACACCGAAGTCTATCACTGGACTCTGTCTGTCTGAGCCTGCAGTGAGGCCATGGGCTCATGGGGAATTCACTGGTGTGTGGCGACTTGTCAGAATGGCGACGGCGGCCCTGTGCTGCAACAGCACAGGGTGTGTTTATGTGTGTGTGTGTGTGTGTGTGTGTGTGTGTGTGTGTGCGTGTGCGTAGGGGCTGCCCTTAATGACTGAAGCGTGGGGGGATTAGGAGCGCCGCGCGGCCGCCTTCGGCTCCCTCTCCGCAGGAACACATTTACACAGGAAGCTCATTAAAATGGATGAGACTCCCTCCACGCTTGCTCTCTCCCTCCCTCTATCTCAGTCACTCCCTGCACCTCCTCCCCTCCCTCCTCCTTCGCCTTATCGCACACTCTTTCCATCTCCTTACTCGGTGTGTTGGTTCATCTCTCTCCGTCACCTTGCCGTCTCTTGCTTCACTTTCCTCATCCCTGTTTTATGTTTCCATACTTTTCTCTTCCTGCATCTCACCCTCCCTCTTCACTTTTTCTCCATCCTCCCCCTTATTTGCCTTGCACATGTTTGGTGAGCTTAGTGCCATTTAAGGCCAGACAAATGGAGCGCCAGGCTCTAAGCCTATCGAGCAGCCCTAATGATTTGTTTTTAACAATGGGCCCTAATGGGCCCCGGATAATCAATGATGAGGGGTCGATGGAAAGGTGAGCTGTGGAGAGTTAGAGAGGGAAAACGGAGAGAGCTTCCATCTCTAACTTACTTTCTTTTATTTCACTGGTGCTTTTTTGTTTTGCTTAATAGTTATTTCCATTATTTTTTTCTTCATCCCTATCTCATAAAAGTATTCAATACAGAGCCTGTACAGTCTTTGCTGCATACTCAGATGTATACACACTCTTTACACTATTGTTTTATTCCTCGGTGTCTCATTTTTAAACCTGTTGGCTCCAGCATCCTTAACTCATCCCATGAAGGGCTTTGTTTTACATGTGGAGCCAGCTTTTATGAAGGCAGCTGAAGAAAACATTTTTCTATGGACCCCACACAAGGGCATTGTCATGTTAAAGCATTAAGAGCGGCTTCCCTAAACGGGAGCTACAAAGGCAAATGCAAACTGCTGCTTAAAGACAACGTTATGCTTCGTCACTTAGATTTTCTTCAAGAAGAAGTAAAGAGTCCAAAAACCATTGTCCTGCTTGGAAACATTTCTCCACCAGTAGAAGCTGGTGAATACAGCTGAGGCGTCTGCTCTTTTCATGAGAGGCAAGGAAGACATCAACATATTTTTGTAAATTATCACCAGATCTAAAAAATATATATTTTAAACTTCTGAAGAAAATTTTAACTGCGGCATCTTCGAGCCTGGAAATGAAATGGTCACAGAGTCAAAGGACTACTGTGCTCCTTTAGGGATTCGTCCTTGTCTAAGCCCCTTTAGTTTGTCTTTTATGGCAATGAGCAAAAGTCTTGAGTCATTTTTCATTTTTAAGTATTTTTCTTCCAAGCCACCAGACTTTCCTGTAATCTTTTAAACTGGTCTTGATCAATAGATTTCCAGACTTTCTGACGGTTTTAAAAAGATTTTCCATGAACATTGACTGTTTTGTCCGATAAACAAAACTTTCCTAAGTATTGTGCATATTTCTTTTTAGCTAATTCTGTAGTACAATTAACCCTCTCAGGCTCAAAATAAGTTTTGATCAAAGGACGAACAACTAAGTCCTTCAGGGGTACTTCTGAGTTAAAAAATGCTCATGAAATACGTATGTGGCGTAACCAGGTAGGTACACCCGCCTCCAGAGGGTTAAACAAATAAATTTATGTTCTGGACAAGCACTTCCCTCAAAACCAAATAAACAAGAGGCACAAGTTAAAACTTTAGGTAACTAATAGTGGTGTGTGTATTGGCAAGAATAGCAATATGATACACACTCACCAGTGTAATGGGGTGAAAATTAATTTAAGATACTTAAATTAATAGCAAAAGTTTATTTATTAAACAGAAGATTCGGTAAGATTCTTTTCATTCGATAAAAGGAAATGCAACCCTTTTCTGTGTTTCGTTTCAATAACGAGGCAAGTTTAAAATGAAGAAGATTTATTACTAACAATTTTAAACTAAGGATTTGAAACGGCAATTTTAATGACAATTCTCAACAGCTTTGATATTAAACTTGTTTAAAAGCAAACCTGTGTTGGATGGAAAACTAATTTGAGAATGATGAGTTTTGGATGCGTGAATGGAGTTCTCAGGTTTCTTTCAGAGGAATGAAAGGTTCTGGGTGAAAATGATGTTTTGCGGATAACTGAGTTATTTTGAGAGAAACAACATCAAACACCATCTATCGTGTTCTACCTCACCCAAACAGGGACCCCTTTGCGGATCCGGACATCAGGAGGATGGGTTTCATCCAAGGTGACACTTCGGCTGGTAGAGTAGGCGCAAGTGTCCGATGGTCCGGTCCAGAGATGTCCTGGGTACATGGCTGTATGAAGCGTTTGGCAGATGAACGTTCTCGTATTTAACTTAACTTCAGAAATCAATGACTCTGGGAGAGTCTTCGTTAGTTGGTTTGTTTCGTTTGTTCTTTAGCCATTCTTGTCGGCGTGACAGAACAGCAGGCAGAGGGTCAGGGCGGCCGTCCCTGGCTCCTCAGGATGATGTCTTGTTCAGAACTGGACGTGAAATCTGTGATGGTTAGTTTTTACCAAAACTCTCAGACCACTCCCACTCTCTCCGGAAGAAAGCTTGCTCATGCGTCAACAAAACATGTGATGCAGTTATTGTTTATCTGAACTCTCTGTTGGCTGGATAAGGTGACTTGACCTTCTGTTGAACACATCTTTATAATCATTATAATTAATAATTATTATACCCAAAGCATAATAATCCATTTCATGTAATTAAGATACCTTTATAATGAACCAAGTGATCATGTTGTAATGATTATATTAAACAGTAAAAAAACAATGAGTTTATTAATTAGTATCTAATTATTATCATTGTGGCTTGAAGTGTCCTTCTTCTGGGACGGAACAACAGATATGATGTTATGGTCTTGGCTAGACATCGTGGTTCCTTGGGTTTAATCTGTGGATTCAAAGTACTGTTTGACCCAGCTTGACCCAGCTGGGCAAATGTGACCTTTGGCACAAATCAGAGAACCTTCATGCCGTTACACCAGCCACTTTATTGGGTACACCTTGCTACTATTGGGTTGGACCTGCTTTTGCCCTCAGAACTGCCTTAATCCCTCGTGGCATAGATTCAACAAGATACTGGAAACATTTTGGTCCATATTGACATGACAGCATCAGCAGTTGCTGCAGATTTTTCAGCTGCACATCCATGATGCAAATCTCTTGTTTCACTGCATCCCAAAGGTGCTCTATGGGATTGAGATCTGGTGTCTGTGGAGGCCGTTTGAGTACAGTGAACTCATTGTCATGTTCAAGGAATCAGTCTGAGATTATTTGAGCTTTATGACATGGTGCATTATCCTGCTGGGAGTAGCCATCAGAACTGTGGTCATAAAGGGATGGACATGGTCAGCAACAATACTCAGGTAGGCTGTGGTGTTGCAATGATCAGCTAGTACTAAGGGACCCAAAGTGTGCCAAGAAAAAGACCTCCACACCATTACACCACCAGCAGCAGCCTGAACCATTGATACAAGGCAGGAAGGATCCATGCTTTCATGTTGTTGACGCCAAACTCTGACCCTGCCATCTGAATTTTGCAGCAGAAATCGAGACTCATCAGACCAGGCAACATTTTTCCGATCTTCTATTGTCCAGTTTTAACGAGCCTGTGCGAATTTCAGCCTCAGTTTCCTGTTCTTAGTTGACAGGAGTGGAATCCGGTGTGGTCTTCTGCTGCCCTAGCCCATCTGCCTCAAGGTTCAACGTGTTGTGCATTCAGAGATGGTTGTCCGTGAAAATCCCATAAGATCAGCAGTTTCTGAAATAGTCAGACCAGCCTGTCTGGCACCAATAATCATGCCATATTCAAAGTCACTTAAATCACCTTTCTTCCCTATTCTGAAGCTCAGTTTGAAATGCAACGGATCATCTTGACCATGTCAACATGCCTAAATGCACTGAGTTGCCACCATGGGATTGGCTGAGCGGTCATTAGCGTAAACGAGCAGTTGGACAGGTGTACCCAATAAAGTGACCAGTGAGTGTAAATCACAATACAGGGGAGACGATACGATAAATTGTGATATTAAAAGCAAGATGATATTTGCAAATTTTTAGGCTGAATTCGATTGGAAAACTCAGGCCAGACACTTCCAAGACATATCCAGTGTCATCCTGACATACAGTTGTTCCGCCAGAATGAAAGCAGTAAAAACTGTTGTCACCTAGCAGTCAGAGTTTGGAAAAAAATTGAAACACTGCTTCAAAAAATTGATTCTGTCTCATAACATGAAATACTGCAATATTTTAGTGTATCGATATTGTCTTATATCCCTAGTAGCTAATGTAGAACAATTAAGCTAACAGAAACAATAATGCATTTATCCAGGTGAACATTTGAACTCAGGTGTTGACCCAGGACTAGGACTGGGAACTGCACATCCTACATCTGAATCCTGGTTTCATCCAAGTTAGCATCATTTTAAAGCTGAATACTAAAAGGATCAACATTTGTTGTGCAGATTTTAGAGCACGGCCCTGTGATATGCAAAGAAATCGATAAACCTTGTGAGCATTTAAGACATTTGAAACTCTCATAAATTTGCAATCAGTAGCCAACAATTGTAGCCCAGTAAGAAACAGGCAGAATATGATAAAATCTTACCATTGGCTCCATTGAGATGTCATCTAATCTTAAATATGAGTTATTTTCGTCTGCCTGAATTTGTGTCCTTATTGCACTTTTCTACTTGAACTCTCTTCTGGGACAGGTAAAGAAAAATATTCTACATAACTCTTTTTTAATTTTCATCCAAAACATACATGTAGAGAGGAAGGAGCTTAGAGAGAGCTTACAGGAGCTGGGCAGAGTTAGATAGAAATGGATGGATGAATGGTGAGGCCTGGTTAACTCTCCTTGGTCCTTTGTGGCTAATTACTCAGTGTTCTGTCAGAGAACAGCCGCAGCTCACAGAGTACATTCACACTGCACCACTGGCCTCACACACACACACACACACACACACACACACACACACACACACACACACACACACACACACACACACACACACACACACACACACACACACACACACATTAGCAGACATATTCACACAAACAAACTCAGATTTAGTACGCACAAATGAGCACGCATGGAGACCGCCAGCTTGAAAAATGGAACCAACCAACAAACACACACCCCCACCTCCACTCGCCTTAACACACAAAACTTTATACACCCCCACTGTCTCCCAGAGCTGCACCACACAGCGCCTGACCGCTCTGCTTCCTGCTTATTTCCGCCTCACCAATCTCTCTCTTTCTGTCTCCTTCACACACACACACACACTCACACACAAACACACCCCCTGCTGCCGCACCGCCGGCCCATTATCGATCCCCCGCCTCTCCCCGCGCCACATAAATAATCGACAAGCAATTACCCGCCCACTCCCGCTGCCCCCGGCTTTGTTTGGGAGGTGCAGGGGCCAGCGCTGGGGGGAAGAGGAGGGAGGAAGAACAGGCATGCAGCTCCACAGCGGTAGCCAGGAGGTTATAGGATCCTTAGTTTAGACACGTATGTGGAAATACACACATTCGCACAAGGATGAAGTAGCAGCACAGTGAAAAAGCTCAGCACGAGATCAGATATGGCTCATGAAGTAAAAACTGAGCAGAAGAATAAAAAGCAACAATGTGCTGATGCAAACTGACAGGTGATTAACTCTTTCTGCTCCACTGGAGGAGGAGGAGGATGTGTTGTTTTGTTCATGATGAACATTGCTGGTACTGTAAGCAGGAAATGGATGTAGTTTCAAACAACAGCCACAGCTCAGAAATGCAGATTGTTTTTACCTGTCGGTGTAATGTGCGTCTCGGTGCTGCGGGAGGCCCTGCTTACGTCTCTGGCTGGATGATGAGGAGCTGCCCGCTGACGGCAGGTGAGCTTCTAACGCTGCAGAATTCCTGACTGCTGCAACCAGCGCCTCCTGACGAGCACGCAGCATGTCTGAAGAAAGAGGGAAGACAAAGCGGGCAATCACAAATAGCAAAATGAAGATGATGGATGGAAAAACAAACTAGGCGTTTATCTTTCTCCTGTTTAAGTTATCAACAAAAATCTGCAACAGCCAACATGAAGGAGCAAAAAGCTTGTTCACTATTTAGACTTTCAGAAATTAGAAATAGGAGATATACAGCTGCTATAGCAAATCTGGGAAACAAGTTAACTGTTTTTGTGTCTCTTAATAATGTTCCAACAGCTATAAATATATTGTGGAGATAAAAAAAGTTTTTTTTAAATTAATAAAGTGGTTCTCTCACATTAGTCTAAAAACTTCCACCAATAACACATTTTGGACCAAAAACAACCATTGGAACATCAGTTGTCAGTCTGACTGAACCGCCGCACTTCCCTGGGTCCTCCACACACAGACAACAAAAGACATGTGGACCTAGAACATGTCGACTGGGGTTTAGCAATCTCTCGCATCCTCTAGCAATGTGGGCATCCGGTTCCAGCAGAAGCATCTCTGGGAAGATACCCAAGGAAAAGGATGGGTGTTCCGTGACTGTGTTTGTATTCAAAACCTAGCTTGTTTGCAGATTCGCTATAACAGCTTAAAGGTCAAAATAATTACTGTATTTAATACAGTTTATATCAGGGCTATTCAAGTTTGGGCCTCGAGAACTGGTATCCAGCATGTTTTAGTGAGGTCCCTGGTCCAACACCGAAGATTAAGTTGTTGAATCACCTTTGCAGCAGCTCATCAGGCTCTGCAGAAACCTGTTAATCACCAGCTGATTGAAATCAGGTGTGAAGCAGGGTTAAAACTAAATCGTGCTGGATACCGGCCCTCGAGGGCCAGAATTGAATAGCCCTGGTCTATATTCTACAGGACTGATGAGCTAATGGCTAGTCTGAGCTCACCTAAGACTGAAATGTTCTGTTGCTGTTTTAAAACAGCTTCAAACGCTTACGTTATGATAGTGGATGCATCATTATTTAATAAGTTTTTACACCACCATCACACAGTTATTGTGGTGGTTTATAATGGTGTAAAGCTTCATAAAATAAGTTCTGCATGACCTGCTGTGACGTATAGGAGATTGGAGCTGTATTAAGAAGACAGCTATCCACTTTGGTCATGGCTGTGCACAACTAGCTGTTAGCTCATCAGTCTTAAAGGATGTAAACTCTGTTTCTCTATAGGAGGGATATGGAAGCCCCAGAAAAACTCTACCAGTTTGATTCAACCTTAAATCAATTATTTTCTAATGTAAGTTACTTCAGAAAATTAACTGTGTACACAATGTTAAATTAGGAAAATGAGACAAGTTCTGAAGACACAAGAATTTACACTGCTACATCAGAAAATAAAAGACAAAAAATTAAAGTTTCAACATCTGCATAAAGAATCTAAGCTTGACTGTTTTTTCATGCAAACAGCCAAAGAAGCAACATCATACAACAAGTCCAGAGTGTTTTTACACCTCTCCACCACCAGCACAATCATGCCTTCTCCCTCCATCTCTGCCTGCCCTCTGCCTCCACCTCCTGCCCTCAAACGCTCGCCTCATTCCACCTCTTCCTTCCCTCTGCCTCCTTTTCTTCCTCACAGGAGATGAGGACTCATCATTATCAGCCGGGCCAGGCCACACCAGGAGACATGGCTTCTAATGAGAGAAAAATCCATCCGTCTCTTTCTCTCCTCCCTCTCGCTCCCTGCCTCAATCTATCCACTCCCCCCTCTTCCACTAACAGACACACAAATCCACACACACACACACACCCCTCCAACCCTCCACCACCCTTTTTTTAATTAGACAGATCCCTCGGGAGGTAGGGGGCCATTTCCGCCGCCGGTACGGGTGTGATGTGTGTTTTTGTGTGGCTGTGATTTAGCTGCCTGTGTGTGTGTGTGTGTGTGCGTGTGTGTGTGTGTGTGTGTGTGTGTGTGTGTGTGTGTGTGTGTGTGTGTGTGTGTGTGTGTGTGTGTGTGTGCTGAAGCAGCTGAGTGGGCGCCAGGGTGGTGGTGGGGGTGAAGCGACAGATATTAATGCGGCCTAGCTCCGGTGTATCGATCTGTTTGCTGCGCCAGGCCGCAGGGGACTCGGCTGGCGGCAGACAAGGGTGTGTGTGTGTGTGTGTGTGTGTGTGTGTGTGTGTGTGTGTGTGTGTGTACATGTTTGTGTAGTAGGGGATGTAGTTGGGGTGGGTTGTGAAAGATAAGAGAAGGATGAGAGGGAACTGAAGCCCTAGAGCATGCACACACACACACACACACACACACACACACACTCACAGACACATACACTCACACACACACACACACACACACACACACACACACACACACACACACACACACACACACACACACACACACACACACACACACACACACACACACACACACACACACACACACACACACACACACACAGTCTCTGCACTTGTGACGATGTGGAGCAAGTGACCTTTGTGTATTTTGTGGTCACCATCCCACCAATTGTTTTGTATGACTGGCTAAGTTAAAGGAATACTTTTGCTGTTTTTCATTATTGTACCTTGTTCAATAAAGTTCAAGCCTTAAAACAAATCAGTGCTGCAGAAGCAGCCACATACAAACTTCTGGAATAATGGCAAACACTGAAAACACACAGATGTTTGGCAACAATGAGTGAATTCGGAAATTCTCTTTACCCATTTCACATCACATTTAGCAATAGGAAAAAGGCTGCAGATGTTTCCCGGGGACACTAACAAGCGATGAACACAGCTGGAAATGTTTGCCGTAACCATAGTCACTCATAAAGTTTTTAATGTTGATGATTTGGTATCGAAGAATAAACTAGAGCAACTCATTTTGATATATTTCTGTCTGACTGTTTTAACTGAAATGTTTCCAAGGCAACATTTCAATGCATTTATTTATTTTATTTATTTGTTTATTCAACAGGGACAGTAAACATTAACCCCTTAAATTTCCAGGTTTAATGAACGCAATGGGGGTTTGTCCTACGGGGCTAAGGGGTTAATGTACATTTCTGTAAATGTGTCCGTGTTGGCTCCAGAGCTAATTGTCAACTGTTGTCCCTGAGCAAGTTGTATTTTACCAAACACAAATAAAAAATCTAGTCATGAAGCAAGTAAGTATAAAGTTAACGCTGTGTACACACAACATCAAAGAATAAAAGTTATTTTTGTTAAAAAGTAGTATAAGAAGAAAAAGAAAAGAAAAAGAAGAAAAAAGGGGTAAAAAAGGAAACTGACAGTGACAAAGACAGTTAAATTGGTGCTTGGGCAGGTCATACTTCCTTAAAAGAGATAAACTTCTTGGACGCCTGGGAGCCTTTATAACTTGTGTTGTAAAAAATAATGTTTAGTGGGTAAAATGGTGGTGAGATTTTAACCACTGTTTTAGCTGAGTTTTGAACTAGGTGGTAAACGTGGGACATTCTCTTATAATGAATGGAATACTGTTCCAAATATGGATGCCCTTTACTGAAAGAACAGACTGTCCAAAGGTGGTTCGTCACAGTCCACTCTGACCATGGACTTAGTGGCTCTATCCAGAGTAGATTTAAATTTTATGAATTCCGTTAATGGTGACGACGCCAAACCATGGAGTATTTTGTATATCATACAGGCAAATTTAAAGCATTTAAATTTTTCCAAATTCATATTATTGTATGTTTCCAAGATGCAGCAATGGTGGCATTAAATAGGTTTTGGGGTAAGTATTTTTAATGTTCTTTTATCTATTTTTCTAAAAGCTGTTTCTTTTGTAAGAGACCAGTTTGTGAAGCAGTATTATACATGCGAGAGCACCATAGCATGCATGAACATCCTCGTAGCAAGTGTCATTGATGATCAAATGCATCTGAAAGTATTTAAGCTGTTTTTTATTGTTTTAGAGATCTTCTTTACATGACTTTTAAATGTGGCTGGTTTCCTGTGTATTTTTTGCAGGACTGTATATTACAGCATCGTCTGCATACATTTGGATGTGGGTGTTTTTTGCATACTTGCGGAAGATCATTTACGTACAGTGAAAGGAGGACTGGTCCTACAACGGAACCTTGCGGGACTCCTACTGAACAATATTCATAAGCTCATTTGACCCCACTTACCACAACACACTGAGTTCTGTTGGTAAGGTACAATTTCGCCCATTTTATTGCTTGCTCTTAGAAATTGAAGTGAGTTAATTTGGTTAGGAGGAGTCTGTGGTCGACGGTGTCAAAAGCCTTTTAAGAACCAGGAACACAGCACCAACACAACTACTTTAATCCAACAAGCTCTTTGTTTTTTCCAGAAACACAGTGATTGCACACTCTGGTGAATAATGGGTGTTCAGTTAAGACATTTACTACCCACTACTACATTATTTAAGATGTTTACGGTAAGATGTTAATTGGTCTGAAACAGTGTTTATCTGTTCTGTCCCCAGTTTTGAAAAGTGGACCAATCACACCTACTTTCCATGCGACTGCGACTGTGGAATGCTTATTTGACAAATGAACCACATAAGTGATTGGTTTTATTAGTGTATCCTTATGTTCTTTTAAAACACGTACATTAAGACCAAAGTCATCCCCAGAGTCTGATGTTTTCAACGAGCTAATAATATTGTCTACTTCCCTTCCTGTTATCTCTTGGTTTTGCATCGCTGATAGGAATAGAATCATAAAAAGAAGATTGAACAACTGAGTTATTTCTTTAATGGGATCTATGAAAAATCTATTAAACTCTGCAGCAATTTCCTTCCGATCTTTCACTAGATGTCATTTTGAAATGTTGCACACGAGCATTCTCAAGCTGATAGAGATGATGCTAATCTCACTTTCTGTGTTGATTTAATTTTAATGAAAGTCTAAAAACATAAAAAATATTTCATCCTCAGATAATTAACTATACTTCATACATCATGATATCCTAATGTTTCGTCATATATTTGTATATTTCCCTGTTAATATTCCACATTGTTTTGTGTGTTTGATGAGCACTTAAAGTGACCACCAGTGGAAAATATGTAAATTTGCAGAGAAACCTGTTCTTATCTTTGTGTTTGAATGAAAAAAGTTTTATTTAGATGCAAAAAGTTAGAGGAAGGGCTCCAATATATCTAAATAATACTCGTAATGCCTTCCAAAACCGTTTAATTCTCCAATTTCATTGGGTCTATACTCTGCAGCTCCTCTAACTCTTTTATGTGAACTGAGAGGAGCAGGGTCACCTGGGGCTCTGCCCTTCTGTGAGTCCGCCCGTGTTTAAAGTCACACAGAAAATATTTGAAACCTTCGTTTCCCCCTCTACACTCCTGCTTCATTCTGCAGCTGCACACATAATAAATGAAAATCCTAATTGAGAACAAACATCCTTTTATGTTATGAGGTATTTTGGTTTAGAGGGAGTTTTTAACATTTTCCTGCCATCCTATTTTTCTCACCGCAATCGTTCCTGGAATTAGGCCTAAATCCCTTCAGTTAAGCCGGGTTTTCTTCGACACGAGAACGTAGGCGAACGCTGCGCTGATACAGCTAGGCCAGTGTGGTGATGGATTTTGTGGACTGGCAGGTACACAAAAGCCAACATTCATCCACTAAAGTGCTGCATGCACCAGAAAACGAAGCATCTTTTCAGGAAGAGGCGTTGTGCCAGTCTGCTAAGTTTGAGCAGCTGTAAATATGTGGTGAATCTGCTGCACTGAACGTCTTTGTCCTTTCACTAATCACACACGCGGGTTCTCTTCCATTTTTGCTTTTAGGAAGATGCTAAAGAGATGTTGTTACAGCTCCATGTTTCAATGCTGACTGAACTGCAGGAGACAAAACATCCCATCCCTCCTCTCACTTTCATCTGGATGTCTACCCCCACCTCTCGTTTTATTTTTCCCTCTCCCTCACTCTTCTTTCATCATAAGAAGAGGGAGGGAAAGCCCTCCCGGCCTTTTCTACAACCAATGCCAACCCTCCACCTCCACCCCCAACTTCACCCCCTCCTCCTCTTATATTCTTTTTCCCCAACTCTTCTTTTACCCATCAGGTCCGGAGAGAGCCTCTCAAACAACACCTTGCACCTACACACACACACACACACACACACACCCTCTTCACCCCCGCCTCTCGTGCACACACACACACTTTCATTTTCTGTGCCCTACACTTCAAACACATGAAAGGATGCTCTGCAGGGACCAAGGCTAAAGGGAGAGTTGGCAGTAAGGAGGAGGAGGAGGTGGAGGAGGAGAAGGGGTGTGTGGAAGCAAGCTTGAGAAGGAGATGTATAGAATAGATGAGGGGCCCAAATGGGGCAGAGGGAAGAGTTCACGGCGGACTCATTGGGGACCAGGTCAATGTCAAGGGGGTCTCAGTGAAGAAATACATGTTAGCAGCTCAGGGGACAAAACTGCCATCCATCCCGTTCTTTGTTTGTTTCTAAGAGTCACTTTCATATCGAGCTTCAGCGGGATGATGTGGAGGTTGTGTTAAATCCACATGTTGTAAATAAACTAGTAAAAAGTCAGAGGATACCTGGAGGGCTCCAATAACCCTTACAGGATCTAACAGGACATAAAAAATCACCAACATCACGGAAATCTGTCCAAGAGGTGCGACTAATAAACTTGCATTGCTTTGTTGATTGACTGTTTAATTAATTTGTTCTGATAATCTGTTTTTTACAAACTGTGTCACTTCCTCTTGTGATGTTCAGTCTAACTTTAAATATGTCTGGAATGAAGGCAAGAGTAAAATCTGCAAGACTAATGGAAGTATGGAAGTTAAAAAAAGAAAGGAGCACACATATCATTGGTGCGCCAGAGCGCCTGGCTAAAGACCGACGAGGCTTCGGGGAAGGGAAGCCAGCGATCAGACCCGGCTATAAAACCCTCACCATGTGATGCATTTTGCCTGTAAATCCTCTAAGATACAGATAAAAGGCAATTAAAGCATTTATAGGCTTCGCTCCTTGGATTTGCAGCCAGCAATTAAAAATCATTACTAATCAAATAAAAATTGAAGTAGCTGAACTACAATTCAGCTGCAGCAGCAGCAATCAGATTGCTGCTATTGTGAAAGAGCTCATAAAACTGACTGTCAAAAAAAGGAGAATGTTAAAAAAATCTAAAGGAAATGTGGAATAAATAAAATGACAGCATCTAAAATCCAAACAAAGGAAACTTTATCGTTTTTTTTCTCTTATTAAACTACATTTCTCAAGATAAACCCGATCAATTTTATGTCTGTAGAAACAGTAAATTTGTGACATGCTGCCGGTTTCCTGAGTGTTGGGAGATTTAGAGCGTTAGCAGGCAGCCAGTGAGAGCCTCTGAACCAATCATGATGTTGATGTATGTGAAGGCTTGTGGGTGTTGTTAACAGCAGCGAGCCAGAACGGTCAGAAATCACCCAGACTGACACTTTGACACTGGGTGGGCAAGCACCACAAATAGAAATGTCAGCCATCTCCAAGGCAGTGGTTTCACCCTGGCAGCAGTGGCAGACCTTACCACAGAGCTCTGAACACAGAGCTGCACTCGCAGGTTCAAAAGCAGAAACAGGAGATCCAAAGTATGCTATCGCTTTATTTTTTTTTTCAGAAGCTGTTCAAGGGCTTCAATTGGAGATTTTTGTGAATGTGAAATCACAAATGACTCTAAAATACTAAAAAGTGAGTCATAACAGAATTTCTGATGCTGAAGACTGACCATGGCCCTGCAGACCCATGCTGCTGGCTAGCTGGTAGAGGCGTTGCTGCTGCTCCTCGTAGGACCCCTGCTCGCTGAGCGCTGACATCATGCGTCTGTACTGCTCCACGGGGCTCATGTGACCGTGGCTGCCACCCACTTCCACCACTGGACTCTGGGAGTTCTCTGAACACAAGAGAAGAAGCATTTGAGCTGAAATACATAAAGCAAAAAAAAAAAAAACAACAACAACAGGATTTTACCCTAATCAGGCATTATGTCAACAATTTATAAATACAAAAAAAATGGCAGCCATTATGAATAGAGTTGATTCCAACGGTTAAATACAAAATACAAGAATGTCTGAATCACTTGTGTGTGTGTGTGTGTGTGTGGGGGGGGGGGGGGTGTTATTAAACACAAATCATTTAGTTGTATTTGAGTCATCCTGTCATGAACTTTAATGTTGGTTTAAGTGGTTTCAACATCCCTAACAGAAATGATAGCTAGAGGTCAATCACTTTTAGCCGTGAAACTGAAAACGGTTTATTTCATGCAGCATTAAAACTGGATTTGTTGCGTCTTTTACAAAGTTGATTGAAAATCAAACTACCGGTATGTTTTGTTCATGGCTACTATGTGCTTTTTTGTAGATTTGTGCATTAATCTTTATTTATTTATTGTACAATCCACAGTTTTTAGTGGCAAGGAGACCAGGTGTTCTTAATCCTCTGACATCATTTCAGTGGGAAACTTTTGAGTTTCATGCATTTTTTTTCCTTAGTAATTCCGACCAGACACGGAGACAGAGGTGAAAGAGAAAGGAATAGACAAAAGGGGGGGTGGGGGTGGGGTGGGGGGGGGTGGGGGGTTCCACAAAAATAAACAATAATGAACAAGAGTCTGCTTCTAGACCTGCAGAAAAAGACAAAAAAAAGCAAGAGAACAAAAAAATGGGACACAACAACAATACAACAAGATCTAGCTATCACTGCATCAACTTGATGAAGAAATATATAATCAACATTGTTTAACTGAAGAATCACACGATAATAAATCACAGTGCATTAAGTGCCCACCATAGTCTTAAGACCTGTGTTTAACGTGCCCAAGCCCATACTTTTGAGAGCACCATGTGAGCACCTGTGTGTGTACACGCTCTTATATATGTAAGGTTTCTCTATAGGAGCGTCCAATAGAGAGTGTGAGGGACCACAGATCTGCCCCCCAAAGATGCGCAGGAGACGGGGGGAGCTCCAAGTCCCAGAGATCCAGGCGCTGCCCCAGAACACAGGAACCCCAAGGAGACTGCAACCAGAAAGGCCCCCGCCCCCCTCGAGAGGCACAGAGGATCGCCCCGGGGGGCCACAACCAGCAGCCGGCAGAGTCCCGGGAGATATCAGCAGCAAGCCCTCAGGCCTGCCTGCAGCCTCCCACCCCCTAGCCGGCCGAGCCTGGGACCCAGCGACCCGGGACCCAGGGGTGACCACCCCCGTCGGGGACCCAGCAGAGCCCAGGGACCCAGACCCCACCAGGCAGCCACCGGGATTGATCAGGCAGAAGCCAAAAATCTTAAACCCCCAGACCCGATTGCCACGAACATTCAGGCAGACCAAGGCACGACACCCCACACCAGGTGTGGCAGGGGGAGGGGGGACGAAGATCTATATCATCAAAAGAAGTTCCAGGAGAGGGGAGGAGTCAAAGGCCCCACCTGACATATACAGTCATACACAAACACAGTCACACACTCCCTCCCTCATGCTCACACATACACACACAACCTAAGACTTACAAAAATGCACGCCGGACACCCACTCATGCTCCCCATACACACCCTATTCACTCTGGTCCCGGTACTGCTGCACATTGGGTACAACCATCACCGGTTACCAGAGTTTGACCCTTTCTGCTGGGGTGCTGATGAGCAGGCTCCCCCGCCCCACGCCGAGCACAGCAACCCACCACCCCAGACCCCAACCAGACGGCCAGATCTCCCTCCTAGCCTCCAGCCCCAGAAAGCCAAGCAACAACAGAGGTGTCATGCATTTTGAAAATAAATTCAACTTATAATTGTGTTTAATTGGCAAATTTAAGATATTTAGATTAATAAAAAAGCTGACACAACAAATAATTACAAAAGATGAAGATTGTCAACCCTCAAATGATGATTTTTTGGCAACGAAGGCCTTTTTCCTCCTCAGAGATTACCCAGAGGCCTCTGCACCGATCTTTCATTAAGAAAAATGCGCTGACGGACAGGAAGCCTCCTCACATGAAGTCATACAGTCATACATAGTTAATGTTCTGAGCCTGACCTCAACATGAACCTACAATTTATTTGACAGCACTTTCCATACTAACACCACCATACTGGGCTTTGTCTTGTGTATTTTGTCAAGTACAAAAAAACAACAGAAGGAAAAAAAAGTCCATATATGTGAAAACACAGCTGTGTGCTTCGTAAATGATCAAGGTGTACGATATCCATCTAGCTGTCAGTCCTCATGCTTAATCTCTGGCTCTGACCTCCCTCCTCCCCCTTTCTGTCAATAGTAACATGATCTAAGTCTAGGGTGATGGTGGTGGTGGGGTATAAGGGGAGGTGGTTCAGGAGTTAGAAGGAGACAGAGGATAAGGTGGAGGAGGGAGACGCAGAGGAAAGCTGGGGTTATTTTTACCACCCTCCTCCTTATTGAAACCTGAGTCTGGCCCCGGGCAGGCGAGCAGGAGTGGCGCTGAGGAGCGGAGGTGGGGTGGAGGAGGTGAGGGAGGAAGCAAACACGCAAGCATCTCTGTCTCTCCTGCCGAGCTCCTGCTAATCCACCCAAGGTCCTGAAGTATATGCATTTCCGTGTGTGTGTGTGTGTGTGTGTGTGTGTGTGTGTGTGTGTGTGTGTGTGTGTGTGTGTGTGTGTGTGTGTGTGTGTGTGTGTGTGTGTGTGTGTGTGTGTGTGTGTGCAAACTAGTCTGTGCCTGTCTAAAGTTTTTTCTGCTCTCTAAACACAGCAGTAGGTGCCGACTTTGCAGCTGAAAGGAAAACAGACATCATTTACACAGCAGCATCCAATCTCTCTGGCTCCATCCCATATGCGACCCTCTCGCACTCCCTTTAAGTCTATTTCTTCACCTGCATTAGTCATTAAAGGATAGCGTCTGTCGCCAGACCTGGGTGGGCTGGGGGGGGGATGAAGATGTAGCCAGCACAGAGAACACAAACACACAAACAGGTGTCGAGTCAAGCTTTGGGTGTGGACAGAGCTCAAGGTTAATACACAGGATCAGCGATATTTTGAAATGGCTTAGATGCATTTCTCTGAGCAGCAGACTATGTGCACACACACACACACACTCACACACACACATTCACACACACACACATATCTAAACAAACAAGTTCCCTCAGCCAATGTCAAACTGGTGCATCTTTTAGGAGGTGAAGTTGAGTCTAAGTGAGATGATAATGGCCAGGAATGAGTGGCTTTGGAGGAGGAGGAGGAGGAGGAGGAGGAAGAGGAGGAGGAGGAGGAGGAGGAGGAGAGCTGTAGGACTGTTGCAGTTGCAGGTCATTCAAAGGGCAAAAGTCAAAACAAGGTTAGCTGAGTTACTGCCCAGCCTGCTCTCCACATTCACGTACACCAGTCCTGTTAAAGCCTTACAGAATGCATCACAGAATAAAAAGCCTGTTTGATGCACACCTGTCACCTCTGTCTAAACACACTTCAGCTGTTTTGGCCATTTTCACTTTTTTATCTTAATGATCCTTAACCATTCACAAATCTCAACATAAAACAATCCAGTCTTACCTTTTGGAGATAAACTGCGTGACTTCTTGGTTTCAGAGGGACACTCGCTGCTACTGTTAGGAGAGAAGTTTTTCCTTTTGCCTAGAAGGTCGTCTGTAAATGAACACACACACAGGGAAAGAGTTGTAAGAAAAGAGAAGACCAAAGAGAACTTGGTATCACTACCCTGCCTGCATACATGGCATCTGCTTTGGAAATGCAAAGGAGAAAGTGAAAGATGAAGAGGAGGTGAAGCAAGCCTCGAGCATCTGGAGATGTGCCTGTTCTGTCAGCGGTGAGGAGGAAGCCGGTAGCACCGAGGATGACAGCTCTGCCCGGCTAATTCATATGTGTGTTTCTCTATTCGAGGCAGGGAGAAGGACTCCGTCTCTCTGCGTTTCCTGCAGCGTCTCCATCCAAAAGTCTGAACTCAACAGTTATCACAGATATTCGTCTCTTTTTGTCTTTTTCCAAATGTTCTCCACGTATGCCTCTGCCTTAAGTACACATTACTATCGCTTTATTATCTTTTTTTTATAAAAGTTAATGGTCAGAGTCTCAAGGCCAGCTCATTTCCATGTAATTCTGACACTTGTAACTTTGTCCAGGGATATTAAATCTGAGCTCCACCTCATCCTGAAGGGTGGTGCAGGGTCTCTCCTCTTGATTGACACCTCTGTTGATCAGCTCGTTTGAACTTTGGTCTCTCCAGAGCCAATCAGACCCACCAAGGGTCACCCCCCTGTTTTCTGGGTGACTGTCAGTGGGGGTTTATGACAGCTGACATGTTTGTTCCACTTGCTTTAATCACTCACTACCAAAAGGTAGTCCAACTGCAGATGGAAACTGTTGCTTACTCACAATAACAAACACAAAAATCTCCATAAGAGATTTTTGTTTAACATTAAGCAAAACAATGTTGAGATTTATTCATAACACATATGTGCTAATAGTTAATAGATCATGCAACAATGTAAGCCCACAAGAACACAAATTTTCATGATTTGACCAAACAAAAGCAAAATAAATCATTGATTTCTCAACATAAGACATCCAGTGATAGGCTTTGAATACAAATTTGAACCTCCACAATCTTTTTCTTCATATCCTCCTCTCAAAAACCCTGTTACTCCATCTGCTTCTGTCTCCGGCATCTGGATGTGTTTCAGTCCAGCTCCCACTAGAAGCTATCTCTCTCTCTCTTCCCAATAACGCCCTCTTCCTTCTCCTCCCTGCTGTCCCAAAGCTTCCACCTCTGCCACCAAAGAGGAGCATCTAGTGTACAATTACAGAACCCCCTGCTGACGTCTCCTCCTCTCCTCTCCTCTCCTCCCCCTCTCATCTCTCTCTCCTCCCGCCCCATCACCTCACCTCCACCCCCTCCAAACACACCTCAAATCAATACTGGCCTAATCAGTGAAGGGAGGGGATGCAGAGAGTTGCACACAGCGCCAGCAGGAAGGAAAGAGCCGTTTGTCGTCGCTCTGTCCATCTTCTTTCATTTCTATCTCATGCACATCTGATTTTTCCAAATCTTCTGTTTTCTTCCTGCACGCACAGCCAAGCCACAACTGTTGCTCTCCTTTTTCACATTTCAATGCATATTTTTAGTACTGGGGAGGGCATGTTTTCATTTTGATTTGTTTTGTTTTTTTCCCACCCTCAAGGAGAATGGTCTCTCTCTCTCTCTCTCTCTCTCTCTCCTCTCTCTCTCTCTCTCTCTCTCTCTCTCTCTCACTCTCTCTCTCTCTCTCTCTCTCTCTCTCTCTCCTCTCTCTCTCTCTCTCTCTCTCATCTCTCTCTCTCTCTCTCTCTCTTCTCTCTCTCTCTCTCTCTCTCTCTCTCTCTCTCTCTCTCTCTCTCTCTCTCTCTCTCTCCTCTCTCTCTCTCTCTCTCTCTCTCTCTCTCTCTCTCTCTCTCTCCCCTTTTCAACAGGACAATTTTTCATCATTTGCACAGCATGTGTAAACAGCATGGAGAAAAATGAAAACAACATATTTTTGCTACAAAGCTGAAACCAACAGACTTTGGTGTTTAAAGTCACGTGTTCAGGTCCAGTGTTTGCCCTTTGACCCTTTACCCAATACCCTTTAGCTAATGAGTGCTGATTTGAAACTAGACTTATGCGAAGTGCATTGTGGGTTTCTCAGCTATCCTGGACGTTTTTGTACTGATAACTGATTTCAATACAACTACGAATTATTTGCACTTTTCTTATGAAAGATGCCAATCTATGAGCGTATGTGTATATGTGTGTATGTTTGTTTCAAACTTTTGAGTCTGCTGTTGTTTTAACAGCTGAAGTTTTAACTTATTCTGTATATTTATCATGTTCCATCAAAAAGACGGATTCCCAACTACTCAGAACAAGAGAACAGAGAAAGGGGGTCAGGAAATTAAAAATATTTAGCACCCATAGAAGTCCTGGTGTGGATGAAAGGCCAACTGAAACTGCCAAAAATGGAGAGAGGAAGGAAGATTGCTAATGATGCTGTGTTTGATGTGGCCCTCTCAGGTCCTGTGGCGATACACTCCTTAACCCATCCAAAGGAGGCAGAAGGGGGGTGAGTGCTAAAGGACAAGAGCATGCATAAAACACTGAATCCATTTCAGTTTCTTCTCATTGTCATTTCCTTCTCTTTCCCAACCATGTCCACAGCATTTCTTTCACTGATGGTCTCCATCTATCCTGTTAGTGAACCCCTATTAGTTAAACCCTCTCTTCTACCAAACACACACTCACAACCTGAGCCTTTCATGATCAAACGCACATACCCGAGTTGCCTCTTCAGCCGACCTCACTCAAGACGCCGTGTCTCCTGAGCAAGTGCTCGAGGCCCAGAGATTTGAGGGCGGAAAGCTTTTAAAGCCAATTAAATGGGGCTTCTTAGAGCAGAGGCGCTTCCTTTTAATGCCAAACCCTGAGCTTTGCCTGCATCCTTCTTACTCCCAATAACACCTCTCACACTCAACTTTGTAACCCCGTGTCTTTTTCTTAATTTAGCTCTGGAAACACTGGTTGTGGAGTTCTGTTTTAGGTTCAAAGCTATCATTTTCCTCATCAAAACAGGGCAATTATTCAGTGCCGTTTGCTATTATATATCTATTATAGTCTACATGGTAACCTTTAACAGCACCTAGACTCCGGCTCAGTTCCTCTGTGCTAATTACCCTCCTAGATGAGAAAGAAAGAAAATGAGCTGTCTTTCAACTGACAGACCCAGGGCAAAACGTTGGACATGGGAGCAAGAGCATTCCCTCAAGCACCAGCCATTCACCTTCCCTCTCTCCATCCCAGAGAGCGTGTTGACAGCACAGAGAGCCAGACTCCTTAATTCCTCGCTTACTCTGTTAATCTGTCATCTTTATCAGGCCAAGGGAGGCAGAGGAGGGGAGGTGTGGACTGTGTAGAGAGAGGAGCAGGTGGGGCGGGGGGAGTGTGACAGGTGGGGACGTGGGGTGGGCCGCCAGCCACAGCCCTCCGATCAATCTCCACATTACAGCTGACAGAATGGTGCTAATAACTTATTGATCCCCCTTCCGCGCGCCGGGGCCTCCGCCGGCCCTGAAAGCCCCACCATTGATTGGCTTACGGGCCGATGCAGCTGGGAAAGGGATGTGGGGGTGGTGTCAGGGCAGGGGAGGGACGGATGGTTTAGATGATGGAGCTGGGGCAAGAGGGACTTCTGATCACACCAAAAGCAGGATATGTGCAAATGAAACAGTAAGATAACATAAAATACTCCTTTTATTGCCATTCTCTCTGATTGGACCAGTTATGGGAGACAGACGTGGGAGAATACTGATGGAGACGACAAGTGAGATGACGGACGTGTCAGATTTTACCACTGACTCTAAAATAAAACCTTATGTGGCTTTAGGATGTAAATACATGTTAAAACTTTGTTTGCTATTCATATATTTTAAATGCATTCCTGCTAAAACACGCAAAAGGCTTTTATTTATCCGAAGCAGCGGTTCCCAAAGTTAGGGTCTCGGGTGCTTGTACAGTCAAATCGTTCAGCCCACTAGTCCTCACATTCATCTTCTTCTGGTTAATGCAACTGTTGCTAGGCAACATGCCAGAATATGAATAATAATATTGCTGTCAAACAGCTTGCAGGTCATTTAAGGTATTTTTAAATGCATCAACAGATACGTGTCTGATAGGAGTAGACACTTTCACAAATTTGTAAGATGAAAGTGGCCATAAGCTAACAGGACACACACTTCTGATTCATCAAATGAAACAAAATCTCATTTTATAAACATTGAAGAATAAAAAAGGTCAGAAATGGTTTGTTTCATTGTAGGGCAAATGTCATAAACCCAAATCCAAGAGTTCTGGTGAAATGTTTCCTTATATGTGATAATTATCAGGTCAGAAGACTTTGAAAGTTCTCCTCAGTCAACGTTAGTTGAAAAGAAGTGTGTCACAAACATGCCAAGCTGGGCATTCACACACGAGCAGACCTCTAAAACACAGTCTTTAAAACCACACATAGAAAGGTGTGTATGCACTAACGCACACAAAAATGTGCTGAAGTCCCAAACCGCTGCTGCACCCCCCCACCCCTGCCACACACGCCGACAGGCTGTAACTGCCTCCAGGAGCCTCGGCATAAGCAGCAAGGCAGAGGGAGCGAGCGGCGGCCCAAAAACACCTTATCTGCCTGTTTGAGTCTCTGGTCTGACCGCAGAGCCACAGTTTACAGTCTCCACAGGCAGCCAGGCTCTCAGCGTCGGCGCCCTGCACCCCCCACCCCCACCACCATCTCCACCCCTCCTCCTCCACTTCTCTCTGAATAGCCAGTGGCTGTGGAGAGAGAGAGGGGGGGGGGGTGAAGCACAGAAGAGGAGGAGGGAGGCAGCCCTCCTGTCTGTTCCTCAGATTTAATTAATGGCCTGCTCCAGCACAGAGACAAGCCGGCAAGCCTGCTTCCCTTTGCTCCTGACCCCTGCCACACACACACACACGCACACACACACACGCACACACACACACGCACACACACACACGCACACACGCACACACACGCCAGTTGCCGCTTCACCTCCTCTGATACTAATGCCACGATCATTCATCTCTCTCTCTCTTCCGTCTCTAACATTTCTTTTCTGCCTCTCAGAGTTTCAGACTTTTCACCTGTCCGACACCCTTCACAGTTCATCGTCAAACACTTCAGGAAGATGAGCCAAACAGCCGACCTGACTGACAACACCAGGTACACACACCAGGTCAGACAGCCCACTGTCCTCTGCACATGTCACCCACCTGTGTTTAGATACAGCTTTCAGCCTGTGTTGATTTTGCGTGGACTTGCAAGATTGTAACTATGTGTTATTTGTGTGTAATTGTATGTTTGTGAATGTGTGTGTGTGTGTGTCTAATTTCACTGGCAGACAGAATTAGAGCCAGTTGCTGATCGGATTGGACTTGTTTATAGACACAAAGCGAGCCGCTTATGCAGCCTGTTAAATCTCCCCTTAATGCTCAAACGGACAGATTTTAGGGTCTTGGACTCCCCGCGGAGTAGGCCACGCTGCGCTCAAACCCTCCCCCTCGCATCCACCTGTAAATGATTCTTTTCCATCCTCATTAGGAAAACTGCCTCTGAACTCTCAAGTTTGGTTGCTGATTAACAAGGAAGTTTTGATAGAAATCCGTCCCAAACTGTGGTCTTAGAAACCATCTGAGTCGCCTCCCCACCCCCCACCAATCCTACCTGATATCACAGGCACCATATGGACAATTAATCTGGCAGACAGAGGAGGTGAGCACACATTGAGAGGGCTTGGAGGTGTTGGGTCTGGGGTGACTATGCCACACTGGCTGTCTTGGTTAATGAAATAAAAACAAGCAGGGTCAAACGTTGACTCACATTGTTGCAAAGATATACTGTAGTTACCATTAAAATCAAGCACTTCAATTCTTATAAAATATATATGACTGAAGTTTTAGTTTTCTGATTCTTTTTCTGGCAGTGAAAATTTGGTTTTGTAATTTTTGTTTTCATTTGGACCAATTATGTAATAATAATAATAAAATAAAGGTGATAACAGTGTAAAGTGATAGTGTTTGACTTTTTAGTCAAACATTTTTAGGGTAAGTTTGTCCATTAGTTAAATTTGGTTCTTGCTTTATTAAGATATAAGAACTAAAATATTCGTTAGTGGTCAAAAGCCACCTTAGAAAATACTTTTAAAAAGCCAATTTGCCTCCAAAAGTCCAGTTTGTTAACATAATTGGCTAACATTCAGAATGATGATGCTCAGTCGATGCTTGGCTGCACGGAAACTCAAATATCACATTTTTATTGTATTTCCTGCAAACACTGAAGGATCATGCATGTGCATGTTTTTACCTCCAGAATCTATAAGTTCATTGCAATTCTTTAAATAAACTGAAATTGATATTGGCAGGTCAGAGCTGCAGAGAAATTATAAGTCTGTATCTGCTTATTAAACTAGATATCTGGTGAAGCTTCCGAGATCATATATAAAACTTAAGGCTTGCCAACTATAAAAGGTCGACTTTGGGAGTTTTAACGCCGCAGAGTGATATATCTTGACAGCTGCAGAATCCCCTCAAACACGTTACAAGTAGCTGTAATTAAATGCAGTCTGAGTAAGCTCTTAGCATATGCACACTACTGCGCCTGTCCTCACATAAAACAGGATTAAAGGCAAACAAAGTGATTTATTCAAAGGTAATTTAAACAGGGGGTTTAACCCCTAAAAAAACTCCCCGGAGTGCGGCAGAGAATGTGGAAGAACATTAAGTTATCAACTTAAGAGCGACCTTTAGGAATGAGTAATAAGCTTATCCTAAATTCCCTCAATCAAACACATTAGAGTTAATTACAAGTAATGAGACATGTACATGTGTTACAGGAGATGTACAGGTGGTGTACAGTAACAGCCAAGATGAGAAGGAAACCCCTGGTGAAAAGGATGAAGATCCTTTTAATTCAGCTGCTAAAACACTTAAAAGCACTCATTCTCATGCAACATCCTACCTGTGTGTCCAGAGCTGCTGCTGTGGTCAGAGGCAGAACGTTCGTCGGGCATCCCGTGCTGACTGGTGTGGTGCAGGTTGGAGATAATTGTAGACAGGTCACTGTCACGACTGCAACAAACACATGAGGAGGATTATGAGAAGGCGGCAACAAACTTAAACCCATCAAAACCTGTTTGGACGAAAGCAGCAGCTTATTAATTCACATAAATTTCATGCACTGCTTACCGCAGGAATCCTCCATTCAGACAAACCCGAGCTGTTTAAAAACGCACCCTCACACAGACTGAGCAGCTACAGGTGGCCGTCCTGTCGACTGGCTCTTAATGCACTCTGACAGACTACCGCGTCCAGCACTTTCAGGTCTCATCCCTCCTCATCTTACTCTCTCAGGTGTATTAATGAACATATTCACAACCAGAAGTAGTTTAGCAGCTTGAAAACCAATTGCAGCCCTTTTAGAAAATGCAATTTGCAAAATGAGAAATATTTAAAGCAGCTGCAAGATTATCCTATTTGACTTAGAGTTTTTTAGAAGATAGCAAACTAGCAGTAAACAATATGAGTGAAGGTATTCTAATTTTTTACACTTCAACAAGGAGCTGTTCACAAAGAGTCGCATAAACACCCTCCCTTATGGGGGGAGGGTTCACAGATTAGTCCCAGATTTGGTTGGAGCCTCTCTGTCCTTACAAAAATTCTATCCACCATCTTTCTGAACTCCCCACACAACTGTGTCACGGAGGTATTTCATCCACAATCTGATTACCACCCTGATCGCATTAAAACGGAATAATGACGGGAAATACGTGCTTAGCATTTGAGGGGAGTGCTGCAGCCCTGAAACACAAGTGCAGCCTGTGGAGACAGGCAATCTGCAACCAACCGGCTGAATATCTCTAAGCTTGCGCTTCAAACGTGATTTCATGTTATACAACAAACTAAATAAAGGAATTCTTTCTCAATTTGCTTCACGAACAAACCCAAAGCAGGCAGATGTAATGCACTTGAGTTTCCTGATATCAGCGACCTCATTTACAGGTTTAACTGACATTTTTATTAAAACCACAATCATCTATGAAGGAGGTCTGGTATGACACGGCGAGCACAGTTTATGGGACAGAAGCAGTAAATGGTTCTTAGCTGCCACCACCGTGACGAGGCCACACTGTTTGTGGCTGCTGGATTTGGGTTTTTACAGTCCCGTGATTACAGGCTCCTGCTGTAATGTCAGGCTGTCGGTCGCCAAGCTGTTTTCCACACACCGACAGAAAAGCTGCAGGGTAGCGCTGAGGGCGTCGCGCTGGCCTCACCAGTCACCTCTCAGTCACACAGAACCAGTGACTCAGAAACGGTCTCAGACAAAACAGTCCCCGCTGGTTGCTAGGCGAGGAGACGCTTGATTGGACTTTGACTTCAGACTTTTTTGACTAATTACAGGCTTCTTTTTAAAGGGTGTAACTTGTTAAAATTAGTAGCTGTCTGCGTTTGGGAGAGCAGCGGTTTTATTCAAAAATGAAATAGGATACAAGGTTTGTTAAACGCCATGTAATGGTTTATTTTTGTCACAGTGACTCGTGAGGAAACCTGATCGTCCACCAGTCTGCAGCCAAATCAGTCACCTAGCTGCATTACAACACCACCCTCTGTCCATCATTTAAAGTGATCGTGATAATGCCATCCTGAACTTCTCAGAGAGGTGATGGGGTTATTATCCCATGGCGAAGTGGCTCCTCTAAGCCATGAACGGCAAGGACATTGTTAGCTGGGTAATTAGCGCACTTCTCTTGAGCTGTCCCGCCTCAGCTTGGGCTAATGAGGGCTTAGCCCTATCCCCACCCACCTCTGCCCTCCGTCATCTCCTCCTCCTCTTTCCATGGGTGATGGCAAGGTCAGACTCAACCCGTGGAGATGGGGGGGGGGGGGGGGGGGGGGGGTTGAGGATGCGGTTTAAAGCCCAGTCACCTGAGTCAGCGGTCCAGGAGAAGCTCATAAGGCCGGGGTTAACTGGGGAAGGACAGGTGCTTCAGAAATAATAGAGGAGGGGGGTTATATTGAGGCTCCTGGGCCTGATGGCTAAGAAGGACATGAGCTGTCTTCTTATCACCTGGGTGCACACCGGAGACAATCATCTCACAGTCGGCTCATCCCTAAACTGGTCAATACTGTCCCTTCATCAGAGCACACATGCTGACCTCAGATACAGAGGTCACCATATGTGTTGTTACTCAAAGTCTCCAAATTAACCGATCGTAGGAAACTCTTAAATACCTGTTTCTGGTTCTTAAGTGATACCACGAAAACAATATATTCATTAGGTGTTCAAATCGTTATTACATCACTTATCACAGTCACTCCCCACCACTTTGTCCCTTTTCTGTAAATAATTCTCTATTGATTTTGTCTTTCTTTTCCAAAGCTGAGCTCCCTTCTATGTCAAAGAACGCTGCAATTTTAAAAAGCTCAAACAACATGAAAAGGTCCCTCTGCTCCCTCCAGGAGTCAGCTCAGTATAAATGCCCAGTAGTGCCCCACTGTGGCACTGGCACATGAAACTGAGGCGGCAGGGCTGGAGGTCACAGTGTGAGCTGGCAGAAGTTGGCAGCTCAGGCACCCTGACGCCATGTCTCACACCCTCGCTGGGAAAGCGCTGACAGACAGACAGCAGGGATGTGAGGGTGTGGGTGGAGAAACAGCAGCAGAGGAGACAGACAAACGGGTTGCAAGTGCTGTGCAACATCTGGTGCTTACAGGTTTGCTCCTCTCAACCGCTCGACACAACAGCCTGAACACATGGGCTGCTCCAACCTGCACAGGTGGCCCATAGCAACAATCAAACACTGTAAGGCATGATGCAATATTCACAAGTAGAGCGCAGCAGGGCATGGACCAGGGCAACCTTTCCGCAGCACTCAACAAGACTACATCCAAGTCAAACAAGCACGTATCCAAGTCTCTCCATTTTAGAAATAAATGAAAACCAGAGTTTTTGGACACAAAGAGTCTAAAGAAACTATATGTGTGTTTTCGTTTTCTTTCCTCTGCTCTATTTCCACCAAACAATCCATACACATACAATTGTCATGCTTCTCACAGCTGAATACAAAAAAGTAACCTACAACCAGTCATCCCAGAAAGTAGAATGGGTAACGAATAAATACAGAATTAGATACATAAATAAATAAAAGTAGCCAGGCTTGACTTTTCCTCACTGTTCCTCAGTTCTTCAGGCTGACGTGAGATCGATAAAACAGCTGGCAGAAGCGAGAAAAGTGCAACAAAGTCAGAATATACAGGAACACTACAATAATGAATTCTTCAACTAGTTTTACTCGTGAATGTTACTTTTTCATTAAATGCCAGCTCATTTGGAGAGTCATGCTTCATTATACTGTATCTCTAAAATCTGAGCAAATAAAACCCACACCATTCTATCTGACAATAATGAATGTTTTCCTGTTAGTAAATGCCCAACCAACGACTAAGGAGCACTGACTCTGTTGCCATGGCAAACACCAGCAAACAAGACCAACCATTTTTTTTGCAAGCGGACTGCTCCTCTAAAAAGCTATAAAACCTCTAAGCTCACCAATTAGAGCTTTAGGGAGCGCCATTTGCAGTAATATCACACTGTTTGTGACCCCTGACTGGTGTAAGGTAATGACACAGTTGTTCAATAAATCCAGAGGACAACGTGCCAGAAGCAGCAGAAAGAGTGGCTCTGTCCATTTTCCTGTTGTTTAAGTTGGAATAACATAAGATAAAGCTGCAGGTGTGGTTTTTGAGTTTATACAGTGAGAAGTTTGGAACTGCTGATAAATGTGTTTATCTTAATTTGACTTTTGATCTCCAAAAACAGCTTTTTATCAGCATCTTCCTGCTGCAACAAACAAGGCAGTTCTTTTTTATTTTTATTTAATGTAATTTTTTTGATAAAGAGCAGATCCCACGCTGGTTCATCATTTTGATTTAGTTTCCTTCTTTCCAGCTGGTACAGACAACGTCAGATGTAAGCTATAGAATTTAATACGGTAACAGATACAGAGTCTACATTTCTCAATCAAGCCTTTTATTTTGTTTTGCCTTGTGTTTGGTTTGGACTCTAAAGTCCTGAGGCTGTCCTCTCATAAAAACAGTCTAATTGGCTGTTTGTGGAAGCAGCTGTTTCAAACCACAGCTATGTTTCATTGTGACAGTGGCCTTCATAATTATGACAGGAGAAAGGAGGAAGAGATGTGTAGTAATTACGTTCTACAAAGCCGAAAGCCTGCATCTCATTCCCATGTTTCAAACCAAAAGGTCAAAGCAGCTTTTAACTGGGACAATTCCACACTAGGATATTCAGACAACTCAAATAACGGGAGGCTAAAATGATATTTATCTGTGTTAACAAATCCAAGTCAGGGTAAAACAATCTGAGACCAAAGAAACAATAACCCGTCCTCAAGTAGTTCTGATATGTTCCAGAGAGCTGTAAAGTTTGTACAGTGTTGTGAAAAAGGTGGCACAAGTCACACAATCACCTGCTTACCACCAGACTTAAAGAGACAATGTGTAATTTTGACCATTAATCTGGAAATATCCATTGAAATGTTGTTGAAAGTGAATTAAATGATGTAGTTATTGAAAAATGTTGGCAGCTTTGTAAGATATAACCATAAAAGTACGGTCTAAAATATATCGGCGCAAGTCTAAGCCTCTGGGCATGTTAGACATCATGTTTACTTCTACATGTGCCCATGAGGACAAAACGCATTTACTGATTTGTAACAAGCAGTACATTTAGCTACGTACTTCCCCCTATCACCAGGGAAAATACACACTGTCACTTTAAGAAATGACTTCAATCGAAATAAATATGACGTAGGTTAAATGAGCTCAAAAAGTAGCACATCATGATCTGCACTAAATGTGTTTAAGAAAAAAATACAGAACATCTAAAGCACTGTGGAAATGACTTGTTTAGGTTAAGCTCAGAGTTCATGATTGTACAACAAGAGACAAACTAAAGAAGACCCGCAAAAAAGGCAAAAACTGAAGAAATTTGCTAATAGGGAATACTTTTTACAGTACAGTAGGTGGCTGTTGCCTAATTTATACTTCTCCGTCAGCTCCGCGAGGGAGAGACGCACACGTATTGATGGAGACATTTTACTTTCAGACTTCTTCGTCAGCTGGGAAGTGCCATAGACATTACATATTGGCAATGGCGGTGCTGTTGACAAATTTACAGGAAGCGGCATCCTAACCAATCACGAGCTTGCAGTCTCCACCACTTTCAAAGGAAAGTTAAGAATTAGGGCTTGTCTCCGTCACCCTCTGCGAGCCTGTCGAAGAGCCCTTGCGCCGATGCATAATGGCGTTGCGTGTCTCCGCACCAACGCAGACAGAGAAGTATAAATTAGGCTTAAACTGTAAATCAAGTGCAGATTAATGGGGGGGGGGGGGGGGGGTGCAATCAATTAAATCAATCTGCTAAAACACCTTCAACAACTATTAATAATCTGTATAAGATGGAAGGTTTAATAATGAACTCACCTTTTCATGCTGACTGGCTAACGCATCTGAATATATATGAGTTCTCTAAATTAACCTGGCAGTAATCCTCCTGGTCCACAACAGAACGTTAGTTGCAGGAGTTTTAACCTTAATGCCATCAAGAAGAACAGCTGTGATGTGAAGTGCAGAAATTCTGACTAACAGGCATGACCTGTTTGATGTGTGAGCTCATGCAGAGTTACAGGAGATGGTCGTGGGTGTGACGCTGCTCCCGTCAGCCCCGATGATGTGAGGATGAGACAGCACAGACACACTCACACATGTATACAGAGGCCCTGTATTTTTCACATCCATTGGCCAAATCCAATTTGTTAAGACCCTTCTACGACTCACTTACGAAGCTGCGGTCAATGGAAATCACATTTTCATGATTGGACATCCCATTATCCTGTTTGTCCAGGCCCACATCGGGGGGATAAAGCCGAGCCCAGACAGATGCCAAACGACAGACCGGAGCAGCGGCTCCAGCGAGTCCGTCGCCTTTCAAAGGGTAAAAACCTGATATATTAGTCATAAGTGTTCTTTAAATTCATTATCATCTTAACGCGCCAGCGGCGCAAGTGTCAGGGGGAGGGAGGCCCTCTTAAACAAGGTTAGTGGATCCATTTAAAGCTTCACAGTTGCCGTGCTGTCTGTTGTGTCACACGCAAGTCTCAAGACATGAGAAACACTCCCTTCTGTAATGTTGTTGTGTTCATCATGCTGCAGGGGACTTTCTGGGGCTAATCAAAGAACAGATTCAGCTTTATATCTCTCATTAATGAGTCCAGTTTGTGAATGATGCAACCACGCTCAAGCAGAAACCAAGAAATCCAAGCAAAAAGTCAATTAGTTTTAGTGTCAGAGTGTCCTTCAGAGATCATGTGACCCATCTTAGTAAAATACCCTCATTAATTTGCAAGTATAAAGATTTTACATGATTTTTCACATCCAAACTGGTATTTTATTTCTGTTTTCATTAACTGGAGTCCAATAAAGTTCCAGTGGGTAGGATATGGCCCAGTCTAATGGTAAAAATACTGTTTATATTAGAAATGTACCAAAAAGATCAGCTGACAAGTTTTCAGTATGAGCAGTGTAAACGAGCATTCTGAAATGCAAATATCTCTTTGTTTTTGGTCTGTAAATAACATAAAAAGGTCAATATTGTAAAGGGCTAATTCCCGCAACAAGGCCGCAGCCTGGGATTTGAACTTGCAGCTTTCTCACTGGGTCTCCATGCTGGTTTTAGTTCCAGATAATGACCTGCACTTGTGTAGCACCTTTCAGGACTCCAAAGCGCTTTACAAATGTATTATTCACACACTGATGGAGATGAGCTACGATGTAGCCACAGCTGCCCTGGGGCGCACTGGCAGAGGCGAGGCTGCTGGGCTCAGGTACCACAAATCCCTCTGACCACCACCAGCAGGCAAGGGGGGTTAAGTGTCTTGCACAAGGACACAACAGCAGACATTTCTGCCAGGAGCTGGGATCAAGCCTACAACCATCTGATTACTGGACAACCACTACCGCTAAGCTATGCTAATCAATGTTATAAAATAACATAAAAAAATAAAAGATATCTTTTTGATTTTAGTTTTTTTTTTAGATAAATCAGAGTTGTGTAAAAAACGGAAATAAGTATCAGCCCTTAAAATTCAACTCGGCTCAAATGATTCATAAATAGGTTTATATTTGAGTAGCTTTTATCTTTCATTGGGTAAAGTAATTAAAACACAACTTATAAAAAGAAAATTATAGCTAATAGAAATAAATGTTTAAGAACAAATACTCTGATCAAACTGCTGCCTATCAGGTCCCAGGATGAGACGACGTCAAAAAGACACGAAAGGAGCATAAAACCATTAGCGTTAAAAACAACTCCCATTAGACGTCCCGAGTCAAAAGCATCAAGTGTGTGTGTTTGTGAGACTGGGCTTCATGTAAAAAAAAAAACACTTTTTTTTAAACCTCAAAATAATCCCCAACCACAGTAATACTCATATCAACCATCAGACACAACTAACAAATAAAAAACTAAATCAACAAGTCAGAGGCCAGCAAGACTTTTTCATGAAGCTCAAACATCAGTCAGAGGTGTCTCACCTCTTTCTCATGATACTATAATGCAGCTCCTCCTCCTGCTTGATGTGGGCATGATCCCCACTGGCCCGCTCGCTGCCTTCGCTGTCGTCGCTGCTGAAGATTGAGGCCAGTTCCTTCTTGGGCACCCGGTTGGGTGGGAGGGGGATGGTGCGTTTCTCTGCCAGGCGCCCACGGTTCTGTAAACCACAGAGAACAAAACGCTTTAGCAACAGGATTTACCTGTTCAAAACAATAAAAGTTTCCAACTTCTCAAAAAAAACTGTTTTATTACAACCTCATCATAACCTCAGTGAGAACTTGGAGTTGCAAAGAAGTCGAAACATCCTAACTACATGTCTGTGATTAAACGGGACAGCATTTGGTTTTAACCTGAATTTAGTCATGAATGCTAAACAAATATCTGCATTTAGCTGAGATTCATAATAATAAATCATGACGTTTGGAAGCCAAGCCACCAGACCTCCAGCCTACTAACATCCAAATGACCTAACCAGTCACATCTGCATTGCTGCAAATATGATAACAAACAACCAGTAAGTCTGATCAAATGAACTGAGCAAGCCCTCTGATTGGCTGAGACACTGCCATCATTAGCCATTTCTGAACTGGGCAGAGTCCTGCATGACAGGTGATGGCCAAGAGCTGTCAGTGCATGAGCACTGCTCTTTTATTATGTTGCATAGTTAATTTTATAATTACAAATAAAAAGTAGTGAGGAACAAAAGTTGTTAGTTCTAAGCTGTTAGAGGTAAGGACAGAAAAGGAGAGACTGTGATGAGATTGTGGCCTCAGGGGAGGTGCATGACCTTTAAATGTGACCTGGGTCACTGTGGATTTCCACAGCCGTCTCACAGACACACGGGTGAGAGGGGGAGCAGAGGAATTACCTATAGGAGTTGTGAGGGACGGTGAGAATGAGTAAGAAATCGGAGTAGCGCAGGGGAACAATAGGCCGAGGAGATGAGCTGCTGTTGGTTTGTAGGAGAAGAGACAGAAAACACAGAATAAAAGAGAATGTGGAGGGTCAAAACATGAAAAGGAAAAACTCCACAGAAGGAAAGTCTGTGCAGTGTGGGAGAGTGGACTTGGATTTGAAACTGTATTCTCTTTCACTCCTTGTGCATGCATCTCTGCTCTTATTCCCGGACGCCTTCAAGCCCTCCAGCTATCCCTTCCACCACACGCAACCCCACACTCTTCCCAACTCCTTCCCTTACTCCATCCATCCATCCCAGGAGGTGCAGTAGCTTGAGTGGCAGGCGGGGGCAGGAGGAGGGATAAGGAGGCTCCTAGCCAAAAGGCAAACAGGTGCAGCCCCTCTGGAGTATCTCAAATGGCAGGCATTAAAACAAGTTGGAGGGGAGCAGAGAAAGATGAAAACATCCCTCAGGATGAAAAGGCCACGGGGTTCTGCACATTTCTCTTCTCTTCCTTTTTCTGTGTTCTGCCAGGAAAGACTTTTCTTCTCTTTTACTTTCCTGCTGGAGGTTTTTACAAGATTTACTCCAGGACACTGGACCACTTTCTGATACCTAGGGTCCCTTCTCACAAGTTTGGGAAGTATGAATTCAGAGCTGAAGCCTAAAAGGAGCGAACAGGAACAAAACATGTCAGAGCAAATGAGCTCTTCTGTTCAGAACAAAATCTTCACCTTAAACTCTGAACACTCTCAGGAAAACACTCCAGAGCACATGTGAAGTAACCTCAACATCCACACACATAAAAGTCTAAACACTCTAACACACACCTGTTAATGTTCCTTAGAATTCCCCTCAAACGCGGGGGTTTTACTTGGAGCGAGCAGCATTGCAGTGTATACTAAAATAGCTTTTCTGTGAGCAGTCGTGACTGCGCCTGTGCATGCGCGCGTAGACAACCACCCACATGGCCGTGACATACCCAGGCTGACAGCCCCCATCCCTTCCTTCCTCCCTCCTCTCTCCTCCCGGAAAGCCCCAATCCTTTCTTTAGTGGCACTGACGCAGAACTGGGGGTGAGCTCCCACAGCTTCCGGCAACACTTCCGTAACACGGAGGAGGGCTCTCCAAAACCAAACATAAAACAGAACACACCCCTGGCGGCCCACGTAGGAGCGCTCAAAGGAAGGGTGCCAAGTGGGCTCGTATACATGCACACACAAACACAAATGCACTTGTGTGTGTGTGTGTGTGTGTGTGTGCTGAGCTGAAGCAACCTTGCTGTGTGTGGTCAACCTCCTTTCAGCCATGGAAAAAAGTCTCTCATAAAAGTCCCACTAAAAGCACCTCTATGAATATCACCTCCCACGCTTTCTGTCTGACAGTCAAGCCGCCAAGAAATATACCTGGGCTTCTCGTTTATGAGCAAATATTCAAAAAAAGAATACAGAAGGCAAATGCATCAAAGCATCCTGGTAAACTTATCAAACAGAGAAGAAGTGATCATGTCGCCATAGTTTAAAGGCTCAGGAACACACAAGTGTGAAGAATTAGCTAAAGCTGACACTAAAGCTTCTACAGACAACCATTAACCACAGGTGGTTATTATGGGTATTACAAATAAGACCTAAAATATGTCTTCTATATTAAACAGCCAAACTGACATCTTCTCATTACTCGTGAGAGAATTGAACACAGTAGTCTATAAAGTATTCAAAGCACAACAAAATATATATTTTTATTTTTCTAGTCCAATTTTCACCAACAGTCTTATTATTTTTCTGAATAAAAATTCTTAGATGATAAAATATGAAAACCTGAAAAATAAAAACTCAAGACTAAATCAAGATTTAAATATAGAAATAAATATCTCACACAACATTTACTTCCCTTCGTGCTCAAAAGAAAACATTATTCAACCTAAACAAATAAACTAATCTTTAAAAAATAACGTCAACTTTTTGAGTGCTAAAGCCTGAATAATCACAGGCAGCTCCATCTTGTGTTTTGCTGACCAAAATAGTGGCTTCAGCAAATTTGTGAATATATGTAAAATTAACAACAATTTGCTATTTACACGATGCCAGTTTACAACAAAAAGTCTTTATGAACTGTTAAGAATTTCCTCTAGGAAAGCGCCCGGTGACAGTGGTAAGAAATAACTTTCACTATTAGCAACTTTTGCTATAAATAAGAAACATTTTTAAGTGGAATGGAATTGATTTTGTTATAAATATCTTCTTCATTACCAATTAAAGCATTAATGTACATGGGACGAGGAAAGTGTCAGTACTTCTTTAAAGGTTTCTATTTTATTACAACAAAGAATAAGAACATTTACAACTTTATCTTTTTGTCTCTTGATTTCTGCTTAACAAACCCTATTTCTGCATAGATTGGTATTTCTCATTCGTGCTTAAATCTAGTTGCATTTTACAATATGAAATAACTCAACATGTCTTGTCTCAGGGTTTTTTTCATAGACAGTAAAACCTGTATAGTATGGGGTGCCCATTCCTGGTCCTGGTAGGCAGTATCCAGCGTGTTTTGTTTTTCTGCTTCAACAAACTTTATTCAGAGATTGAGGCCTAGTCCACATGTAGCCGGGTTTTTTTAAAAAACGAATATCCGCCCCTTCAAAAGCTTGCATCCACACCACCTCGTTAAAAAAAAACTCTGTCCACACGTACCCGGATAAATACGTTGTTAAGGACATGCCAGACCTGTAGGCGGCAGTACTTCCCCCGTTCTTAACCTCGTCCTTCATCTGTGGTCTTCTGCAAGGAGCAGTAATTCCGCTTGCAAAAACAAACAAGCAAAAAGCGCTTGGACAATTGATAAAGCGAGCGCACAGGTCGCACACGTGATGTCAGCATTTGTTTGTCGCGGAAAGTGACGTTGAGGACCTTAAAACTCCGGTTTTAAGGTCCTCACGCAGACACCCAAAACGGAGAAAACGCAGATCTTCACTTTGGCCGGAGTTTTTAAAAAGATCCGTTTTCGTGTGAAAAAACTCCGTTTTCGTGTGGATGACAGGCCAAAACTTAGAAAAATATCTACGTTTTGGCAGATCCCCGGCTACGTGTGGACAGGGCCTAAATCAACTGTTCAGCAGCTCATCAAGCTCTGCAGAAGCCTGTTAATCACCTGTTGATTCAACTCAGGTGTGTTGAATCAGGGAAACAACATAAACATAAAGGGTACTGGCCGTCCAGGACCAGGATTGGGCACCCCTTAAAGTGAGGTTACACATGACTCTGGGTGCTACTGTGTCCTATAACAAAACCTTACATAAATTACACAGCTACACACTGTTGATGGGTTTCTGGACTTCTTCATATGGATTTTTCATAGTTATTTTTATTTTTTGGAATACATCCGGTGTATGTAGGTATTTTAACTTTGTTAACAGTGGTATCCAATCCTGGTCCTCAAGGTCCACTATCCTGCATGTTTTGGAAGTTTCTTTGCTCCTGATTCAAACTTAAGATTATCTTGTCAGCATGTCTTCAAGCCGCAGGACAAGCTTCTGCAAAAAAACATGACCAAGTTTGGATACCACTGTGGAGATGCTCTTGTTATGGAAATAACTGTTAGGATTCTCGCAATTAGAGGTTGACCCATATGGATTTTCTAAGGCCGATGCCGATACTGGTTTTTAAAGAATTTTGTTGCTGATGGCCGATATCTAAAGCCGATTATTAAAGCCAATATATATACGGTTTAGCAGCATGTTGATTGTGAAAGACAACTGAACACTCACTGTGGACAATATTAATTAAATAAGTCAATACATTTATTGAACTTCAAATATAAAACAAACTCAAAACATAAAAAAACAACGATGTGTTGGGGTCATTGGGGTCCTTTCTTCAGTCTAGAAGTGGCATCAGTTGGCCACACAGGTGCCTGATTTACTAACTTTTATTATCGGCTTTTAAAAATAATTTTGGTCGATGGCCGATATATCGGTCGGCCTCTACTCTCAATGTTCATGTCACTGTTCGGTAACTTAACTCTCATAGAAGTACCACAGAAAGTAACTGATACAGGATACTGACAGTTCAAAACCATTAAAAAAAATTGAGCTGAATCAAGACGTGCCACAAAGGGTCAGCAAACACCACATCCACCAAGTCTTTCCAACTATGGACCATGCTTTAAGTCAGACAGTCATACAGTATCCCTGTAACTTATTTGGTGATAGTGTAAATGCATCTCTACAAATCAGCAACAGGACTACGGTACTCTTGTAGAGA